AATACTGTTGAGAAAAGGCGTAAAATGAAACAAACAAACAAAACTTAAGTTAGAATGGAGTCAATGGACAGTTACAGAGTCAACTGTTATTTCTACTTAACTTAGAATGGCGAGTTTCATAGTCAACTGTTAATCTAAATTAACTAAATTGGACAGTTTCAAAGTCAAAACAGAGGAAATCAAATACATTTAGTTATATGAGATGAAGAGACTGTTAATAATTTAGTGAAATAAATCTCCCAGGCCAATATTAGTTAGAGATGATGGGAATGATTTGATGCCATAACTAAGGTTAAAATAATTAATTGTCTTGAGTAATGCAATTGATCCTGGCAATCAAACTTTTTGTGCCCCCACGTAAGTGGCGGGCATTTAGATTTACCCTTGTCCGTCCGTCCGCACTCACAGGAGAGTAATTATGTGGCTAGAGGGACAATAGGTTCTCTTTGATGTCATTCATTCCGTAATGCTTTTATGTGGCTATTTTCTTTTGCGTGGCTAAAAAGAACAATAGAGTAGCCACATAATTACTGTCCTGTGAGAACAGCCGTCTGTTTTCCGTCTGTCCGTCCGTTCACTTTTGTGTCGCACGTAACTCAAAAAGTATTTGACCTAGAGTCATGAAACTTTACAGGAATGTTGATCAGCATGTGTTGTTGTGCACCTGGGTATTTTCGTCTGGATATTTTTAGTATTTTCAGAGTTATTGCCCTTGACTTAGTAAAATTTTGCAATTTTCAACTTGTGTCGCATGTAACTCAAAAAGTATTTGACCTAGAGTCATGAAACTTTACAGGAATGTTGATCAGCATGTGTAGTTGTGCACCTGGGTATTTTCGTCTGGATATTTTTAGTATTTTCAGAGTTATTGCCCTTGACTTAGTAAAATTTTGCAATTTTCAACTTGTGTCGCACATAACTTAAAAAGTATTTGACCTAGAGTCATGAAACTTTACAGGAATGTTGATCAGCATGTGCAGTTGTGCACCTAGGTATTTTCATCTGGATATTTTTAGTATTTTCAGAGTTATTGCCCTTGACTTAGATTTTTTTTGCAATTTTCAACTTGTGTCGCATGTTTCTCAAAAAGGATTTGACATTGTCATTAAACCTTATGGGCAGGTTGCTCAGCATATTTTAGATTTGCACCTGGGGTTTCGCTTGTGGATTTATCCAGTATTTGTAGAGTTATTTCCCTTGACTTAGTAAAAAGATTGACAGAACAGTGGCGCGGTGGGGGCACCCGTGTCCTATGGACACATTTCTAGTTTCATGTTGCAAGACAGTGAAAACTTTTTTTGTCAAATGTTGACAGTATGGTCTAGTTGTTTTACTATATTTTTCTCAAAAAGGTTTGGAGTCTTATTCACAGTTAACTACCAAATGAAGTATTCAATAATTTCTAAATAGACTATTCGAAGAATAGGGAGATTTTTTGTACTCACTGTCTCAGGCATCGGCGTGTCACACTTTGGTGAAGTTTTTGAATGCAAGTCCAATGTGGTTCTTCTCAAACTACTGAAGGGAATGGGTTGAAACTACAAACTCTAAAGTGAATTTTAACAGAATAATAGCCCCTTTTTGAATTAAGAAAATTCTACATTATTCAGGCTCTTTTTTTTTTTTTCTATGAAGCACTTGGAATAGTCTGGCATGCTGTCCTAGCTACCAACAGCTCTTGTTTATATGTCTGTTTAAAAAACAGGTATATGTTGTATGTTGCCTTCATGGAAAGTTGTCCCTGGCGGGCTTTCTCATTACATCCACTTTTGCCTTGAGCATTTCATTTACATGCATGGACAGATTTTACCTGTACTTGATAATAATATGAGACATCGATGCCATGGTGTCTCCTTTAGGTCAAGAGTCAGTGTCACACTTAGAGGTCAAAGCAAAATGCTTGTCTGGAGCAAAACTTGCAATGAGGTGTTTTGATATATAGCTTGGCACAAATGTTTACCATTATTGTGAGGCCGAGTGTTGCAGGCAAAATTCAGGTCGGTCATGTCACACATAGAGATCTAAGGTCAGATGAGAAATATGAAAATTTGTGTAACAATTACTATAGACAATTTTGTAGTCTTGAATTAGGATTATATCAAAAATGTCACAATTATAAAATGAGTATTACTAGCATAATTCAGGTACATATAAATAGACAAATGTTAACAATAATGAGATGTAGTCTAGGTCTAAGGTCAAGGTCACACTTAGAGGTCGGAGTTCATAGTGAAACTTTTACATGCATGCATTTAAGGATAGCTATATATCTTGGCACAAATGTTCAACATTATAAAGCAAAGTATTTAAGCACAAAATTCAGGTCTCTGTGGCCAAGGTGAAGGTCACATGTAGAGATGAACGGTTAAATTTAAGGAAATGAAAATATCAGAGTTTATTAAATACTTTTAAATGAAATATTGAGAAATATTGATAAAATAAAATGTGTATTTTCATTTTACGTATTTTCACTGTAAAAATTACCTCTATATATTGACCATTTAGTCCTCACAAATTGAAGAATTTCAATATAAATGTGTTTTTTTTTTCCCCATTCGAACGGTGAGCAAAGAAGTTAGATATTACAGGGGCATTAAGGTCATGTACCTGCAAACAAGCAAACAATTTTAGAATTTAAGATGGTCAGTTGTTTCCGGGATTATGAACAAAAGTCTCAGGATGGGCATTATTGCTTGTTCACTATGTTCTTAGTACAGTGTTGTACTTGATGCCAAGCTTGATTAGATAAGACTGATAATACTGATACAAATGAACCAGTATTTTGTCTGATTGTCCTGATACAATGGACCAATATCAGTATACTGTCAATAACATTTTTGTTTTTTCTTGTTCTGGTTTATTTACCCAGTTTCCAATAGATATTTCTTTCAGAATATAATGAAAAGAAAATAGTAGATTAGACATGATTAAATAAGTTGTTATTAAAAGTATAATCCAGAATTTTGCTGATGACAAAATCTTTGTAGGGTATTTTAATTTAGTTAAAGGGTGCAAAGTGTTAAATATAATTGTTGTTTACATTATAACATGTAAAATTTGATTATATTTATCATGACTGTACACCTGAAATAAATAAGACATTTAAGATTTAATAATTACATGTAATTAGGACATTTGGGAATCATGGTCGAAGGTAACAATATAATGGTTAAAAGAACATTATCTATTAAATCCATTGTTATTTTAAAGCAGCATGCTCTCTGTATTCATTGTATCATAGTTTGGAGACCTTTCTGTTGAAAATGTGTCCGAGTTAAATCGTATACATATACATGCACAGTGCGTTAACTGGAGTGCGGGTATAAGTTACCCGCACTCCAGAGCGTGCCCATTGATTGGCTCATTTTTGCTGGGGTTTAATTTACATATTGTGATGGCAGAGAAAGGGAAAGCGACAAAAATGTCATATTCAGATGTCCGTTCATTGGTTCATTTTTGCCAGGGTTTCATATTGTGACAACAGGGAACGTGCTTTTATGTTTGACTATGATACAAAAGAGAAAGAACACCAAAACACTCGGCAATCTGATTAATACTACGCCCCCTCGTACAAATCAGATAGCCTCGTGTTTCGGTGCTCTTTCTATTACTTCTTTAGATTTACATGAAAATATTAAAGTGTATTAGAGTTAAAGGCACTTTCGATCCAAGTAAATTAGTAAATACCAAAATTATGCAAAGATAGGCCTTACTGCATTAGCCACACAGTAGAAATAAGATGATATGCACTACAAAATCAGTCATTAATCACATATAACATGTTAAATTATTACTTGAATCTTGAATCTTTTTACTTTTCTTTAAAACACCTTTCATCAAGTTTGATTTTCTTGAAATATTTTGACTTGTCTGGAGACATGCAGCTTAAAAAGGAGTTGTGTTAAAAAAAATACTGTAATACAATGTATAATAAGATGGAGCAGGCAACAGTCACCAGTTTATTAGTTTGCATCAAACTTAGGCACTGGCTTGCTTACATCATGATCAAACCATTTAACTATATATATTGATGCTGAGCATTGTAAAGGAAATCTATAAAGCATTTTCAAAATCCAATTATGTTGCATTTTAGTGCAGATATTAATTCATATTCAGGCTTGATAAAAATTTTATTAAACAGGTTTATCTGTTCATTTTTCTGACCTGTATACAAGATAATGTAAAAAAAATCATCATAAAAATTAGAACTGATTTAAATGTGTTTAAATTAGAGGTGTCATCGATAACCCGGGTGTAGATTTTCCAGGGTAAGCCTGGAAGAGAGGCTGGTAAACCCTGGAAAACTATGGAAAAGCATGGAATTTCATGGAAATTCATGGAAAATTGGTATTTTTTCCATGCTATGTGGACTTTTTTTGTCCAGCCATTTCCAGCATTGCTGGAATAGGCTGGAAATTGGCTGGACATTTGTGGTAAAAGCCTGGAAAACCATGGACTTTACTTCCTTGTAGCATGGAAAGAGGAACTTAGATTTTTTTGATGCTGGAAATGTGTTAAACTTTCTCTAAGTACGCTGGAAAAAACTTGTAAAAATTACAACAAGAAATCTTACTTTATATATTCAGCACAATATTGTAAATTTACGAAGAAAAATATACAATCATCATTTATTTTAATGCAAGTTACTTTTGAAATTTGACACTTTATACTTTTTATGTAGTTGAAAAAGGGTATCTCAGAAAAAATGTCTATGCTCAAAGACATAAATGAATTGATTGTTCAAAATACATATTATCATTTAAATAAATCTACATGAAGTTATGAACAATGAAATAATATCCATTTAATTACAGGCTTTAAGTTTAACTATAAATTAATTAAAGTCTGTGATTAAATCATTCAGACACTATAATAATCAAGATGGGATTGCATTGCTTGCCATTTTTTAAATTGTAAGAATTCATGTTTTTGGATAACAATAAATAAATAAATCAACAAAAGAGCTTAAAATCCTCATATATTTATATTCTACATTAAATTGACCAATATTTAGGAAAATAAATACTACATCCACTGAGATTTTACGCTACACAGATCAGAGCTCTGATAAAACTCATTGACCAGCATTTTCTCACCATCTGTGCATGACTAATTTACTCCACTGGTCATTTCAGATCAGGCTGTTCCATGTGATTATTTTGGGGAGAGATAAAATTATAAATTTCATGCAGAATGTGTCTAGAAGGACATTGCAATCTTTTTTGTACAAAAATTTGTAATGATCTTTAAAATCTATATATCTATTAGCTATTTGATATTTTCTTTTAGGCTCAAAGAATAAAAGTTAAAATGATGAGTAGATTAACCCTGCTTTACATAATGATAGACCTGTCCAGTAACTGTTGTAAATTTTGAATTCTAAGATATCTGGGCCAGCAATGAGTGCAAATTATAGAGGTTGTACTTGATATTTTAGCAGTTTTGGAGATATTGTTTTGTTTAAGACTTTAAAGTGTTTAAGTAATTAGAATCACCTGGGACAAAGAGATATACAACAGAATCAGGTATTTATAAACCTTTAAGTTACATCAATGCAGAAACAGGTTATATATCAAACTATCAACATTTGTAACAAGAGATCAAGGTTGTTTTTATATTTTCAACTTCATGCATTTGTTTTTCTGACAATTGTTTTTAATCTATACATGTATAATCTGTAAAATATAAATTATTCAATGATTTCTTTATAATGTATATTGTTAAAATGACAATTGTTAGTAGATCTTTTTCATTTCCTACAAAAAAAAACAAATTAAATCAATTTGATTAAATAGGACTAAATGGTACAATCAGTAGTTTTGTACAGCTGAACAGGGTCATCATATGATAATCATTTGTTATTTACATGTATGTGTTGTGTTTTCAATGATTACATTTTACATTATACAATTACATAACTTGCAGGCTTGGACATAAGTGTTGACTGAGAGAATTACCAACAGTGTTTAATAATGATGTGCAGTATTAATCCTGAAAAGGTATATTTTTAAATCTCAATACGTGTACTTTTTTATTCCATGTCTTTTCTTGAAAAAATACATACTGGGTGATAAATATTGTCACAAATTTACTTAATTCTTATACATGTACTGTGAGAGAAATTCTTAAACACTTGTGCACTTTGAAATAAGATATACTGCATTGCTTTAGTATTTTTGAATATGCATAAGCATTATAAGTGAATATTAAATAGTAAATACTGTTGAAACATTAGATTTGATGTTATTAAAAGATACGAAATATAACTGCATAATATTTATATGCAATAAAACATAAGTCATTACCACATCTGTGTTAAATTTATTATGAATTTTATCTTTAAAGGTGAGCACAACCACAAGAAGTTCTAGGAAACACAGGCAGAGGACTGAAAATGGACATCAATAAAAGAAATAGTAATTTAAATAATCAGAAACACTTGAAACAAATTTAAGATTAAAAAAGGTTTCTCATTGACAGATTAAGAGCAAAATAATTGCTTAAATTTATAAGACAACCAGAACCTACCAAACCTGCAGCTAGTAAAAAAACTGTTTGTGCTATAGTGAATGTAGGATGTTCTGTTCTGTATTTGGACTAAAGGATATGTATTAAATTTTGTGAAAGAAATATGTGATCATGTTAAACTAATAAAAATTTCACCCCAAACATTCCTGTGCTGAATTCCGTCAGAGAATTTTACATTTTAAGAACATTCAGGGATGCTGGAATTAGGCTGGATTTTTTTCCATGTTTTTCCATCAAGGCTGGACTATTTACCATGGTAAAAAGTCCAGCCTCTATGGTTGGCAAACACATGGAATACCCTGGAAAAAAATCCATACTTTTGTTCCAATACTCCATGTACATGGAAAAGCATGGAATAAAGTCCATGTTTTTCCATGGAAAACATGGAAAATATTCCATGCAGCATGGAAAATATTCCATGTTTTTTCCCTGTTTTTCCAGCCCATTTGTTCTCAGCTTCAGGCTGGAAAAGGCTGGAAAATTTTGTTCCAATACTCCAGCCTTTTATTTTCCATGGAAATCCCTGGAAAAGCATGGACTTTTTACACCCGGGTAGGATTTTTGTATCGATATATCGGTAATGAATTATCGGCGATACAGCGATATATCGATTGCCAGGCTAAATTTTAGCTTTCAAGTCTTTTTAAATTAATGTTTCCTAAAGCCTCGGTCTCACTGACTCCCGGCAGAGCCCAGGACCATCCCGGTAACTTACCGGGATGATCCGGGACGATCCGGGATGAAATTATTGTTGCGGTCACACTAACCCCGGCAGCACTACGGTAGTTCCCTAGTAACAACCCAGGATGCGCTCCGGATCATCCAGGCAGAGCCCAGGTGAAGCTACGGTTCATGCCGGTGCTTCCACGGTCGTTCCCGGATGACGCCGGAAGAGCCCCGGTTGACCCAGGCAGAGCCCAGGTCGACACCGGCAGAGCCCCGGCAGAGCCCAGGACGATCCAGGCAGAGCCCCGGTAGAACCCCGGTGGATTGAAAACGCCCGAAAATGATAACTTTGATACATAATTTTTATTTAATATAATATCTATTGTTCCAGAATAGTAATTCATGATGATTTTCTGAAAAATCCTTATGCCATACTGGATAGAAGGGAAATGGGAAGGCTTTTAATACAAACAATTTCAATCATCACAAATTGTCCTTATTTTTTTGAAATGATCCGGGCTTTGCCGGGGCTCTACCGGGGCTCTACCGGGATCAACCGTAGCTCTACCTTTATTCTCCGGGGCTCTGCCTGTAGTTACCGGGGCTCTGCCGGCATAAACCGGGGCTCTACCGTAGCTCTACCGGCTATATCATACCCCGGACCATCCCCGGTTCGTGCCGGCAGAGCTACGGTGCTTTCCCGGTATCACCCCGGTCGTTCCCGGCAGAGCTAAGGATGATGCCGGCAAAGCTATACCTTCCCGGATCATCCCGGACCACCCCGGTGATATTAAATATTTTATTCCATCCGGGATCGAATGCCGGATGTTCCCGGATCATCCCGGATCATCCAGGACGTTACCGGCAGAGTTACGGATGTACCCCGGTTGTTCCCGGTCGTACCCCGGTCGTTCCCGGATCACCCCGGACGTCTACCGGGGCTCTGCCGGGGCTCTGCCGGGATGTCAGTGAGACTGTAGCTTAAGGACACTGACAAAGCAGTTATATTAAGACAAATGCAAAAAAGATAAACTATGAAAACCGAATAATTTGTTTCTTTTTTATCATACAGCTATAAATGAAAATTAATGACTAGTAACTATAAAGTTTAAAGCCTTTTCCATTTTACTTTTGTTGTTGTTGTTGCTATTACGTAGTTACTGATCATGCTAAATCCCTTCCTTGCCGTTCCAATTAAGCCGAGTTTAATTGGCAAATTATAGTGTTTAGAACCTGAATATTTATTAAAGTTTAACATTTTGTAATCATAATTTTTACAAAGAAACACTGACAAATTTTTCTTGGTATTTTCCCTTTTTAAAATCTGAATTGAGGGGTCTTGACATCCACTTAGCAGACGTGCGAGATTACAACGAAATTAGGCAGCATTCGTTAGAGACACTGGGAGGTATCTTTGGCATTGATTTCCGTTTTCATTTTAGAAAAAAAAAATGTTTCTGGCTTTCATAACTTAATATGTCGCTTTTATATTGACGTTTTGCGACAGTAAACAGGTCTATCAGTTCTATAAAACCTGTTCGCTGAAGTCTCTTTAGCTAGAAATATATGTGCATTCGATATCCGATATTTAAAAAATGGAATCGATATCGAATGGGATAACAAAGATCGTTGATACACCGATATCGATTGAATCGATGACACCCCTAGTTTAAATCTTAAAATTACTTAAAGATTCGACCAAAATGCAGTTTCTCAGTTTTGAATGACTAAAATAGGTCTAAGACATAAATCAAGTATAAAATATTAATAAAATATTAATGCCCTTTTGAACAAATTTGAGACAAATTTCTTCCTCATAAGCAATAAGTGTTTACAACTGTTTGAGGTTTATTTACAAGGTGGCAATAAAAATCAATTTTCTATAAATCTTTATGAATGCATATTTGCTTGAGAGATGCTTTTAATAAACTTTGTTTTATCATTGTATAAACATAGAATTAGAGATGTTGCCAAGAGTTTCTGTAAACACTTGCAGTGATAATAACAGCTCTTGATGGAATTTCTAATTACCCGCTTTCCTAATTGACTACAAAAAATGATAAAATACTTGATGATGGTGCCATCTCATGTGATAGTGTTTTTGCTGTGGAAAATAAAGTTTTATATTTTTTAATGGAGATCAAGCCAGCATAATTTAGGTTACATATTTATAATAGTTGTACTATTTCAGAACTATGATCAAAAAAAATTCTCATGATGATGATAATTATACTAAATAAATATCTGAAATCTTTGTATTGTTTGTAACGGATGAATACAGTGTGATGTATATTCATAGCTATAAGTTACAACCTTTGACAATTGCAAGTGTGGGACAAGTCCATTTCAGATATTTAAGTAAGTGTGGGACATTGAGGTCATTTTAGATATTTCTGAGTAATTCAGACAAGTCCATTTGAGATGTAATAAGTATGTGTGGGACAGGTTCATTGAAACAAAGTATGGGAAGTGTAAATAAGTCTAATCAAATGCTAAATTATTAAGATATATTATTGTTTCAGTTAGTTTTCAGGTTTTTTTACATATAAATAGCAAATATTACAGTTATGCAATGAGAAATTTAACTAAAATATAAGATTCAAATCTGAAAGAAAACCGCTGCCAGTTTATCTTACCTGGAAATTATCTTACCTGTATGATATGATATAATGTTACCAGCTGTGTTAAAAATATATATATATTTCTTACTAAACATTTAACCTAACTGATAAATTTATTTTCTTGTTGAAATATTTCCAATAATTCAATGCCTAGGCAAAAGCCACTTTGCCATAAATTTGCAATTTCAGAAGATGGAATTGAGATATTAAAGTTTGCTAAGTGATGATAATACTGACTTTGTATAAAAAAACTTTATATGCTTGAAATTTAGATCTGGCTGCATGGGATGTCTGGAGCTGAGTGGTTAACTGCATTGACTCCAAACCACTTGCCCCATCCTCTGTAGTTTGAATCCCATTGGGACTTTGGATTCTTAATTTCATGTGATCAAATGCTGAAGCTATCCAGCTAGCTTACAGAACGTAAGTCGTTCTCCAGAGGTCCGGGCAAATCTGTTTGATTTAGCTAGTTGAATAGCTTCTTCATATGAGGGAATCAATTGTCCCTGTTGGGATAGACTAAAGACACGTAATAATCCTTCGCCATTAGTCAAATAAGCTATATCATGTTTCTTCAGTCATTATGAAGCTAAAATAATTGTTTTCTAAATTGTAATAAATACATATAGTCTCAAAATTAATAAAACGCTGAGTGTCCTCAATGGGAGTTTATTCAGTAATTAGGGATTATAAATTAGGAGTTCTAACCATATGTGTATTTATGATTCTGTATCACTTTCGATTGAATGCAAGAATTGTCCTTTGTGGCTGAGAGGCTGCCTTTAATATTTGAGGCATAATAATTGCAGCCACGGTAAGAGGCGACTAAATGGGTTTGAATTATTGGAGTCTTTGCATGATGAGACTGAGACTTAGCTTGATCAGCAGAAGAAGTGGTTTTGAGCCTTTGTGTTCCTTTGTTTCTAACACCCCAGTTATGCCAAAATCATCTTTCCTGTTTCAGCACCCTATGATTTAAACTGTAAAACAAAACAATCATTGCAAGAAAAAAAACCTTAAAATTTTGTAGTTTGAACCTAATCAAGAAATTAGCCAATTATTCTTCAATTTTTGAAAGTGTGTATGCATTGTTAATTAATGATATGATTTGAGATGTTGAGCAAACATAATATTCAAAAGGTCATTTGATTTGCTTAAACATATATTATTTAAATGACAAGGGATTAAAATTATCTTCTAGCACTTAAATTGCTTGTCACAATTCAAATTATACTTATGTTTTGTGAAATGATTAGCAAAAAAAGGACAGTTTTAGTCATTATTTTTTCTGATAACACCTGATGAGATAATTATAAAAAAAAAACTACCAGTATAATACAAAGGTGTTATTTTCTGTCTTTCCCCAGAATCAAAAAGAAATATAGCAAATAAGTTATATCCAGTGAACAATATTAAAAAAATAATCTCAGCTTTAATACTAAGATTAATTATAATATGTTACCAGATGAGTAACAAATAAAAAAAGTAGAGAATGTTAATATTATGTTTATGCAAGAAATACTCACAATACAAGTACTGCTGACATTTTAGCTAAAGAATGGGGTTCACCCCTGGGTGTCAGTGTCACAGTTTAGTTCAGTTTTTGTGTTGGTTTTGCAACTTGGTTATAGAGAATGAGTGGAAGCTTCACACACATAATTATTTGAGAGCATAATCGGATGTCACTATTCAAGGCCCATAACTCTTACATGGACAGAGTTATGGCCCTTTTTATACACCTGAAGAAACTTCAGAACGTAATATGGTATGGCATTGTCCGTCTGCACAAAGAGAATAAAATAGAACTACAATACAAGAAGGAGGCAATGGCCATCTATAAAATAAAAGAAAATAACAAATAAAATGGCCCTTTATCCCATTTCAGTCGCATGACGGTGTGTCCATCCATAGACAATTGGTTTCTGCAGGTTAACTTTTGAAAGATTTAAAGAAAAAAAAGAATCTCAACTCTGGTGTTATTTTAATGACTATACCGCCAGATTAGGAGTCTTGCTCTACAGTTACCTACCCCACTCTCCATTGCCTTTGGTTAGCGTCTATCCATTTTCATGAAACAATTGAATCACATGAAGAAATTAGTGTGAAAATACTAAACAACATTTAGAAGGTATATTTTATATTTTCAGCATGCAGCAGAACAAGAAAAGAAACAGAATGAAAAAGAGAATCAGAAAGAACTTGGTAAAGATGTCCAATATGGCTGTGTTATACAGGTATTAATTCTGCTATCTTTGACCTAGCTTAAAATTTCTGTGTTTCTTTAAATTTGAATAAGTACAGTGATACATTTTGTACTGTAGCGTATATAATTTCAATATTCTAAAAGTTCATAACTTTGTATATGCAGCCAACAGAATAGTGGTTGGTTAAGCTTGCACAATTTTATAAAAATTGTGTTGGTCTTGGCTTTCCGAGTTACCAAGCCAGTTTTCAAAGTACATTAATTTTGTACTTACTAAAAATTAATACAATGTATTTTTACATTCATGCACGTTTGTGCATTTAATAGAGACATCCATAGCTTTACAGTGATTGTTGATAATAATGGAATAGTCCCTAAATTAAATTCATATACTATATTATAAGGAAATTGCTGAGAACCAGCTAGTTGTGACTGTCATAACATAATTATTTAGTCAGAAATACTGTGATACTGGGCAAACTCTTCAGTTCTACACTGACTACAATAAAATCTAAATGATCACCATAATTATGTGTACAATGTTATGTGTCTATGTGGAAAAAAAGCACACCCAAAACCAATAAAAATTGTATTGAATTCATTGTATAAATTACCCAGGATCTTTGGGTCTTTTTAATAAAAGATTATCTATTTTTTCATACCTGTGTCACGGTTCAGAACTGTTCACTATTTAGTGGAGAAGATATGTAAGTGGCGGAAGAACTCAGTCGATAGAGCCACGGAATGGTATTCTAAGGGTCCCGGGTTCATGCCCAATCAGACTGCACATTTTCCCCTCACCCTATGACACCTGCTTGTGTTGAAAGATTCATAAAATGTCTGCAGAAATATGTGAAAAAGTAGACTACTAGATTTTTAGAAATATCTATAACGATCGAAGTGTAATCATAACTCACAACATTTACCAACAAGCTTATTTTATAGTAACACAAAATCTTTGGTTTGCCCCACTTACATATGTGGGATAGTTTTTGCTCTTTGAATTAAGCACATTTTCTTGGAATGATAATAAATCTTGCTATAATGAACAGCTATAAGTATTAAAACATCAGACAAAGTTCCAAACATGCAATTTTGTTATAGAGAATATTATTCACTGCCATTTCAGTTCTTTCAAATGCTTAGGCTACGATAGTAGTATATTTTTTCATGAAAATCTGCTCATCTGTAATAATCTAAGGATTAAGGCAGACACTATTTAGTAGGCTGCCAGAACCCTCAATTCATGAAGTTTAGTGCCGAAAATACTCACCATTCCCTTCTAAAATAGTTAATATATATTTTCCCTATTTTTTTTAGAAATTTTTTTTTCTACCTGTGCCAAAAGCAGGTTACCCTTAACATTATCCTTTTAAAATTTGCTTTTGCAAAATTTAATTATATTAATTAAGAGCATGTTTGAGTATTGTTACTATTGTATGTATGTGCAGCAAAAATTGCCTGAAATTCTCCTTACAAAGGAAAGTGACATGAAAATACAACAGAAAAATAACACGGAAATTCTCCCTCCTACAGGTACACTCAAAGTGTTTCCCAAATACAGAGAGAAATACTAAGCACTGTGGCTGCTGAATGTTAACATTTAACAATTTTGAATCCTCACTATTAAAGTCAGATCTAGGCAATTCAGTATCACAAATGGAGTGAGATAATTAAATTGTCTCTTAGCTGTATTTTAGTAGAACTCCAGGGAAAACTTTGAAATTGATTTTTTCTTATTGCAACATGAACAATAAGCTAAGACATTTTTAAATAATCTTCTTTGGATTGATTTCTGAGCATAGAGGTTTCTGACAACATCCATTATATGTTTGTGGGAATAAATTTTTTGTATTTATGTAGTTATCAATATAAAATTTCTGTATTTATGTAGTTATCAATATCTGTGTTTTGATTAAGATAAAAGAGACAGATGTATGCCATAAACATAGGTAGCAGTAATTCTTGTCAACTTAGCTTATTTTCAAATTTTATAACATTTTTACATAAAAACATCTTTACTTAAAAAAAAATCAAAGTTAGCATGTCTGACATAGTGAGATTCTACAAAGATAACTGTATAAAGCAATATCTTCCATAATGAGAGAACTGAACAAACATCAGGGATCACAAAATATTAAAGTTTTATTATTAGAGTTTTATTTTGTTATCATCAAAGGGTTCTGACTTGAAACCCTTAGCCGGCTAGCGGCAACTGATGCTGCCCATGAAACCAGTGCAGACCAAGCTCAACCGGTATTTCTAGAACGGTCATTGATTAAACCGATAGCAGTGCATCCTTGATATTTTTCTGTCGATCAATAATCAATATACATTTTTAAAAATCGATAATTTTGATTGATTATTTTAATGTCTATGAATTATGAAAATTTACCTAAAACATACACAAAAGCAGGTGGGCAATTGTGTAACACTAAGCTGTTGTTACATAATGGACATATTTCATGCCAGTGATGACAAAAAATGGTTAAGCTACAGTCTCACTTACATCCCGTCAAGCCCCGGTAGACATCCGGGGTGATCCGGGTACGACCGGAAACAACCGGAGTACATCTGTAACTCTGCCGGCAACGTCCGGGATGATCCGGGAACATCCGGCATTCGACCCCGGATGGAATAAAATATTTAATATCACTGGGGTGGTCCGGGATGATCCGGGAAGGTATAGCTTTGCCGGCTTCATCCTTAGCTCTGCCGGGAACGACCGGAGTTATACTGGGAAGCACCGTAGCTCTGCCGGCACAAACCGTGGATGATCCGGGGTATGATTTAGCTGGAAAGCTACGCTAGAGCTACGGTAGAGCCCCTGTATATGCCAGCAGAGCCCTGGTAACTACAGGCAGAGCCCCGGAGGATACAGGTAGAGGTACGGTTGATCCCGGTAGAGCCCCGGCAAAGACCGGATCATTTCAAAAGAATAACGACCATTTGCGATGATTGCACTTGTTTGTATTAAAACTAGGGATGTCATCTGGAGCCGAAACGGCCATCCGGATATCCGAATCAAACATGCGGATGCATCAGGATGTTCGGATCGTTGTTATATTCTTAGATGTCTGATATGGCGTAACCATTTTTTCGCGACCTTTTTCAAAGTGTAGTATTTCGATCGTTTTTTCTTCCTTTTTAATTGAATGATACATATCAAAAATTTTCCGATATAAATTTTATTTCTTCTATATAGAATACGACTAGCTGTTATCAATAAATTTAGTGCGTGTGCATGGTACTTACGATTTCAAATGAAATGAAAACGAAATTCGCCGCCGATTGTCTGAATTCCTCAATTAGCGCTATAATACGCAATAAAATTCGCTCACATTTGTGAAAACAAAATAATACCCGTAAAAATTAAATATAATGTTTCCATTTTTCAATAACAAGCATACAATTTACACACGATGACCTTTAGCCGGCTTTTCAAAAGAATCTGCCAATCTTTGATGTTTACCATCATGTAGCCCTGGCTGTTTGATTCGAATCTTTAAAGAAAGTGCCGAAACTTACATGAATTACACACATTTTAAGTGTTCATAAGTGAAAAAAGAAATGTGAAAAAAAATGTTTAAAAAAAAATGCACATGTTTGATTAATACTAAAGGAGAAAGTTATTTTGTCGGATAATTTTCGTATCAATTTCAATAAAAGCTGTGATAATTAACATATAATTCGTAAGTGCATTTCTTTATTTGCTTATTTTATTTCTGCAGATTTTTCATTGTCTCAAATAAGGAGTCGACGGGTCGGTAAGCCGAAATATATATAAAAATAATAACCTAATTAAATATTTAAATTTGGACATAAAAAATGTAACATCGTTGCCGATGACAGTCGCACGGGACTTAGAATATCCATCTTGAATCTTACAAAACTTAAATTTGATTAACAACATGTGTCATAATTGACTTGTAATTATTATAGTAATTATTGATTTTTTGTGGTCTGCAGAGATTATGATGTGTATTGTCAAAGTAAGGTACAATATACAATATGGTGTCAACACCATGTCTTAGATTATCTCAATGCATGTATTTATCACATTTTCTCAATATTTTAAAATATTTTATACGAACATACGGATCAGAAAATCGGCTCCGGACACTGAATCGTTATCCGAACGTTCGGATATCCGGACTCCGAATGACATCCCTAATTAAAACCTTTCCCATTTCCCTTCTATCCAGTATGGCATAAGGATTTTTCAGAAAATCATCATGAATTACTATTCCGGAATAATAATTATGTATCAATGTTATCATTTTCGGGCATTTTCAATCCACTGGGGTTCTACCGGGGCTCTGCCTGGATCGTCCTTGGCTCTGCCTGGATCAACAGGGGCTCTGCCTGGGTCAACCGGGGCTCTTCCGGCGTCATCCAGGAACAACCGGGGAAGCACCGGCATGAACCGTAGCTTCACCTGGGCTCTGCCTGGATGATCCGAAGCGCATCCTAGGTGGTTAGTTGGGAACTACCGTAGTGCTGCCGGGGTAAGTGAGACTGCAACAATAATTTCACCCCGGATCGTCCCGCATCATCCCGGTAACTTACCGGGAAGGTCCTGGGCTCTGCCGGGAGTAAGTGAGACCGCAGCTTTAGGTAAAAATCATTCAAAGGAAATTTATAAACAGGACACAACATATTTGTATGAACAGAACATACATTATACTAAATTCATTTAAACAAGTAATACAAGAAATTTGAGTACTAAATATCGCTATATCGGTGTATCGGTGATATACTGGTAATCTGATATTGATGTATCGTCAATAACAGCTCTAACAATGAATCAATGACAGCTCTAGGTATTTCCAGTTTGATCATGGTCTGCACTGTTTACTATTCTATTGGTACATATTTAAAATGATGAATGTTTTTGTCTAGATTGAAAGTCCATTTTAGATATCTGGCATGGTAAGGGATAACTTTACTAGATGTTAATTATGTATGTTTATTAGAGCAACTTTAAATTATGACAGGATGCCTTTTGAAAATATAGAATAATTGTATAATTCCATCAATATTACTGCATAGAGAAAGATTTTACTAATAAATAAATAATTGAAGATTGGAGTGTGGTATTTTCTGAAAATATTGACATTGTTTAAATGTTAAAGGTACTTATTAAGCCTTAGAAGTTAATGAATTCTTCTTCCTGTAGAAGCTAGAGAGGGCAAATATGTATGCATACAAAACACAAAATCGCTATGGTGCTAATTGCTAAAAAAATGGAAAAAAAAGCAAAGACTTGATGATTATATATCTCCATAATATTAGGGCTGTGCATTGCCATTTTTTTCTGTAACGATACATATCACGATACTTGTTTTTCTAAACGATGCGATTCACGATATGTATTGCATACTTTAAAAAAATGCGATGCATATTGCGATTCTTATGTTGCGATGCGATACGTATCACAATACTAACTTTCAGACTTAGTACATAAAATTTGGCCATTTGTTTACAGCATAATTACGAATATAATATAGAATTATTACAATAACAAAAAATAAACTCTTTAACTTGGTTTCTGATTTTGATCTTTCAACAATTTACTTTTCTGATTACTTAAGGAATAAAGGTATTGTTAATTATACCATAACAGCAAATTGATATACACTAGTCTAACACTAAAGACCTCTACTGTAAATATGACAGTTTAAAAATTTCAGTCTTACAATACACCACTAAAAAAATTTCTTGTGAAAAAATAGTAACAAGTGATTTACAGTTAGGTCAACAACTGTGAAAATAACAGTTAATCAGTTACTCTCTCATTTTTCTCGAAAGATTTGTGCTCAACCCCAGAGTATTTTATTTTGAGTTTGCAAATTTTGCAAACACTCGACGTCCGGTCTTCAACATTATACAACACTGTCTGTTGGTTCCCAACAAACTACAATGTTCCCAAAACTCTGAATTGTATGATCAGGGAGGATTAACTATAGTTTCTCCTAAATATTTTGTAGTCTACAGTCATCACAGTTTTCTGTTTTTTTGTTTTGTTTTTTTACGGGAAAATGATGTCAACGGAAATGAAAGTATAAATACGTGACGAATATCACATGGGAATGTTGTCATCATCACTATTTTAATCCGACATCAAGTGCGACTAAATAAAATTACAAATTCATGTTTGTTGAAAACGCATAGATCTCTTATTATTTTTTTTTATTATAAACAAGTTCAAACAACACCAGCCCATTTATATAGAATTGATAAAACTTGGTTAGTTACCGTTAAATGATTGCGGACATGGGGAAACGAGATGACAACGATGATATGATAATAGTCGCGCTTGTTCATTTTTTTCATCCATGCTATTATTTTTTCTCCAGTCTTTCAAAAAATACGTTTGTCATTATATTCCTGGAAGATATTGTTAGTGTATTATATCTGGAGGTGAAATATGTATTGCATTGCAATAAATTGGAATTCGTAATTTCATAATGATACATATATGGAGGACAGGGCAGATTGCGATGCATCAATGAATCGTTACACCTCTACATAATATGTTTTTGGAAACACCCAAAATAACAGGCTTTTGATAGTTTATAAAAATAATAGTAAAGAATAATATGTTTTAATGGGCCTTTAATATTGTTATGATTTTATTTTTTGCCAGCTTCTTCATCTGAAGAGTAACAAATATCTGACAGTAAACAAGAGATTACCAGCTCAACTGGAGAGAAATGCTATGCGGGTATCTCTAGATGGTTCCGGCAATGAGGGGTCCTGGTTCTACATTGTACCATTCTACAAGCTAAGACAGCCAGGAGATAAAGTAAGTTATTATAGTGTAGACAGTTTTAGGAGCCATTGTAATGTAGTTTCTTATTAAATGAAGAGTTTTAACAGCCTATTATCATTATGCCTCCTTCAAAGAAGAGGGGATTTATTGATTTGCTAATGTCGGTCTGTCTGTCTGTCTTTCAGTTGGTCTGTCTATCGGTCTCACAGTCCTTCAGTAGACCACATGGTTTCCGCTGATTATCTTGAAAACTTCTTATCACAAAGTCTTCATAATTCACGTAGTGATTGGTCATAACTAGTAGATGACCTAAATGATTTTTGGGTCACTAGGTCAAAAGTCAAGGTCTGACACAGGGGCCTTAAATGTCAAAATGGTTTCCGCTGATAAGCTCGAAAAGTATTCATCACAAAGTCATCATATTTCACATAGTGATTGTTCATAACTAGTAGATGACCCCTATTGATTTTGGGGTCACTAGGCAAAGGTCAAGGTCACAAGGGCCTTAAATGTGAGAATGATTTCTGCTAATTATCTTGAAAAGTATTCATCACAAGGTCTACATATTTCACATATTGATTGGTCATAACTAGTAGATGATCCCTATTGAGTATGGGTCACTAGTTCAAAGGTCAAGGTCACAGGGGCCTTAAATGTCTCATTATCTTGAAAACTATTTATCACAAAGTCTTCATTATGTTTCTTTTTTCCGAACACTTCCATGTTTCCATTTATGGCAAGTTTCTATAACAAAATTACCAATAATCTGAGTCCAGGGCTAGAAAGGGGGGCATATGTGTTGTTCGACATTTCTTGTTATTAGTTATATTATGAAGATTTTTTACCTGTTATATGGTTTTATATAAGTGGTTGCTTGCATTTCAGTTGCTAGTTAACATTTATATACAGCCATGCAACCTGTTAAGAATCTTTATAACTGGAAACTTTCCTTATTAGAGAAAAAATTAAATTGATTTATAAATCAACTGAAGCCATGTGAATTAAGAAATAATATCGGCCTGAGAGGTGTATATCGGCTATTTAACACCGGTTTGGAGTTTTGATGCCTAGGAATTGACCACGAAGGCCGTAGGCCTGAGTGGTTAATTTTTTCGCATCAAAACGACAAAACAGGTGTTAAATAGCCGATATACACCTCTCAGGCCGATGTTATTTCGATTCTTTCACGATAAAATAAGGGAGATCACTAATGTTATTTTTTCAAGCGGAAATAACTTCTGGTACCAATTTTCGTATAACGCTGTTCGATTTTCGCACCGTACTGTTGCAAAGATATAGAAATTATTAAACAACAAAATAAATAATAAGAAAAAACGTTATTTTATCAGGTTTTCAACAATAAAAACTTACGTTGTATTATGTTTACATCAGTGTCCCATTTATCATTCTTGTATGTATGAAATAACGTCAGCTTGTTTATGAATGAGTTGTTTACTTACGATGACGTCATTAGGCTGCTTACGGATTGGCGCCGTTGTGTCAAAATATTTATTAACTGATATGGATCAAATATGTGGCGTTAGTGTATGTGAGATATTATTTCGGTATTGTATGAAAATTTTTATTGTTGCTTTAAAAGGCTTTGTAAACTATATAATCGAGGGTGAAAACATTAAAGCTGCATATACAAGTAGTCCCTAACCTGTGTTTATTGGCAGTTTAACATAGTTTTTTTTCCTTCTTTGTCTATAGTGACAAAATCACGTGGAGTGATAGAATAGATTATATAAACACCATGATTATCAAATGAAAAAACAAACAAACATGCAGTATTATAATATTAGTCATAAAGATTTTTGACAGGTTTGATTGCAAATAATCATTTATATAAGGCCATATAACTGCCAAGAATCTTTATAATGAATTTATGATACAGCAAACTTCCTTTATTCGAGAAAGAAATGAAATTATCTGGTAAGGTGACAGAAGCAGTGTATATACATGCACATAGATTACAATATGTAGTTTATATAAACTTCACAATTATACGATTTAAAGTGACATTACAAACAGTCCTTATTACATTGTATAGTATAAACATATGTAAGGTTTTATAACAAAATTTTGTTTTATCCTGGCCATATGACCTGTCAAAAATTGTCATAACTAATTAAAAAAATGGTATATAAAATATAGGAAATCATATTTCAATTGGTGCAGTAATGTGGTCATGCAGCATTTTTTCTTTCCTTTGAACATCTCAAATCACAAATTGTGGTTTCACACAATCAACAGATTAACAATCTTGATAAGATTGATACTATGAACTGAATTTTAGAAAATCTAGACCAGGAAGTGTTTATTTGCTTCATATCTCAAGATAATATAGTAAATATGAATGAAAAATAATGTCAACCTTTTTTCCTGGAAACCTTCTCAAAATAACTTCTTAGTGATTTTTAGCTTGACCATCCAAAGAATATGGAGAGCTATTGTACTCACCCTGCAGGCATCAGCATTGGTGTTGGTGCCAGCGTCATTGTCACACTTTTGTTAAGTTTTTGCATGCAAGTTAAGGTATCTATTAAGCTTACAAAGGGAAAAGTTTGAAATTTTAAACACATATTTGAGAGAATAATAGGAGGTCACTATCCAAGGCCCATCACTCTAGCATGGATTTCTAATAGAATTATCGTCCATTTTGAACTTAATTTATTCTTTATCCTGGCTTTTTGTTTTACTATCAAGCTCTGAGAAGAGTCAAGCACTCTGGCCTACTGACAGCTCTTGGTTTTTACTGTAAAGCTGTCAGAATATCTTAGCAAATTATTTTAAAAGTTTATATTTCAAACAACCTGTGATAGTTGACCACCTCAAGCAGGATTTTTTATCTGCATTTTGTCAGGATACTGGTTTTAATACATTAGTTTTACTTTATAAATATAATAAGTAAAAATAAACATTTGTGATTATTTTTTATGAAAACTGTTTCATACTTGAGATAAAATACAGTTGACTCATTGTCAGACACACTATGATATTGTTTACAGGTTGTTGTTGGTGACAAGGTGATATTAAACCCGGTGAATGCAGAGCAGCCCCTGCATGCTAGTAACTATGACCTCCCTGACAACCCAGAGTGCAAAGAGGTCAACTCTGTCAGTTGTAACACCAGCTGGAAGATGGTGCTCTTTATGGACTTCAAAGACAACATGGAAGATGTTCTTAAAGGAGTAAGTTCTATATTCAAGCGGCACAATTATAAACAATTATACATAATCTGACCAGGCTCTATGCTGACAGCTGACTAACCAGAGATTTTTTTTTTCAATTTTCAAAAAAACTTGTGGCTCTTGAAAGGGGAAAATATAGCACAATAAATCAGCAAAGGGGAAACTTGAAATCAAATTCCAACAACTAAGAATTCACACATTTGATAAAATTTTCAATTTCAATTCAATTTAACATGCATGGTGCATAGCAGAAACTATCTATATGGACAGTTTTCTGTCTTTCAGTCAATTAAATATATCAACCAGCTGATAACAGTGCACAGGGCATTTCAGGGGAAAGTATATTATTTTTAGGGGAAAATACTAGTACATGTACTTATTATGGATTTTATTCAGCTGTTAAAAGATATAGAAAAAAAAATTACTACTAAAGATTTTTATCATGATGTTCAATTGATATGAAACAGTTGCAAACAATGGAAGATAGACAATAATATATATGCAGGCTTGTTGATGCTTGTTAAAGGATTGTTTTAGCTAAGAGAAAGCCAGACAAAATGAATGAATTTAAATCACAGAACTAATGTTATTGTAGGTCCCTTGAAGACTGTAAATATCTGATAAAATCTCAGAACAATGAAACAGTCGCGACAATACTGTCTTGTGACAATTTTAGGATTAAATGAACCAGATATAAAGTAGTCAGTGGTTACTTATTGATTCGCAAGTTATATTTACAAGTCTGTATTATTGGCATGTAGTAAGTAGTAAGTGATAGTTTTATAAGTAGTATCATTAATCATCAATGTAGTGGAAATATCTGCAGGCAAACATTTGAAAGTTTCAATGCAACAACAGCAATACATTTAAAAGCTTATTGATGTTGTGAAGAAGCAGTAAATTTCTTAGTGTTGAAATGGCCTCTGTAAACTGTCTAGGTATCAAAATGTTACTTGTTTTTCACTGTCAAGGGATCAAAATGGTACTTATTTTTCACTGTCAAGGGATCAAAATGGTACTTATTTTTCACTGTCAAGGGATCAAAATGGTACTTATTTTTCACTGTCAAGGGATCAAAATGGTACTTATTTTTCACTGTCAAGGGATCAAAATGGTACTTATTTTTCACTGTCAAGGGATCAAAATGGTACTTATTTTTCACTGTCAAGGGATCAAAATGGTACTTATTTTTCACTGTCCAGGGATCAAAATGGTACTTATTTTTCACTGTCCAGGGATCAAAATGGTACTTATTTTTCACTGTCAAGGGATCAAAATGGTACTTATTTTTCACTGTCAAGGGATCAAAATGGTACTTATTTTTCACTTACAATAAACATTGTATTTAAGCTTTAGCCTGCAATTGATTGTTACCATGACATCAGTGCAGACCAAGATAACTCTCATTATAGTCTGCATATTTCAAGATAACTCTCATTATAGTCTGCATATTTCAAGATAACTCTCATTATAGTCTGCATATTTCAAGATAACTCTCATTATAGTCTGCATATTTCAAGATAACTCTCATTATAGTCTGCATATTTCAAGATAACTCTCATTATAGTCTGCATATTTCAAGATAACTCTCATTATAGTCTGCATATTTCAAGATAACTCTCATTATAGTCTGCATATTTCAAGATAACTCTCATTATAGTCTGCATATTTCAAGATAACTCTCATTATAGTCTGCATATTTCACCAATATTTTTGAATTTTCCCTAAAAATGATAAATGGTTTTGTCCAGAATGAAAGCTGGATTCATTCTGGACAAGTATATTTCAGATATATAGCATGCTAAGGGTTAATAGCATATTCAATTTGTAAGATTCAGTAAGAATTTTGAATGTCATAATAGTGGGTAGATAAAAGAATCATGTTTACCTGTATGCAGTGGCCTTTTTCCTGTTTGTTTTGTTCACACCCTATGTAAAACATTTTAATTAGATGATTACTATACCAGTGAAGCCTGAAAGGTATTTTGTAAAAAAAGGGATTTTATGGAAATACCATAGATCTTGTTGTTTATTTTCGCCCCACCTTTTTTGCATACTTTATGTGCAACTTATGAAACAGTGCATGTACAAACACATGTTTTAGGTATACAACGAAAAGCCTGGGAAAGTATTGGCCATCTTGTATAGCCACTAATTTGTTTATTGAGACTATGCTATGACAAGTTTTAAAACTTTACTGTGATTTTACATAATTTAACTTAAATGAATAATTCATTTTTTTTTAAATTTTCCTTTTAACAGTATAATAAACACTAGTAGAATCAGTCTTGGAATTTTGTGATGCTAATTTAATTTGATATCTTTACTGGTGATATTTCATTTAAATCAATTTCAATCTTTATTTGATAAAGTTTGCGTTCCAGACCCTTCCCCCCCCCCAACCAAGTTTCTCCATTTGTCAGTATAAATAAGAAACAATATCTATGTTGATGTGATTTTTTCCCCCTCAGGGAGATGTTGTACGACTGTTCCATGCTGAAGAGCAGAAGTTTCTCACAGCAGACGAATATAAAAAACAGCAGCATGTTTTTCTCAGGACCACGCAGAGATTGTCAGCTACGTCTGCTACTAGCTCAAAGGCATTGTGGGAAATTGAGGTAATTTTTTAAAAGATTAAAAGAATTTGTGTAGACAATTTGCCTTACTAACTTAATTTGCTGAAATTCAATTATTTGAGTTTGAAATTGGGACATTGGTGTAAGAACTTTAGATCAAATTTATCTGGCTAGATTTGTAACTTAATGAAATCTAACATTGGTCATATCAATATACTCTAATGAGGAAGTGACCAAATTATATTAGTGCCTTGATTTATGCCTGCAGGGCTCACACTGGCTCAAATAAAATAATAGTCAATAATTATAACTTAAAAAAATAATAGCCAAAAGTTCAGCAGACTATTCACGAATTAGCGATTAACAACATAAGCAGTTGATTAAATAAACATTACATTTTTATAAGGATTCTCAAATAAACTGATACATTTGTGTATATTGATAACTACCTTTTTTTAAATAGAACCACAACTTTAATTGTTATTATAGAACAGAGTAAAAAAGTTATAATTAGTATAATTACTGTATAACAATAATATTAAAGATTCATTATAACTTTACATAATGCTGTTATCAGACAACTTTTTTTGTTTGTTCTAATCAAATTTTGTCAGCTATAACCACTGTCAATTTCCACATTTCACACAGAACTGGAGTAGATCTAGGTCATATTAGCCTATAGAATAACACAAGTTTGCAAACTCATTCACAGAATGCAACCTTTTTTCTGAATAATTTACTGAAAAATATCATCATCACCAATGTAATACAAATTTTCTGCCATAGTAGTAAAGATTTTTAAACAGAACATAGCTTATTTCACCTTTAAAGAAATATCAAAATTATCGGTGTCGCGAAAATATGTGACAATCGGATTTTTCCTGTTTTCTGAAGAAATATTCACAATTTTGGTTGTTGTGCAAATAGTTGTTTGGAATTTAATACTTTTTAAATATTTTACCATTGTTTTCCACTGGCGATTTAGTCAAGTAGCTTAAAACAAAAAAAAACAAAATTTGCAATTACTGGAATCCACGGTAAATTTTGGGTAAGTCAATATATAGTTTATCAATTTTAAAACGATTTTTGTGGCTAATTGACAGATATTTGATGGCTATTATAAATGCTGGACAATATCTTTAAAGTACTTATACAATAATACATCTCGCATGTATTTTATCACCTCGGGCAATATAGTTAGCAGCACGTGACCGGTAAAAAGTTGACACTCAATTAAATGCACCCCGCTGGTGTTAATTGGGTCTACTGCATTCATTATCGTTTTTTACACCTTATATAAACACTGTTGGAAGTAAAAAAAAATCGCCAGATTTTGTAGCCAAAATGCAAAAATAATCGCCAATCTTATAAAATAATCGCAAATGGCGACTATGGCGACCGACAGCGTGAGCCCTGTGCCTGCAATCTCGTTGTTGAGAGGCAGTCACCTTTAACAGAAACCATTTGTATCCATGAGATTACATAAAAAATACAGAAGTATGGTCATCCTGAGTTATATATACAATTAGAAATTAACATACAATATTTTTATAAAAGTTAGATTTGATATACAACCCAACAGAATTACTTTATTGAGTTTTTTTGGAAGCTTTTTTTATAAAAAAAATATCTCTAGTATAGAAGGTGAATTTCTTAGAAGGAAAAAAACACCATAATAATGTAACTGAGGAATATTTCTTTATATAAACTGAGTCATTCATCTGTCATTTTCATGAGTATGAAATATGTTTTCATTAAATTGGTACCTAGATCAATAAATTTCCTAATTATCCTTTGATATTTCCTTCTATTTATTCATAAGGACAAATGAGCCATGTTAGACAAAACCAACATAGTTGGTAAGCGACCAGCATGGATCCAGACCAGCCTGCGCATACGCGCAGTCTGATCAGGATCCATGCTGTTCGCTGTCAGTTTCTCTACTTGTAATAGAGTTGGTAAGCGAAAAAGCATGGATCCTGATCAGACTGCGCGGATGCGCAGGCTGGTCTGGATCCATGCTGGTCGCAAATGCTCTATGTTGGTTTTGTCGTGACGCAGCTCATTTCTGGTTTTCATTTACAGGTTGTGCAACATGATCCATGTAAAGGAGGGGCTGGTCACTGGAACAGTCTTTTTCGGTTCAAACACCTTGCTTCAGGACAATATCTGGCTGCAGAGGTAATTTATCCCCCTGTTCTTTCTTTAGAAGAACTTCAATGTCTTATTGCAATATAGTTGTTGGTAGTGTAACAAGAAATTCAGATATGTCAAAGTTATTGTGTTATATTGCTTAATATAAAAATCAAACACATCTTACTTCATTTAAAACACAACAAAAGTAGAATTTTCATGTAGTGAAATTCTAATTTATTAAAAAAAGGACAAAAGGAAATATTGTATGTGATTGTTGAGAATTGTAATATATTTTTGTTTTAGATTGACAATGATCCAAGAATAGATCCAACCAGACAGAAGTTGCGAGGCTCTCCTATCGCTAATGTATACTGCCTAGTATCTGTACCACATGGGCATGATATAGCCACGTTGTGGGAGCTAGACCCCACCACAATGACTAGAAGTGACACCCTTGTTCCAAGGTAATGTTTTTTCCTAGACGTTATTTGCTGGTGTTTTTATGCCCCCGCCATGTAATGGCCGGGGCATATAGTGTTACCCTGTTCCGTCATTCCGTCCTTCCGTCCTTCCGTCATTCTGTCATTCCATCATCATCAGTTTCCGTTCATTATCTTAAGAACGGTTGGACACATTCAACCCAAATTTGACATATGGATATGTCATGAGAAAATACAGGTCAAGTTTGAATTTGGTCATGGTTCGATGATTTTTGGCAGAGTTATGCCCCTTTTACTTTGAAAATAATATGAAATTTTCAGTTTCCGTTCATTATCTCCCCAACGGTACAACACATTCAACTCAAACTTGACATATGGATATGTCATGAGAAAATACAGGTCAAGGTCGAATTTGGTCATGGTTTGATGATTTTTGGCAGAGTTATGCCCCTTTTACTTTGAAAATAATATGAAATTTTCAGTTTCCGTTCATTATCTCCCTCAAGGTACAACACATTCAACTCAAACGTGACACATGGATGCGTCAAAGGAATGCGCAGGTCAAGTTCAAATTTGGTCATGGTTCAATGATTTTTGGCAGAGTTATGCCCCTATCACTTTGAAAGTAGTATGAAATTTTTAGTTTCCGTTTATTATCTCCCCAATGGTACAACACATTCAACTCAAATTTGACATATGGATATGTTTTTGGAATGCCCAGGCCAAGTTCGAATTTGGTCATAGTTCAATGATTTTTGGCAGAGTAATGCCCCTTTCACTTTGAAAATAATGTGAAATTTACAGTTTCTGTTCATTATTTACCCAACAGTGTTACATATTCAACTTTAATTTGACATATGGATATGTCAATGGAATGGGCAGGTCAAGTTGGAATTTGGTCATGGTTTGATGATTTTTTGGCAGAGTTATGTCCATTTCACTTTGAAAATAATATAGATACATCTTAGGAATAAGCAGTTTAAGTTGGAATTTGGTCGTTGTTCAATGATTTTAGACAAACTTATCTTTCCTGAATGTTGGAAAAATTTTGAACTTTCAGTTTCAGCACTCATTCTTTTAGCCATTATTTTGGCTACAAATATGCAATATGCTATTTTTAAAAGGTTAAGGCTGAATAATTTCAGTGCCTTGAACATTGTATGGAAATGGTTTGTGTTAAGATTGAAAAGTTTTAAGGGCTTTGAACTTAAAATGAAAAAAATAATTAATGCACCATCTGAAATTTTGGCTGCATGCGGGGGCATCAGTAGCATGATGACACATTTCTAGTTTTTTCCATAAATGCAATAATAAGATGTCCTGTAATTTGACATTTAGAAACAGATTGATTACATTATTTAATTTTAATATCACCACCCACCACTCGATAACATTGTTTTAATTCAAAATGACCGCACACCTTCCCCAACCCCCTCCCCCCCCCAAAAAAAAAAAATAAAAATGATAAATAAATACATAAATAAACGAAAAAAAGTGATAAAAAAATCAATATTTCAATAAATTGATGACAAATACATGTTCTTCAGCTAAAGATCTTCTGGTGAGGTAATTTTAGCAAGCATAGATTATAATGGTATGGTGTGAATATATAATTTTCGGGCTTGTTTTCAGGAATTCCTATGCACGTCTACATCATCTATGTACAGGGACATGGGTTCACAGTACATCATGTTTAGCCATTGATAAAGATGAAGATAGGCCTGAGAAAAATAAGGTAATCTTGTAGGGCTTTTAAGTAAAAGTTGATAATAAAAAATCTATTCTCTTGAATACTGGGGAAATAATTCTCTTGAATACTAAATTAACTAATTTTCTTGAAAACTGGATAAATAATTCTCTTGAATACTTAATTGTCTGAACTGAATGCATGCAAATTTAAATACATTCATAACTGATTCTTTACCATTACAGTTAAATAGTAGTACAGTATACTCCGCTTATAACGAACTCATAGGGACATTCAAAATCTGTTCCTTATATCCGGAGTTCCTTGTAAGCATATAGCGAATTAGTTCCTGGTATCAGGAAATTTTATAGCGAACAGATTTACATATAACGAACTGATTGTTTACCATCGTCCGCCATTTTGGAGAGCATTTGATTGTACTTTTTTGGAATTTGAAAATCCTTTGCTATTTCAGTTTAAGTTTTACTCCCTATCTCAATTTCTCATAAAATATATTATTTTGTTTCTAAACTCTTTTCGTTTTCTTTCCATGATTGAGAATAAACAAGATTTTCGATTTTTCCTATCTTTTATATTGAATATCTTGTATTATATTTTAAGGGTGACTTTAACTAATGAAATTAGATATGGCTGTTTTCATTTAAATCAAGCTTACTTTGCAGTTTGCAATGGATCATGCTTGCAAGTAAGCATGATTATGTTGAAAACCAATTATAAATTATTATAATTATTTTACTCGGGCAAACTATTGAAGAAAAGAAATACTTGAATAAAAGGAATAACCGTTTTATCTTCGTGAAAAGAGCTCATGCTAAAAATATCCTAAATAGAAAACTATACAAATTCATTTTACTACATGTATGGAAGTACATACAACAATAAACGGTACATTCGGCCAATTTTAATCCATGCCAATGAAAACGAATGTTGAAAATGCGGGATCTATTTACGGGTAGCCAGTATTTTGGAGTTCGTTATAAAAGTGTAATTTTCTGTACTTTTAACTAAATTGGGACTAGGAAATGAGTTCCTTATATACGATAATTCCTTATAACTGTGTTCGCTATAACCGTATAGTTTTTATTTTAAATAAAGAAGGGCAAAATTCGGGCCAAAATAAATTGTTCCCTATAACCGGAAGTTCGCTATAACCGTGTTCACTATAAGTGAAGTTTACTGTACTCCAAAGCTACTCCTTACAGTTACAGTTGGTATAATTTATATCTTAACCTTTGACATTTATTACTGTGCTTGTTAATGAGAGTGTAGTTTGATATGTTTCCTAACAAGGTACATTTATCTCTTCCTATTCAATCTGGTGTGAGTAGAGCAGAATATTCTACATAATCAGCCAATATAAAGTCATAGAAAGTGTTAATGTATTTTACTATAGGTTGGTTGTGCACAGATAAAGGAGGACAAAGAGGCCTTTAACATAGTACCCGTACCTCCAAGTGAAGTCAGGGACCTGGACTTTGCTAATGATGCAAGTAAAGTGGCTGGGGAAATAGCCAGCAAGCTGGAGAAAGGATCTATTACACAGAATGAGAAAAGGTAGTAGTAACGTACTAGCCAGCTGTAACTGCTGCCCATGCTAGGTCTGTGGTTACCTTTGACTGGTAAAAATGAGGTTGTATTAATTGCCTCTCACCACTGTAGGTTCTAACTGCACCAGCGTCTTCAAATTCATTCATGTGAGAAAGGTAGTTTATGGAATGTCAGTGGTTCTACTAGGGTGCCCATTAGTGTTTGAGATAATGCACAAAGAGGGGCACCTGAGGTTTTCCTCCGTCAGTTAGGCTGGAAAATCACCATATGACCTATACTGTGTTGATGCTTTTTAAAACCAACACAAAAAAGAACAGAAAATCATTGTTTTAAAAGCATATCTTAATTAGCTTTCACTAATGTGTATAAAATTACTTTTATATAAATTGGGCTGATTAGTAACCAGTACAAGCAGTTTGTCCGTGCCATGCCACTTTTAAGTAGAAACAGCATGGAAATTTATCATTAATTCTATTGATAGAATTTTAAGATTAAAAAACTATATTGTGAATATTGTTTTGTATGACAAATTAATGTGTAGGATTTGTCAAGAAAGGAGACCTGCCCTTGACCTCCATGACTGAATGGTTAAGGTTGATGACTTACCTCACAGCTTAAACTATGAATTATGAATTCTGTCATATGAGATAACTTTCTACTCATTGACCTACGTCTGAAATAATATACAGAGAGCCTTTGAAGTCCTACTTAAGCTATTAAGCTGGAAAGTTCTTATATATAAACTTTATAGTGTAATTGTGATATTTGTAGTTAAGTTCATCATAAAATAAAAGGTTGACCTGATCATCTGTATTAATATGATATAATGTAAAATTTATAGATGTTGCTTAGATACTCTTTATAACAGAGAAATTTTATTAGATTTCAGAAAATATACAACTTTTTAATGGAAAAATGTTTATTTCATATATATATATATATCTCACCTTAAACCAGGTTATAATGGAGGAATGTAATTTACAATATTAATTTCAGGAATGTAACAAAGCTGCTGTCAGACCTGATATATTTTGTGTGTAACCAGGAATCTTCAGACACTGGCACAGATCCCCTACATGTAGAAATGATCAATCCAAATGACTGTAGGGAGAGGCAGAAACTGCTTAGAGAACAAAACATAATAAAACAGGTACAGCATTTTCAACAATAAAAATTTTAATAATTATAGTACTTTAGTTTTGGGTTGTCCTGTGGTCGAGTGGTTAAGGTCATTGAATTAAAACCACTAGCCTTTCACTGCTGTGGGTTCAAGTCTCACCACAGACTTGGATTCCTTTATGGGAGGAAGCTGTCCAGCTATACCTTGAAGGAAGAGAAAAAAGTACTTTAGTTCATTTGCAAATATGCAAAATTTTAATTTATTTGTATGTTCTTATACAGTGCATTGTATTAGTGGATTTTTCTTTATAAAAACTGTATTAAACTGTGATAAGTGATCGATTTATTAAAATATAATTTATACTCAAGTTTAGAATAATTATTAGGCATTTTGTTTTATAGACTGCATGTTGATACAATGTACATAGATACCTGTGCTGATTTAATTATTAAATTTATGTCCTTTTTATTGTGTCGCCTCTACAGAGTAGTGGCGACATATAGGGATCACTTCTCCGTTGTCTGTCTGTCCGTCTGTCTGTCTGTCCGTCCGTCTGTCCGTCCATCCGTCACAAAACTTTTCCGGACTACCCCTCATAAACTACTGGTGCAATTTCATCCAAACTTTACAGGAATGATCAGTATCAAGTCTAGTTGTGCATATTGTCAGCATTTTCCGGTTCAATGATTTTTGTCAGAGTTATGGCCCTTTAATAATTTTTAATTTTAAAGTTTGTCCGGACTACTTCTCTTATACCACTAATGCAATTTCAATGAAACTTTACAGGATTGATCTGTAGCTCAAGTCCTTGCGCATATTGCAAGGGTTTTCCGGTTGAATGATTTTTGGCCGAGTTATGGCCCTTTGATAAAAAGGTGTTTTTTTCTGTGTGTTGCCAGATACACAATAGCTTGTCCGGACTACTCCTCATAAACTACTGGTGCAATTTCATCCAAACTTTACAGGAATGATCAGTACCAAGTTTAGTTGTGCATATTGTCAGCATTTTCCGGTTCAATGATTTTTGTCAGAGTTATGGCCCTTTAATAATTTTTATTTTTAATGTTTGTCCGGACTAGTTCTCTTATACCACTTATGCAATTTCAATGAAACTTTACAGGATTGATCTGTAGCTCAAGTCCTTGCGCATATTGCACGGGTTTTCCGGTTGAATGATTTTTGGCTGAGTTATGGCCCTTTGATAAAAAGGTTTCTTTTTCTGTGTGTTGCCAGATACGCAAAAGCTTGTCCGGACTACTCCTCATAAGCTACTGGTGCAATTTTATCCAAACTTTACATGATTGATCAGTACCAAGTCTAGTTGTGCACTGTCCGTCTGTCTGTCCGTCTGTCACAGAATTTGTCCCAACATGAAATTGGCCATTATGAGGCGACACATGTGATTACTGATCGCTCTTGTTTATTTCAAGAAAGGGCAAGTGGACTTTTAGATATCTTTTAAATTATGTGCATACTTTTGATATTGTAAAATTCATAGTGAAATTTTTATAAACATTTTCTGGTACTTCTCAGGATTAAGAATTTGAAAAAAAGTATGTGAACTTTTAATTATAGAAGAATTGAATAAACATGCCGATAAACAAAAAAGCTGTTTTTTTTTCTTGACTAGGTTTTCAAAATACTGCAAGCACCGTTTAATGATCACGGGGATGGTCCAGCATTACGGATGGAGGATATAATGGACCAGAGACACGCCCCCTACAGGCAGATCTGTAAACTGTGTTATAGAATATTGAAGTTGTCTCAGCAAGATTATAGGAAAAATCAGGTATGTTTGATTATTATTGTGAAAAGTTTGCATCTATAGACTATAAATAGCATTTTCTAGTGCAGGTAAATGAATTATTGCCATGGTAACACATGACATTATAATGATTGTTGTCAAATTACGTTTGTTGTCAAATTACGTTTAGGTTTATTTCTGATTTGTGACAATTTTAAGATGTTTTAAACAGAATTTAGATTTAAAATAAGAGCAAAACATTAATTGAAATTTCAACGTGTTTCTGCTTTCTCTTTCCATGTATCAGTAAAAAGCAATCCAAAGAATAAATGTGTATTTCTATTTAAATGTATCAATAAAAGGTAATCCGAAAAATTGATGATTGCAAATATAGATCTAAAACCTTCATTCTAAAAGAATTTTTCATTTATAAAAGGAAATTGTCTTATGATGATGTGACAAACAGGTGCCTGATGTCTAACACACATCCCTCTACCCTACCTGAACACATTTATTACAGATATAAGAAGTTATGAAGGGGATATTACACGTCAGGCACCTGTGATGTTACACACATGTAATAAGTTCCAATTCTGTTTTACTGATGATATACTGCTGCCTCATATTTCCGTGGTACCCATATTTCCAAGGTATTAGGCTTAAACAGTCTAAAGTGCCTCCTAAACTTCATGAACCTGCCAGTAGTTTTACTTTTACTATTTTATTGTATTTTTATCGAAATGTTAAATATAGAGCTAAAAAAAAATTATTTTATTCAGATTCAGAGCAAAGTTTATTATTTCACCATTTTTCTTTTATATTTCATACCTTTAAAGAAAATCTTCTTTGTTAAACAACCATTGAGGTATTTGATAAATGCCAAAGAGAAAATCGCCCCTTTCAGACGAGCCTAGGTATAGGTTTACTAATAAATAAAGTTTACTATTGGTTTTGCTTTTGAAGCTGTTAAAATGTAATTGCCTTGGAAATATGAGAACACAAATTTACTCACAAGGCAGCAGATGGGTGTTAATTACAATGTTGTATACATAATTGCTTACATGTAAACATTAAATGGAATAAACTATGATGCAATTGACATGTCTATCCTACAATATTCACTGTGTTTTCCAGAATTTTATCCTCTTAACTTTTGTTGTCTGTGTAAAACAGTTAAGTACCACGGAAATATGAGGCACCAGTATACAGAATTATATTTTTTTTTGAATCACTATTTTGTATTTGAGATTTGTCTAATATATTTTGTTTGTATTCTAGGAATATATTGCGAAGAATTTCCCGTTCATGCAGAGACAGATAGGCTACGACGTGTTAGCGGAAGATACAATCACAGCGTTATTACACAACAACAGGAAGTTGTTGGAGAAACATATCACTGCATCAGAAATAGAAACATTTGTTAAACTGGTCAGAAAAAATAAAGAGCCAAGGTGGGTATTTGTCGTTTATAATTTTTGTAACGGTAATTATAATAACTTGTTTATTTCAGTAGTATTGAGCAATATTAGCCAGCATATATATTACCAATTCATAAGAGCTCTGAGGTTATAGTCATCAGTGGCCAAGTGGTTAAGGTCATTGACTTCAAACCACTTGCCCCTCAGTGCTGTGGGTTCAAATCCTGCCAGGGACTTTGACTTCTTTTATGTGAGGAAACTTGCTGACAGAACGCTTGTGGTTCTTATCAGGTGCACATCCAATGTCTGATGTAATGCATTGAGATTGTTAATGTGTGTATTGGGCTTTATACTATTGCACAGCAATGATCAAAATTAACAATTTAACTACCTCTGTTTCTGATTGAGTGATTAAAGATTCAACAAAGTGGTCTAACAAATATCCAATGTCTTACCATTTGATATAGTCACTAAGGTTTCATCTAGATAACTAGAATTCTATATTTTATTTCAGGTTTTTGGATTACTTGTCGGACCTGTGTGTATCCAATAAAGTTGCCATTCCAGTTACCCAGGAACTAATCTGTAAATGTTTACTTAGTGAAGAAAATAAAGACATTCTTATAGATACCAGGTACATAACACAATGTCACATCTTACAAGTCTGTTATTTGACTGTTAATCATGTCAAAGTATATGTTTGTGTGATGTGTAATTAATATGTAAAATATGATTTATTGATACATGAGGGGCTTCCATGGCAAAACTGTTAGAATTGATAATCACAGTTTAGCCAGGGATGTGTAATTCTGAGTGATATAAGTTTGAATATATAAATCAACTCCAGTTTAAATTTAAATAGAAATTTACTCAAGTTTAAATTTAAATTTTAAGTGAGGAAGCTAAATAAGATAAGTTTCAAGATGGTCAAAAGCTTTACTCTGTGGCTGAAATGAAAGAAAAGAAAAATACTTGATCAATACTTTGATGTTTTTGTCAGATCATTAAAATTTAGCGGCATGTAACTTCAAGGAATGTTTTAGAAAAGGCACAATATCAACAGTTTTCAGTGCATTTTACTAGAAACTTTTGTTATTTAAACAATATGATTTCCTTTCTTGTTGAACATTTACTATTATGTCCTTGTAAAGTGCCTTATAATGTAAGAAATAGCAGCATAGTAATTCAAACCTCTTGGCATTATAGTGACCTCCCTGTCAGCTCCAAACATTGAAAGGACTTCAGCTTATGCTGCTAAAATGTTTGCGAGCTGAAAGATCGGTCACTATGATTTTATGAGACCATCAGTGCTGCATACTACAGCTGTATTTCTTTGATACTAGTCATAGATTTAACATAGATATAAGCTCTATATAACTGTAAACACCAGAGTGATAAAGACGCAGACAGAGGTAGAGATGGAAGATGAGAACCCCGATGATGGTATCGTGGAGCCGTACTACACATTAGAGGAGGAGGAAGACGTGGTCGTGATATGGAAGGAAGATAACGGAGAACTACAACAAGAGGAGATAAGAACACTAGCAACAAATGCAGCAGAAGATCCTTCCAGTAGAGATAAAGCTGTACTCAAATATTACAGGTATAATTTCTTAGATGATATATAATTGATTGTCCCAATATATATGACGAGTACTGTATAATCATTATTATTCATGGGGCACTAATTTTTGTGGATAGGTCAATCCAAGAATTTAGAATCCAACAAAATCTTATTTCATCTACTGTACAATTATTTTTATTATGTTATTTGCATTTTTCGATTTTGCTAAAATAGCAATTCACAAATTTAAGAATCCATAAAAACCATCAAATTCTTATTTTACAAAAACCATGTATATTGTATACCCAAGAATTTAAGCGAGTTTACAGTATTTCACCATGTCTTTGTGGAATAGTGGTCAGTGTCTCTTGTAAAACATACTTTAAAATCTATTTATTGCTGAAGATAAAAGTTACTGTTATTATGACAACAAATTGGATTTTGGTATGCAACAAACTGTCAAAGTCATTGATATGCCAAATGGGTTTTGTTGAGATAATTGTAGTATTATATCTATATATTCAAATATTTCAGACACCAGTTAAACCTGTTCTCACACATGTGTCTAGATAGACAGTACCTGGCTATAAATGAACTTTCCAAGGACCTTGACATTGATCTCATTCTCAGGTAATATATCTTTACTTAAATATTCATTCAGGTAGGAAACAAGGCCTTCGATATTTTATTACTTAAAGTTTTACAATTAATTTTTTTTTAAGATTGAGTGTCTTATTGCCATCAATGTTAAATTTTTTTTGCAGTGTTACTTTGCGCTTTAACCATATTTATTTGAATGAATACATGGCTTGTTCTTACCATTCAGACAATATGATCAGTCAGAAACAAAGTTCTTTTTATACCCCCAAAAACGAAGTTTGGGGGGGTAAATAGGAGTCACCCGGTGGTCGGTTGGTCGGTCGGGCGGTCGGTCGGTCCAGACGTCCGTTGCATTTTCCTTGTCCGGAGCATAACTTGAAGACTAATGGTTGGAGTTCAATATAACTACACACAATGGTCAAGCACATTGAGAGGAAGTGCAGTGCACAAGAACCATAACTCTATCTTGACTAATTACAGAGTTATTGCCCTTTGTTACTTTTCCTTGTCCGGGGCATAACTTGAAAACTACCGGTTGGAATTCAAAACAACTTCATACAATTGTCAAACACAATAAGGGGAAGTGCAGTGCACAAGAACAATAACTCTATCTAAAGTTATTACAGAGTTATTGCCCTTTTGTTGCTTTTCCATTGCTTTTTTTTTTGTCTGTTGCATTTACCTTGTCCGGAGCATAACTTGAAGACTAATAGTTGGAATTCAATATAACTACATACAATGGTCAAGCACATTGAGAGGAAGTGCAGTGCACAAGAAACATAACTCTATCTTGACTAATTACAGAGTTATTTCCCTTTGTTACTTTTCCTTGTCCGGGGCATAACTTGAAAACTACTGGTTGGAATTCAAAACAACTTCATAAAATTGTCAAACACAATAAGGGGAAGTGCAGTGCACAAGAACCATAACTCTATCTAAAGTAATTACAGAGTTATTGCCCTTTGTTACTTTTCCATTGCTTTTTTTTTTGTCCGGACTATAACTTGAAGACTAATTGTTGGAATTCAATATAACTACATACAATGGTCAAGCACATTGAGAGGAAGTGCAGTGCACAACAACCATAAGTCCATCTTGATTAATTACAGAGTTATTGCCCTTTGTTACTTTTCCTTGTCCGGGGCATAACTCGAACACTACTGGTTGGAATTCAAAACAACTTCATACAATTGTCAAACACAATAAGGGGAAGTGCAGTGCACAAGAACCATAACTCTATCTAAAGTAATTACAGAGTTATTGCCCTTTGTTACTTTTCCTTTGCTTTCTTTTGTCCCGACCATAACTTGAAGACTAATTGTTGGAATTCATTATAACTTCATACAATGGTCCATGAGAGGAAGTGCAGTGCACAAGAACCATAACTCCATCTTGACTTATTACAGAGTTACTGCCCTTTGTTACTTTTCCTTGTCCAGAGCATGACTTGAAAACTACTGGTTGGAATTCAAAACAACTTCATACAATTGTCAAGCACAATAAGGCCATTATTTTTTGATATGTCGGTTTACTGACCCGCCGACTCTGTATTTTGGGAAAATGAAAAAAAAAAAAAAAATCTGCCCCCAAAAAAATTCTGTGTTGTCTTGAAATACGCTGCTAATAACGACTTGTCAAAGAAATGTCGCGGTAAGTATTTTAATTAACTGTTAAACCTACCATATGCCAGACTATTTTACATACGATTTATACAGTGAGATACGCAACCGGTTATCTTTACTCGAGAATAGCCTGTCGTCTGCTAGTTGGGGAAAGTGTTTATTGAATTTGGTGTATTATGAAAGAATGTCTGTTAAATGGGGTCAAGCCATTCTCACAGAATTATAATTAGGCTTTGATCATATATCATCAATGCATTGAAGGTCGAAATGCGTAAAAATGTAAAAAAAAAACACGCCAAATTACGTAAGCAATTACATTCAAGGACAGAGCGAGAGAAATCTGCTGCAATTGACAAGATCAGTATTTTCAGATTTAACAAAAAAAAATTAGTCTTTAAAAGCAGATTGAATACAGGTTTTCAAACAAACAAAATAAAAAAATGCCCGCACTTACTTTTAATAGATTTTTATGTCAAAAATTGACCTGCTTTTTATCCGATAAAAATATTTTCTCAATGGGCAAAATTGAACATGACTTTGTGTAATCTTTTCTTGACACTTTTTTTTAACATCTGATCTATAAAGAAATGAGTGCCAGTCAGCTGATTTTCGGCACCTTTGATGATTCAGATTACACAGCAGTGTGTAAACATCAAAGAATGACAGATTCTTTTGAAGAGCTCGCTTGCCACTTGTCAAAAGTCATTGTGTGTAGATTTCATGTGTGTTTTTAAACAATGGCAATATGAGCAAAAGTTTTTTTTTTGTATTTAAACAATCTTTGGAATAGACAATCGGCGATGTATTTAATTTCATTGCTCTAGTAAGTACTATGTATATGTATGCACCACATTTATAGTTATGAAAACTTTTTTTTTTTTTTTGCCGCCGCCGACCCTACCTTTTTTTGGAAAAAATCAGTAAACCAAAATATAAAAAAAAATTGGCCTAAGAGGAAGTGCAGTGCACAAGAACCATAACTCCATCTTGACTAATTACAGAGTTATTGCACTTTGTTACTTTTCCATTGCTTTCTTTTTTCCGGACCATAACTTGAAGACTAATTGTTGAAATTCATTATAACTTCATACCATGGTCAAGCACATTGAGAGGAAGTGCAGTGCACAAGAACCGTAACTCCATCTTGACTTATTACAGAGTTACTGCCCTTTGTTAATTTTCCTTGTCCAAAGCATGACTTGAAAACTACTGGTTGGGATTCAAAACAACTTCATACAATGGTCAAGCACAATAAGGGGAAGTGCAGTGCACAAGAACCATAACTCCATCTTGACTAATTACAGAGTTATTGCCCTTTGTTACTTTTCCTTTTCCAGAGCATAACTTGAAAACTACTGTTTGGAATTCAGTACAATTTCATACAGTTGTCAAGGACATTAAAAGGAAGTGCAGTGCACAAGAGCCATAACTCCATTTTGACAAAATACAGTTACTGCCCTTTTATACTTTTCCTTATCCGGAGCATAACTTAAAACGTACTGGTTGGAATTCAAAATAACTTCATACAATGGTCAAGCACAATAAGAGGAAGTGCAGTGCACAAGAACTATTACTCTATCTTCAGTATTTATAGAGTTTTTGCCCTTTGTTCCTTTTCTTTGTCTTTCTGGACTTATTACAGAGTAATTCAATTAAACTTCATCAATGGCCAACCACATTGAAAGGAAATGCAACATACAAGAACCACAACTATCTTTAATTGCCCACAACCATAACTCTATATTTCAATTCTTTTACAAGGTATTCTGTTACTAGTAACATCCTCATTTCCGAAGCAGTCTTGTGGGGGTATTAATCACATTTAGTGATAGTTCTAGTTTTTTTTCAGAATTAAATGTTATGTCAAATGCTCATTCTGTAATCTGAATTACCATTACTATTTATGATAAGTTATTTTTCTCTTTAGTTATTTTTCAAAGAAAATATGACCTGTTGCGCGGTCATTGATTCCAGCACTTTCAAGTGTTGAAAATTGAGTACCACTCAAGCCGCTGACAGGGGGCATGAGGGATGTTGCACTTTTTTATTATCCCTCATGTACAGACTCAATCAAAGCGAGTCTGCAATTTTCATGTAATTTTGTTGTGATTAATGCTTCGGAGGGATCACCCTTCTTCCAGATTGTTAACATTATTTTTGTGTTTGTAGATGTATGTCAGATGAGAAGCTACCATTTGAGTTACGTGCCTCCTTCTGTCGTCTGATGTTACACATGCACGTTGATAGGGAGCCACAAGAGACGGTTAAACCTGTGAAATATGCCAGACTCTGGAAGGAAATACCTGCTCAAATTGCAATTGAAGAGTATGTATCAGACTCATTATATGTTCCCCTTTGGTGTGTGTTTTTGTAACTGGAATGTAAAAGTATTAATGAATAAAACATAGTATGTGTACCCTATGTAACAAAACTTTATTTATCACACATCCGCGTTGATTTTGCGACTCCATAAAAATGATATTGAACGTCCGTGCATATATTTATTGACTTGACGTCATTAGCGTTATACAAACATAGTGTAAAGATGCCCTAAATGTCAGTGTTATACTATAGGCACATCAATGAAAAATGACTCTTATTTTACATTAAACGGTCTTTATTTTAGGTATGTGATGAATAGAATATTAGATTTGTGTAATAATTCGTATAATTTTATTCAAATTGTGCAATAAATTCAGTATTGAACTTGCACTCATTCAATATCCTCTATATATTTTCAAGTAAAATAGTGAAGATTATTATACAAAAATATCATGGTATAGATAAAACCTTACGTGATTGCTGATCTTGGAACCACTTGTTGCATGGGTAGAATCTGTTGCTACCATCAGACTGACTGAAAATAATGTCATATACTTGAATATGGGTAGTTTAGTAAATTTTTCCATTTTAACCATGGTGATATTTTACTTATATTTTAATGATCGTGTCATCTGCTTTAAGTTATGAATCCAACATTGGTAAGGATCCAGAAAAGGAGCGTGTGAAGCCAGCATTTGCTCAGACAATAATGTTTGTGGAGGATTACCTTACGGAAGTTAGTCAGGATGGGTCATTTGCTGATAGGGAACAGAATAAACTAACATATGAGGTGAGATCTTTAGTGACAAAAACCATTCTTCTACATGGTTTAACCCATGGCCTGATGGAAGAGAAAGTGGATCAATTTTTGCAACCATTAGATGCCCATCAAGCCTGAAAATTGGTGCTGTCTGACTAGAGTCTGACTTAATTAAAGTTTTTATCTTGAATTGCCCAAATTTATCATTGATAGTCTCAAAATGGAAGCTGGGTATATCCATTTAAGTAATGTTGAGGGTTAAATTGAAATATTACTTGTTATAAGGTCCTTTTGTGTATTTGTGGATGAAAAAATGTGAGGGGGCATCTGTGACAGAGTGGTTAAGGTTGTTGACTTCAAATCACTTGTCTCTTGTAACTGTAGGTTCAAGCTGTGCTGGCATCTTTGGATTCTTTCATGTGAGAAAGCTATCCAGCTAGCTTACAAAATGTTGTTGGTTCTACTCAGATGCCAGTTTGTGTCTGTAATAATGTACAGAGGGGTACCTGAGGTATTCTTCAACCAGTAAAGCTGGAAAGTCACCATATGACCTATACTGTGTTGGTGTGATGTTAGACCCAAACAAAAAATCAGCAGATGTGAGATTGATATTAGATAGCATGTGAAAAAAAAACATCGCTAAAGCCAAGTGTAAACATACATCTAATTGTTTTTATGAATGTTTACTGACATTGATAACTGTCAACAGATATGAATTACGAATTTGTGTACATATAATCTGACCAGATTTTTTCAAAGATAATACCATCATACCAATATTATTATGCCCCCTTTTCAAAAAAAGGGGGTATATTGCTTTGCACTTGTCGGTCCGTCGGTCCCTTAGGCCTAGGAACTTCAAACTTGGTATGGTGATTGGTCATGACAAGTAGATGAACCCTATTGATTTTGGGGTCAAGGGGTCAAAGGTCAAGGTCACATTGACCTTGTAAGCAAAAATGGTTTCCGATCAATAACTAAAGAACCTTAAGGCCTAGGAACTTCAAACTTGGTATGGTGATTTGTCATGATCAGTAGATGACCCCTATTGATTTTGGGGTCAAGGGGTCAAAGGTCAAGGTCACATTGACCTTGTAAGCAAAAACGGTTTCCGATCAATAAGTAAAGAACCTTAAGGCCTAGGAACTTCAAACTTGGTATGGTGATTGGTCATGATCAGTAGATGACCCCTAACGATTTTGGGGTCAAGGGGTCAAAGGTCAAGGTCACATTGACCTCTTGGGTAAAAACGGTTTCCGATCAATAACAAAAGAACCCTTAGGCCTAGGAACTTCAAACTTGGTATGGTGATTGGTTATGACCAGCAGATGAACCCTATTGATTTTGGGGTTAAGTGGTCAAAGGTCAAGGTCACATTGACCTTGTAGGTAAAAACGGTTTCCGATCAATAACGAAAGAACCCTTAGGCCTAGGGACTTCAAACTTGATATGGTGATTGGTCATGATCAGTAGATGACCCCTATTGATTTTGGAGTTAAGGGGTCAAAGGTCAAGGTCACATTGACCTTGTAGGTAAAAACGGTTTCCGATCAATAACGAAAGAACCCTTAGGCCTAGGGACTACAAACTTGATATGGTGATTGGTCATGATCAGTAGATGACCCCTATTGATTTTGGGGTCAAGGGGTCAAAGGTCAAGGTCACATTGACCTCTTAGGTAAAAACAGTTTCGGATCAATAACTAACGAACCCTTAGGCCTAGGAACTTCAAACTTGGTATGGTGATTGGTCATGATCAGTAGATGACCCCTATTGATTTTGGGGTCAAGGGGTCAAAGGTCAAGGTCACATTGACCTCTTAGGTAAAAGCAGTTTCCGATCAATAACTAAAGAACCCTTAGGCCTAGGAACTTCAAACTTGGTATGGTGATTGGTCATGACCAGCAGATGACCCCTACTGATTTTGGGGTTAAGGGGTCAAAGGGAAAGGTCACATTGACCTTGTAGGTAAAAATGCTTTCCGATCAATAACTTAAGAACCCTTAGGCCTAGGAACTTCAAACTTGGTATGGTGATTGGTCATGACCAGCAGATGACCTATTGTTTTTAGGGTCAAGGGGTCAAAGGTCATGTAACATTGACCTTGTAGGTAAAAACGGTTTCCGATCAATTAACTAAAAACACTTAGGCCTAGGAACTTCAAACTTTGTATGATGATTGGTGGTGACCAGCAGATGACCCCTACTGAGTTTTGGGTCAAGGGGTCAAAGGTCAAGGTCACATCGACCTTGTAAGTAAAAACGGTTTCTGATCAATAACTTAAGAACGCTTAGGCCTAGGAACTTCAAACTTGGTATGGTGATTTTTCATGACCAGCAGATTACCCCTTTCGATTTTGGGATCAAGGGGTCAAAGGTCAAGGTCACATTGACCTTGTAAGTAAAAACGGTTTCTGATCAATAACTAAAGAACACTTCGGCCTAGGAACTTCAAACTTGGCATAGTGATTGGTCATGATCAGCAGATGACCCCTATTGATTTTGGGGTCAAAGGTCAAGGTCACATTGACCTTGTATGTTAAAACGGTTTTTGATCAATAATAAAAGAACCCTTAGGCCTAGGAACTTCAAACTTGGCATGGTGATTAGTCATGACCAGCAAATGACCCCTATTGATTTTGGGGACAAGGGGTCAAAGGTCAAGGTCACATTGACCTTGTAGGTAAAAACGGTTTCTGATCAATTAAGTAAAAACGCTTAGGCCTAGGAACTTCAAACTTTGTATGATGATTTGTCTTGACCAGCAGATGACCCCTATTGAGTTTTGGGTCAAGGGGTCAATGGTCAAGGTCATGACCAGTAGATACTTGATAACCCTTATTAATTGTTTGATCACTGGGTCAGAAGTCATGCATAATTACCTTATCACATGAATAATTGGCTGCTGATAGGGGGCATACATGTTTTACAAACATATCTTGTTATTTTTGATGATACTTACTGTAAGAAGAAGTACTTTTATTGTTTTACAGGTTGTGAATTTAGCTAGAGAATTGATCTACTTTGGTTTCTACACATTCAGTGATTTGTTACGACTAACAAAGACACTGTTGTCTATACTTGACTATGTACCAGAACATATGGGAGGTTTACCTGTCAACAAGCTGGCAGTCACAGCAGAGGGTTAGTTACATTTAAAGTTATATTCACAAGTTTCTATATGAGCTCAGCTGGAATCTCTTGTATTAAAAAACAAAATGAATTATCTTGTGCAAAAAAACAAATGAATTATTACATGATAACTATCATAAAGACCATTTAAAAAATACTAAATGTCGTAAAGGGTACTTGTGTAGACAAATATAATATAGGTAACAGCAACAATAAATGATCAGTCTCATTGTGGGATCTAAGGTACAATATATTCAGTGAGTGAAGCACACAATTTGTTGCTAAACATTAAAAACCCTTCATTATAATATTTCATTCTGGAAGATTTTACTCTGTTTACATACAATATCTATGTGTGTTACATAACAGAGACATTTTTTGTATCAACTATTGGGAATCAACCATGAGATCATGAGAACATTATAGATTATTCTGTTTTTTATGCTCCCCGAAAAATTTCGGGAGAGCATATAGTCGTTGGGTTGTCCGTCCGTCAGTCCATCCGTCTGTACGTACGTCCGGAATTTGTGTCCGGCCCATAACTTTGTTATTTGAAGTCGGATTTTAAAACTGTCTCACAGAGATGATCACCATATTGAGACTACGTGTCGCGTGCAACATTTGGGTGGCTACCTTGAAGGTCAAGGTCACAGCATGACCTTGCAGCAAAATTGTGTCCGGTCCATAACTTCATTATTTGAAGTCGGATTTTAAAACTATTTCACAGAAATGATCACCATATTGAGACGACGTGTCACGCGCAACATTTGGGTCGCTACCTTGAAGGTCAAGGTCACAGCATGACCTTGCAGCAAAATCATGTCCGGCCCATAACTTTGTTATTTGAAGTCGGATTTTACAACTATTTCACAGAAATGATCACCATATTGAGACAATGTGTCATGCACAACATTTGTGTTGTTTTTACACTTTGAACTTTGTCTGTGACATAACTCTGACACTACAAGAGGTATACCTTCCTGTGTCCAAAACCTATTGGGGGAGCATCACCCGGTTCAACCGGCTCTTGTTTAAGTTTTATAAGAAATAGTTCTTACCCTATTAGGCTTGTACGGTTTATTTTTGTTGCTATTTTCAAGACCCTGCTGATGATTTGCCTACAAAGAGAAGAACAGAGGACACTGATACAATGGTGATGGATACAAAACTTAGAATTATAGAAATTTTGAAGGTAATTATGTACAAAATATAAGCATTTTGTGCTTTGTTCACTTAATACTGTACTTGTAAATTGAGGATTATAAATACAGGTTAAGTTTTCTGAATTATATAAGAGGAAAAAGAGAAATGTAATATTTAAAGACTAACATTGTCTTCTGGCTAGGTTAATCTTGTCATTTCTTTGGTACATGTACAATTATTTTTTTAAATATTGATATATAATTAAATTTGCAGTATTTAAAATAATAATGTCAAGAAAAAATATACGAAAATAATTTGAAGTTTCAGCTTTATTTTCTGACCTAAAGGAGATGATTATAGGTTTTGAATTTTTAACTTCAACATTCCTACTATATCAGTAAGTATGAAAGTTGGGGTTTATGTTTAAACAATGTGAAGATATGTAACAAAAATAAGTAATTTTGATATTTTTTTGCTCCACTTTTAGAAGAATACAGAGAGCTTTTGTTGTTATCCTGGCGAGGGTGACACACTTTGGTTAAGTTTTTACCCACAAGTTGGTATCTCCAAAACTACTGAAGGGAATGGCTTGGAACTTCACACACTTGTTTGTCATAATAGGAGGTTACTGCTCATTGCCCATATAACTCTTAACATTGAGAACTAGTCTAGCACACTCTCTTGTATTATTTACCATTTGTAGGGATGAAAATGAAAAGGAAAATAATTTTTAAAGTTGATATTATAAGTAAAGAATGGGTTAAAGATACAAGGTTTTTATTATGATACAATAATATATATGATGTGCATTATAAAAGGAATATGCCATAGAGTTAAGTCAAGTGAAGTAGTTTATGCTAAATAAGGTTTCATCTGCCTGTAGAGGCACATAAAAGCAGCTTTCCCTATTGAGTACTGACCCCAGACATGTCATCAGTCATGCCCTTAAAGGGTAAATTTTGAAGCACAAAGTGGTGATAATTTACCTCCGTGCAATTTTCACTGAGTATTAGCCATAGTGATGAATTTTGAGCCAAAAGTAGGTCACTGTTTGGTAAAAAATGAGAACCTAAATGTACAATAAGTACCCAGAGACAAATAACATAGAGTTATAAATTGTCACTATATAAATATCCCTTTCTACAGTCGGAGATAGAAGGAAATGTTCACCAAAAAAACACCCAAGTTCACATTATCTTGTCAAGGGTGAATGTTTTGTTCTATCATCCATATTGTGATATTTATATCTTGTTATACCAACCATACCAATATTTAAGATAGACATTTCGAATTTAATAAGTTATAACTGAAACCAAGCACCTGGTATTTGCATGAGAAGGTCGTTTGGTAATGTCATGTGATTTAGTAATGTCATGTGACAATACAGATTGTTTTCTGACATAACATATGGCTCTATAGTAAATAAATTGTGTGAGGTATAATGATTGTATTGTATTATTGAATAATACATGCAAAAGTTGTGTTTTTACCAACATTTGAAATCAGGACTAGAGAAAGGTAGGTAGTAAGCACTTGCTACCCAGGAAGACAGGTTTTTTTTTATTTACTAAACAAGGTAGCTTGAGCCCTAATTCCTTCATTGTTAGTTATATGATTTACAATGAACATAATGATGGAAATAACAGCAAAATCCTTATTCCCAGGTAAATTAAAAAAGTATATTATGCTCTAATATATCTAAAAGTGTGGGTTAATGTAAGATTGGTTTTAAAGGTACTTCACTGAGGTATTTTGACATAAGGAACATCTTTACATGTGCACTTATTGTCTAATTAAAATTAAATGAAATGTTGAATTAAGTCTGAGAAATATGTCTAGAATTTCATTGAGTTTGTTATTGTGAAACATTTTGAAATAACTGTTAACATGGGCATAATATACTTGTAAATAAAAATAGTTAATATGAGAAAAATACAATTTTATTTTATTGTTAAAAGGACTCCTTTACATTTTAAGTTGAATTTTATTTTTATTTGTCCTCAAGGCCATGGATTATCTTTTTGTTTCATATTACAGTGCTTTTTTTTCACATAAAAGGAAAAATAGTGATGAGGTCCTTTTAAATCACATACATCCTTTATAATACTACGGACACCCTGCTATCACAATCTTTATTTCTCTTCTGAAGAGAACTTGAATATTACTCTCTGTTTACAATAACTGATTTTACACTTGGCATCACATAGTCACTTATGTGTGCGACCAGAACTAATAACAGATAAACAACATGATAATTTGACAATTATACTTTTATTAAGGTACTTCATAACCTTGTGGCGGAAATTATGGCTGCAGACGGGCAAAACCCATAAATTTTATCCAGTCCCGGGGGGAGACTACTAACTGCCTTGTTACACTGGCAAGTCAGTGACCCAGGTTTACAACCTGGTGTCAGTCCCAAAAGTTGAACACGCTTAAGTGGACAGGTGTTAGCGGGCTGCCAAGATTACATCTGACTCCTGAGCAACGAGGGTCCCGGACGTAGCCCTGCCCTGGGCCTCCCCTCCATACGTAGAGGTGGAGGGGGGTGCCAACGTAACCCTGGAGTGCACCCCACCATAATACATAAAACTAATACATACAATGAACCTGCATGCTTTCAAGCAAGTCAGGCCAGGAGAAAGAGCCAGACAGTACCGTAACCCTGTAAAATTGTTTTGAAAAAAGAAAAGGGGAAAATTTTTAAACCGGGGGTTTTGGGACCAAAATTGGTTTTTTCCCAAAAACAGTATGGAATTTTGGGGTTAAAATCCCCCCAAGCAATATGGGGTTAAAAATTTTAATGGTTTTGGCCTCATTTTAAAAAAAAATTTTTAAAATTGGCATATTCACTTTTTTTTTCTTTTCTTAAAATTTCTTCCGCAAAAACCAAAAGGTTGCATTTTTGGGGGCCAAAAATTAAAAAACCCTCTTTTTTTTTAAAAAAGGGGAAAATTGGGGGAAAAACCCCTAAAATTTTATGGGGTTTTAAAGTTTTACAGGAAAAAGGTTTTGGTTCCTCCCAAAAATTAAACACCCAATCCTTTTTCCCTTCAAAAATTTTACCCCCCGGGTTCCCCCCTCCTGATGAACAAAATTGATACTTTGTCAGGGGCTTGGTATTGAAGTGGATAAACAGATTATCCCTGTCGGCTGCATGGGGACGGTTCTTAAGGTACTTTGATAGACTGTTAACTGGACAATGGATCCCACCATTAGCTTTAATTTGTAATGTGACCGATAGACCTAGCTGATCAGTTTTTGACCATCTAATTTTCAAAAAGACTGTGTTATTAGATAGATGAACATCACTAACTAAACAACTGTTTATGGTTAGACGATATAGTGCTGGGTACTGTGAACTCACTGACTCTTAGCAAACCAAAGAATGCCAAGGAGAAAGCTGCAGTGAACATGACTTGTTCATATTTGTTGCTACATATATATTTTAGACTGTAAATCATTTTATCAAGTAAGGTAAGTGTAATAGGAGCCCTTAAATCATTAACATGCCTCCCTTTTAGGCGGCGTAGGCCCTCAATTGCCTTAATCACTAAGAAGGATTTTTGTGGGGTCTGTTAGACTACCCACTTTATGGGCATAACCGATTCCCGACATATAAGTAGAAATTGAAGAGGCGGACAGACCTTGCTGGGCGTAATAAGCAATAAAAAGAAGTAAATCTTTAATAGGGACTGGCCAAGTGTCTGGTAATTGATAGTTATTTCTAAAGTTGAATAACTTTTGAATGCTTGTTGCATAGGTTTTACGGGTAGATGCAGCCACTGAATTAGAAATTAATAGCTGTGCAAGACTATCTAGATGTTCCACAGGTGGGATGGAATCTGTGTGGGTTGCCAGTCTGCTCTGGCGCTGCCTGTCTGAATCTGGCCCACTGTGGAACGAGAAAAGTGCATCTGCTATGACGTTTTTTTAGAAGGGATATAAGTGGCTTTAATAGAGATATTGTGAGTTAGCATAACCAAAACTAGATGTCTAACTAGATTCATAATTCTCTCGGATTTACATGTTTGAGATGAAATGATATGTATCACAGCTTGATTATCTAATGTGGAATAATATTTTCTTATTACGAAAAGAATTTGACCAAGTAACAATGGCTGCCACAAACTGGAAAAAACTCTAACAGAGTCATGTCTCTAGTGAGTCCTCCTATAACCCAATGTGAAGGCCATGAGCCCTGTGACCAATGGCCTGCAAAATAGATACCATACCCTCCTGTAACACCACCTGAACTGTCCGGTATATATTTCAAGGGTGTTGTCTGAAAAGCCAAATAGGGTCAGATATCAAGGTTATTCCATTGTATGACTGGAGGAAATGTAACCAAAGACCTAGGTCTTTACGCATATTGGCAGAAACCCTTTATCTTATGATGAGGTTTTATTACACCTATGGTTGCATCAATTAGCCTTCTGCAGAATGCTCGCCCTGGGGCAATAACTCTGCAGGCAAAATTCAAAAGATCCTAGTAGGGACTGCATGTCCTTGAGGGAAATTTTTTTAGCATTTTTATTGCTATGATAATTTTTTGTCTAAGATCTACGAGCTTGTCATTAGGTAACCGCATTGACATCTGTACAGTATCAAATTCAACCCCCAGGTAAACCAAACATGTAGATGGAGCACATGTTTTTGTCAAGCGCAATTGGTATACCAAATTTTTTACAAGTATTTTCAAAAGATTGCAATGTATGTCCAGGTTGAATATGATTAGATGACTCACCAAATAGGAAGTCATCTAGATAATGCAAGATGTTTGAGTTATGACTATTGGCAACTACCACCCAATGTAAAAAGGAAGCAAATTTTCCCCAGAGGGCACAGCTAATTGAAGACCCAAAGGGAAGCATTTTTGTCATAAAAAATAGTAAGTAACTGGTTTACCTTTTTCTCTGACCATTACTTTAAAACCAAGCAGATCAAAGTCTGCTGGGGAAATGGGGAGAAGGCGAAAATGCTGACTTTTACATCAGATTTGCTAAGTAGGGCACCCTGACCTAATCTGGCAACCATATCTGCCGCTTGATCAATTGTTGAGTACGACACAGAGCAATGATCTTCATCAATATAGTCATTAATAGATCTATTTCTGGATAAGACAGGTGGTGAATTAGACGGTAGTCACCGCCTTTTTTGGGAACTAAACCAATGGGAGAAATTTGTAATGTTGGAAATGGGATTCTGAGAAAATGGGCCTGCTACCCTACCGACTTGTATTTCTTTAATTATTTTTGTATGCAGGACCCCTGGGAGTTCCCTGGCACTGCGTAAAATTTTGGAGAGTCTCTGTGTACCCGGGGGCCCTCGTATTGTAAGGGAAAACCTTTTGATATGCCTGTGATAAGGTCTTTTGCTGCACTAAATGGGTAAAGTTTCAAAGCTTTTTAGTAATTCAGTGATATTTAATGGTGTATTGCCGATCTGATAAAGAGGTGAGGTACTATTGACCAGTGTGGCATACTGTCTGTGCATGTTTTCCTCCGCATAGCCTGCAGACATGACTGTACCTACAAGGAGTAAAAGGACAATGACTACCAGAATTGAAGTAATTACATGAAAATGACTTAGGACTGGAGGTACGTTGTTTATTAAACTTAACTGCAGGGGTGCCCGTAATTTGAGATGTTGTTTTACTATTATAGGCAGTACTCCTGGTTTGACCTGCAAAATCAGGTACTCTAGGTGATTGACCATTTACATAGAGCAACCAAAGTTCTAAATCAATGGTGCCCCAAGACCTAGATGGGTTGTTTGATTGGACCTGGCGGAATTGTTCATCATATTTCCACCAGGAGTCTGATCTTGTTGCTGCTAAGCGTACATCCGCGGAGGTATTTTAACAGCTCCTGGGATCTGTTGGGAAACCTTTCCAGGTAAATGCCAATAAAAACGATGAATGCCGATGTCCATTGTTCAATAGACATTTTGAAAATTGACCCCCTTGGCTTTGTGACGCATAACCTCCCGTTTCTAAATTGCAGTTCCCCAATTTGACCCTCTTCAGAATACTCTTGAAGCTGGCGGGATGACTTTAGAAGAAGTGCCAGGTCGGTAAATTCTCCAGCCCAAATTTTTTCTTTTATTTTTTCAGGAATAGTACTTCCTAAACTATGAAAATTTTTCATCAATGTTTACAGGATTTGATAGTTGAGTTGGCGAGTTATGAACCATTACTGAATCAAAGGGTTGATAATCTAATGAGGGTGGCGATGGAAATGAAACATACGGCCGGGTACCTTGTAATGGTGATTCCCGCGCTTCTACATCGCCGCCTCCCTGACTGGCACTGTTAACCGGTGTTTCCACCAAACCGCCTTGGGATTGTCTGCTGCGTTTAGGCCTATTCTCATTCGCATCTGTCCCGCTCCTTTTCTTGGTTTTACTTTTTGGCATTATTTTATTCTTTTTATTTTAACTTTTTCGGTGCGTTTTTGAAGGTCACTGTTTCGGAAAGTTCCCGGATAATGATTCGCCTCCTTTGAAGAGTATCTTAGTATGTCTAAATTCCGTACTTTACTTTACCGGATTAAACTGCACCTACCCACCCGCTAGATGATGTGTTTAAGAAGGATTATCGAATACGAGATTCTGGATAATCCCTATTATGTTAGGGAGGAGAGTGGGGCAGGGTATGGGTTACAGAGCTGGAATCCTGATGAAGAGGAGGATTAAGGGGATATGGAAAATCATGAATTTCAATTCTGAATTCCTCATTTAGTTTACAGAGACTACCTCTCTCTTACTGTAAATAAGTCAATAATTTTGGTAGTAGAAAATGACTGACCAGATAACTTGATGAGTAATTTGTTCTTGCAGGAGGAAAAAGACATATACATTCTGGAAAAAGAGTATTTGGCTGAAAATTTTTAGTCTTACCTTTGGCATTAAAAAGCACTGTAATATATATGAATTCTATCTTTTGTTTTGTTTAAACATGGCCGCATTATTACTATTTCGTTTTGCCCAATTTCAGTTTATTTTGGATGTGAGACTAGATTATAGAATCACATGTTTGCTTTCAATCTTCAAACGAGAATTTGACGAGAATAATGCTCCAAGAGATACTGATGGTAATATTCAATTGAAATCAAATGAATGCAGTTTTTGAGCTTGTTTAAGCTTTTTTTTTCTTTTTTTTTTGAAAAAAAAAAGAAAAAAGCTTGTTTGAGCATTTTTATAATGATTGAATATATCTATATTTTATACTAAAGTTGCAAGGAACAAATATTTCTCACTCAATCAGTTACTGTACATGTAATAGAAAAAAGTTTTTTGCTATTAAGGTTTGAAAGAACGTTCGTAGCTTACTTAAAGTTAGATTGGAAGGAAATCAAAAATGTTACAAATTTTTTCAAAAAATCATGTTATACTTGAATGTATTGAGATTATATGTTTATGTTCCTTGTTGAACTTTAGATAATGAACTTTTGTTTGAAGATCGACTGAACCAGTATAAGAAGCATGTATGCTCAGGGTACAAAATGAACCTCTGAAATATGCAGCAATCATATCATATCCTAATCTTATGTTGTTCATCATGTGCAGAGGGGAGGGGGCTCACAGGGGCGAAGCTAAATTATGATAACTTGCATGGTGTGTAAATGTTTTCTACCAACTGAAGATCTTCAAATTAAAGTATTATTGTTTTCATTGTGATGAAATTCCTGAAATGTTACTGGTTATTGAATTTCAAATTAAAAACAAACAGGATTCATTTGATTTATGAAGATGCAAGTTCGAGAGGAAAAATTTGTCCAGCCTCATTTATTAAGTACATTCATTCTTATATAAAAATTAAAAAAAAAAAATGTTAAGGTATTAATATGTTTGTATCTCAGTAGGAAGGAACTCTGTTATTAATAATAATGATAAAATATTGTAATATCAGCTGTGGGAATTTCATCACTGTTGACAGTTATACCTGCCAGAGCTACATGCATCTGTTGTCAATGCTAATTGATTTACTAAACTGTTGTCATAGAAACATAATTAATAAAATGAGGACATAGCAGGTGTCCTTTGATAGTGGCAAAAAAAAAAAAAAAAAAAATGACATCATCAACACAGTCACAGAGAAGAAACATCAGAGTTTTAATTTTCTTGATTAAAAGTATTTCATTAGTACACTACAGAAACATATTAGTTAGTCAGTTAGCATTGACTTAGCATTTCTTACTGATTGATGTAATCATAAGCTTGAACTAACCAACCATTGTGACCATGTTTCAGTTTATCATGTCAGTGCGACTGGACTATAGAATATCCGTTATCCTGACTGTGTTTAAAGTACAGCGGGATATACACAGTCGGTATCGCTCTCGTGAGATTTGCACAAAAAAAATGTGTCTTGTGTATAAATGTTGTTTTATGTACACATTATAAGGCTGGTGTCACAAATGCACTTTGAGTTATGCCCCTACCCAAAAATCCCCAGAGAGAAACAAACTGTATACTTAATCAGAATATGTCTTGCTAAGAACCCATAATGATAAGTTGTTTTGTTTAAAAATCCTATTATGCCCCTACACAGTACTCCTAAGAGAGAAAAACAAACTGTATACTTAATCAGAATATGTCTTGCCAGCTACCCATAGGTTGTTTTGTTTAAAAATCCTATTATCACAGTTGCCATAAATTCATAGATAAATTTTGTTACCCTACTCATCAAAAGCTATTTTTTAAGAATGTCAGATGTTCTTAAAAAATGAATGCTAATTAAGAATAATAGTGAATGGGTACATAAAAATGTAGGGATAGGGTGAAACAATGTCCATCTATCTTTCTGATCTGATACTCAAAAGTCAAAGTGAAAGTGATATTGAGGTCAAGGTGAAAGTGACATTAAGGTCAAGGTGTAAGTGGCATTGAGGTCGAGGTGAAAGTGACATTAAGGTCAAGGTGTAAGTGGCATTGAGGTCGAGGTGAAAGTGACATTAAGGTCAAGGTGTAAGTGGCATTGAGGTCGAGGTGAAAGTGACATTAAGGTCAAGGTGTAAGTGGCATTGAGGTCGAGGTGAAAGTGACATTAAGGTCAAGGTGTAAGTGGCATTGAGGTCAAGGTGAAAGTGATATTAAGGTCAAGGTGTAAGTGACATTAAGGTCAAGGTGTAAGTGGCATTGAGGTCAAGGTGAAAGTGACATTAAGGTCAAGGTGTAAGTGGCATTGAGGTCAAGGTGAAAGTGACATTGAGGTCAAGGTGAAAGTGACATTAAAGTCAAGGTGTAAATGTCATTGAGGTCAAGGTGAAAGTGATATTGAGGTCAAGGTGAAAGTGATATTGAGGTCAAGCTGACAGTGATATTGAAGTCAAAGTTAAAGTGATATTGAGGATATTGAGCATAGTTAATGTGCACAATGTATTTTACCATTCCATTACCCATATAGTTTAATGTTACTGGGCTAAATTTTAATACCACACTATCCTGTACATAGCATTATTAAGGGGAGAGGTGGGGGCAATCATATTTTTAATATTACTTATTTTACTTTTTTTTGAAACTTTATTCTTTGCATAAATGTATTCATTACTTTTGGCATTTATTTGTTTGTTTGTTCTTTTATTTTCCAAAATATGCTTTTAATTAGGTAGGCTACCATTTTCATTTGTATATTTTTTTTCATTTTTGTATAACAGTGTAGTTTTGCAATAAGTATTTTGATTTAATTTCATAATAATATGTTGATTCATTTATTTATTTTTACACTGCTGTCAGATTCATATTAGTAGTTGGTTTTGTCACAAACAGTTGGTAACTACTGTTTTATTTCTTGGGAAGATTTTACACTTATTCAGCTAAACAATTATTGAGATTTGATGGATCTACCTACATCTCCTTTTTGCCTAACATAAGTTTGAGCTCTTCTGCTAGCATTGTGACTTCTGACAGGCATCATGAGTGTTTAAGGCTGCTTGATGACTTCAGATAACTTGCTCATTGTATTCTTCCGTATGAAAAAATCTTTCCAGCTTGCTTGTTGAAGGTTGATGGTACTACTAGTGTGCCCCTTATTGCCTGAAATAATGCTCCTCCAATTAACCTGGAAATATCTTATTACAACTTACGTGTGATTTCATTTATGCCTGTGTACTCATTAACTTATGTTATAGTTTGAATTCCCATGAGCATGCTTTATAGAATAGAATTTTGATTTTTTGTTATTTAATAACAGCCTGTCATTATTGATCCCCTGCTGCAATGTAGTAAGGGTTTTTTGAGGATTTTTTTTAAGGAATGGCCTCTTTCTGCCTGTTCAGGGTGAAAAAATCCACAAACATTTTCACTGCAACAGGGGAATATTGCTGTCCTTTAGACTGCCTAGTTTGTTTTATAGAAATGCATGGAATATATATTTATAATGCTACATGTATTAAACAGTAGTGTTTCATTTTAGTAAAATTTTATTTCGAAAAAATAAAATGAATTTCATTTCTAAAAACACCATGTCATTCATCAATATCAATACTTGATTTACCATTGACTTTATTTACTCAATATACCATGATGAATATTACATATAATTATGATCATTTAATGTAATTGTCATTTATTTTATTAAAGTGAGAAAATGATATTTTTGCAATATGAAATCAAGTAAAAAAAAAAATTGTATTTATCTACTTTATCTAGTAACAATTAAGTTAGTTTAACATGAAATATAATACCTGTTCATTGATGAATCAGGGCTAACAATATTTGTTCTATTGCAGGTTTAGATTTGGAGAGTATAGGGCAGCAGGCTGAGGATATTTTTGGTGGAAGGTAAGATACAAAAAAAGAAGATTTTTCCAATTTACCCTTAATACCACCCTAATACCTTAATAAATCTTGCTTATTTTTCAAACTGGACAAAACCATGTAACATTCTGGGAAAATTATGTACCAACTGAATAGTGATCTGTGCAGACCATGATGGGTAGAATCAGAGGGCTGCGGGTTAATATTGATATTCATCTTTGAAATGACTTCAAACGGCCATAACTGCAATTCTGCAAATTATATTGTGTTTAAAAGCATAATTTTTATTGTATTTACATCATAATAAGTGATTATGCATTTGCTTGGAGCTAAAAATAATATGGACAAATTTTTATGATTAATAATGTGCAAAAATATGCTTTACAGTTGTTTTAAACAAAACCAAAATGTTAATAATCTGTTCTTTTTGTTGAAAGTATACCTAGTGTACTTAGCTGTCATTTTAAAATAGTTGTATTAACAGCAGTCATCTGAATGTGTGTATTTAGTTAAAACTTGCTTCAGCTGGCTGTCAGTAGAATAAAACTGATCATGACCCAAATAAAAGTTCATCTCTCTTTTATTGTATTACCTGAACTGGAAAAAGAAGTTTTAAGTTATTGAAGCAAGTATTGGATTTGAAATAATTGTTTATATGTATGTTGTCATGTTACAGTGCTGAGACAGCTGAACTTGACCTAGATGATCAGGGAGGGAAGATGTTTCTACGTGTATTGCTCAACCTTGTCATGCATAATTACCCGGCACTTGTCTCCGGTGCTCTACAACTTCTCTTCCGACATTTCAGTCAGAGGAGAGAGGTTCTACAAGCCTTCAAACAGGTAAAACTCTTGTGTGATATTATAATATTGATAGTTATGATATATAGACTATTATTAGGTGATGGTGGTGTAGGTAGTTTTCACCCCGGATCAGGACAGTAAGCCACATTTAATTTACCATAGCACAGTTTACCAACCTCATCGTTCCTGGGCAGGATGTCAAGCAGTTTACCAGTTCTAGTTGCCTCCACTTTCACAAGGAACTGAACTTCTGTACATACCAGAGCAGAGGTACAGTGGGAATGACCCAAGAAATGATTTCATTATCAATCACAATCAAAGTGACCTGCACTGTTTGGGAATCAAACCCGGATTGCTGGATTCACAGTCCTATACTTTTATTAGGTTATAAAAACTAACTTTATCATGGAACTAGTCACATACATCTGCCTTATTTATAAATGATTATGTAGAAGATAAGATTAAGAATATTTAGTTAACCTTACCTGATTGGTTGAAAATTTCTTCATGATTCTGTTTAATGTTACAGACAGCAAGCATTGTACCAAGGCAAACATCTCAAGCGACCTGTTGAGACAATTGTGTCAAGGGACAAGCCTTTGCTTCTTATCAGAATTTGTCCCTTGTTAATTGTTTATCCATTTTTGTTTTCAAAACAAGATAAAATATTGCAGGTACAATTACTGGTGACAGACAGTGATGTAGAAAATTACAACCAGATTAAAACAGATCTGGATGAGTTACGGAACCTTGTTGAAAAGTCAGAACTCTGGGTATATAAGGAAAAGAAGGGAGACGACTCTAAAAAGAAAAAGTCAGGAGATAAAAAGAATGTAATTTGTTCTTTGTTGTATTATTTATATAATTTTAGACTTTACACTTCTATATATATATATATTGATGTTTCCACAATTAAACAATTAAGCTTTGATGTAGTATTATAATTTATAGCTTAACAGCTTTTGCAAAAAGAGTCCAAGCTATTATGTTTGCTTGGTTATCAACGTTGTTGTTGTTGTTGTGTAATGTTATGTAATGCAATGTAGCTCATTACTAAGAAAAGCTTTTAAAGACATCAACACAAAACTTGAATACTAAATAATCATGACAAGGTACAGATGTAAATCGGAGAACAACAATATTCTGTAATCTATATATTTTGGAGTTATGCCCCTTTTTTTAACTTAGAATTTTAGTCAAAATTGCTTATTGATAAAGGAGGATTAAAAGAATTATGCAAGGTATTAACACAACGCTTAGAATTAATGATTATTATGATAATTCACCGTTATATGAAACAAGTGCATTGTCCTAGAGGCGATATTATGTCTCTTTTTAACTTGGTATTTTTGTTTAAATTGTTTTTCAATAAAATATTTTGAAAACTATCAAAGATATTGTACTCTTTTTATAGGTATATTTGCTACTGGTTATTTTGTTGAAATATGTATTATAAAATCACTTTGTTGATTATTTTGTTTTCTAGAAGAAACCTTTTACATCAGAGAAAGGTTCAGCTATTGATCTGGATTTGGGACCACCTATTGACAAAAAACATGCAGAAAATTACAGGATTATTAAGAGGGTACATATATTTACAATCTTGCATCTATATGTATAAAATATTGCTTACACTTTAGTTTATACAGAATTTATTTTAGTTCAATTGTATAGGAAGCTATTAGGTTACCAGTACACTAACAAATCCGTTCCTGGAACCAATCAACCAGTACTGAGAAATGAGTGAAATATCTCTAGAAAGAGTAATCCCTCGGAAGCATTAATCATAACAAAATTACATGAAAATTGCAGACTCGGTTTGATTGTGTCTGTAAAATCTCTTCTTTAAAGAAACATTGGATTGCCCCTGATGGGCTTTGAACCCACATGGCTAGCGATCCTTTAATTACTTCTCTGAAGCGTTTACCACTCTGCCATGCCACCATACATTGTAATCTTAGATAATAAATTTCAGGTAAAACAGAAAACAATATCTTTTGCATACCTTAATATTAATTCAAATAATGTCCAGATGATATTCCTTTGGCCAAATTACAATTATAAAAAAATCAGATTTAATCAAGAGTTGTTGAATGTTTTAACATAGAAAAAATTATATTGAGTCTTATAAATTTGAAAGCTTGATTAAAGATGACTTTATTTGCAGATATTGATAAGGTTGACAAGTCTATGTGTACATAATACATCAGAAGGTGTGAAGGCACGCAAACATGAGCAGAGACTTTTGAGAAATATGAGTGCTTACTCTGTAGTCCTTGAACTGCTACAGATACCTTATGATAAGGTAAATTAATACTCATGTTTGATCCTTTGTTGTTTTCTTTAGGTATGAAAGGAGCGCAACTGAGGTCCAAAGGCCTAAAAACATACATGCAATTTAAAATACTATATTACATATGTCAATGATGGTATAAAATGGAAAATATGAAAAAAATATACTCAGAATTAAATTGAAGAATAAATATTTAGTACCATTAATAGACATATTTGAGTTGGAAGCATTTAAATCCTTTTCATTTTTAGGTAAAAATGATTATTCTGGAAAAACTGAGAAAGCAAATAGTATATATGAGCCGCGTCATGACAAAACCAACATAATGGGTTTGCGACCAGCATGGATCCAGACCAACCTGCGCTTCGCACAGTCTGATCAGGATCCATGCTGTTCGCTGTCAGTATCTCTACTTGTAATATAGTTTGTAAGCGAACAGCATGGATCCTGATCAGACTGCGCAGATGCGCAGGCTGGTCTGGATCCATGCTGGTCGCAAACCCATTATGTTGGTTTTGTCATGGCACGGCTCATATAAATCTCGGAAAAATATTTCTAGTTGTGTCTTGTCAAAAAGTCTCAGTCAAGTCTCTTTAGTAATGAATTTATAATGCTATATAGTCACGTTCTTTCTGTGGTTGAAATAAGAATTTATTGTTGACTGCAGCAGCGGTGTTCTTCAGTAGTATAAACATTTTAGCTTGAACTTATAAAAGTGCTTTAAATTTTTTAACTTTTCTATGCACTTAAACTTTTAATGAACTAACATGATGATTTAGTGTCATATTTTGTTGTTATTATACATTGTTAAATACAATACTAAATTCTATTGGACGAGTTCACAGCTGTCAAAGATATATTTGCCAAGAAACAAGTCGAATCATTTTTGTTTTTGCAGCTGTATACAAGTCCAGTCAGTATCAGTATTGTACTCAACAATGTATATAACCTTTTTACCAATTTATAGTAGTTTGACAGAACTATGTAGCGTCTAGTACAGTATGGATTTGATATGGATTTTTGTACTCTGATAATGAAAACAGACATCATTATACATGTATTTGATTTTATAATACTGCATGTTTGTAACATTGCTTTTCATTGGATAATTACAATGTTTATATAGATTTATATAAATGGCAATTAATACAATACTGTTGGCAATTTATGAAGGAACTTCACTTTTTAAAAAAACAAAATAAGATACTTACTGTATTATGGATTTGTTATGAATATTTCTGACAGGTTATATGGCCGTATATAAATTCTGTTTGCAATGTAACCATTTATATAAGGTAATTTAACCTGTCTTAATATTTTATAATATAAGCATATTCTGTATTATTTCAGCATTCTGACATCAGGATGATGGAGCTGATGAAATTAGCTCACAAATTTCTACAATCATTTTGTCTGGAGAATCAACAAAATCAAGCTTTGCTTCATCAAAGTCTGGAACTGTTCCTCACTTCTGGGGTATGTACAGAAATGTTATGTTCTACGAAATAAACATTGAAATGAGCAATTTGATAGCTATTTTACAAATTGGGGACCAGTTGTCCAGTAGTAGCTCATTTGTTTTGGGATCAAGATGTTCTGGATTGAAATCTTTTATGAAAGTTGCTAATTTATTTTGAAAAAGACATTAATCTGCATTGCCTCACTTTAAGCAGCTGTTAATGGCCATGTATCACACACAATTTCAGGTCTTTTACATTGTACATTTTTTCATATTTCATTGTTCAGAATGAAAATTATATAGAGGATATTTGTTTGTTTTGCATGTAAGATTGAAATATAATTTCACTGAGTCGAAACACCAGAATTGCAAATATTTCACCGAGTGGCGTATAGCCACCCGAAGTGAAATTATAATAGCTGTGTTGTTCACGAATGAAATATATCTTCAACCTTATATGTAAAAACAAAATAAATTTTTCTTTTTATTTCATGCTTTTTTAGTGATTTTTTAAGTATTTTTTACTGCACTTTTACCGCGTAACGTCGCCGCATTCCCTTTGTGACGTCATCAAATTCATGACGTCAAAACATCATCGAATGAAAAATAAGTTCTATTACAGAATTTCTTTTCCTAAAGAAGCAAAATTACGTATCAACCGGATTTATTTCTGGCTGTTATTCCATTTAAGTTAAATTTTCTTCATCCGCAATTCAGATATGTCGGCTACAGTGAAAAATTATATTTTATAAATTTCACTAGTGGTTTATCAGAATATAATCATCTGGTATATTACAATAAAACACTGGAAAGCATGAAATAAAATGATTTAATTGATGAATATCAGCTAACAAACAGTAACATAAAAGTGGTCACAGAATATCACCCTGAGTGTTTAAGGTACATTGTAAATAGGCTATATAAGTAATTAAAGACAGTTTTTTGCTAAAACACAGTAGACACTGTAATATTTAACAAATTTTATTTGATGTGGTAAAAACCTAGCAGAACTAATAAGATAAGCAGTGAACTGTAGGTAAAGATGTTATGTGTTTAATCCTAGTTACCGTGATATTAGCGCTGTATTTTGTAATATAAAAACTTAATTGTTAATTAAAAGTCAAAAAGCTCCTGATAAGAGGTTAATACACGGCAGAGTAGGGCCGGAAGGTGATAATCGTCCCTGATGGAAATATGGCCCTCGGCACCCCCCCCATAGCCCTCGGGTCCATTATTCATTTTGCGGGCCGATTATCACCTTCTGCCCTACTCTGACGTGTATTAATGTCTTTAATACACTTCGGTAGATCTAACAGTAAGCATTTAAAAAAAAAAAAAAAAAAAAAAAAAAAAAAAAAAAAAAAAAAAACCAACAACAAAGTTCTTTCGTTTCAAAATTCTTGTCTACTCTTCTAACTACTTTCTGTACTTGAGATGTTTACTGTTTGTGTGTTCCAAAGCAGTAGAATCTAGAACAGCAAGTTTTATTTTCATTTTTTTTCGGAATGGAATTTGTTCGATTTTATTTCTTCAAATTTCAATAGTAACCAAAAAATGTGTTTGCACTAAATACGCTTAAGCTCTCATAATTAAAAAATTAAAGCGATTCGTGCTGACAATCCTTACTTTCACTTTTTACCAGTTAACTGTTTGATGACGTAAAAATATGACGTCATTGTTTACAGTTTGTGCACGTGCACATGTTCTGAGGACTGATAACTAGTTCTCGGCCCCGGGCCGCAAACTCATAATAGGTCACGTGACACTCATAATCAGTTGAAATCATAGGCAATTTTGTTACTATATATAGTAACAAGTGTATTAATAGGTTTTAATATGCTGGGAAATTATGTTATGGATAGTTAGGGGTCAATGGTATTTTATATCTGAAATTAAAGCATTCTTGAGTTGTCATGATCAAAGATTGCTAGAGACAAACATTTCATTTGTATTAAATTTTAGCAGGACTGAAGACTCATCTAAACGAAAAATTTGTGTGCTAATGGGGATAAATATTACTATGTATATTGTAGATTTTGGAGACACAGACTTGCACGGCAATCTTCAGGGACAATGCAATGTTAGCCAATGAGATAACAGATAATGTTATACAACATTTTGTACATGCTATAGAAACTAACGGTAGACATGTACAGTATCTGAAATTCCTACAGACTGTAGTGAAGGCAGAGGGACAGTATATCAGGAAAACACAGGATATGGTCATGGCAGAGGTAATATAACTTCACCAGTAGGATAGATATGTCATAGGTCAAAATTATCGTATGGTTAATGATTAGGACTAGTAATCTAAGGATTGTCAGTGGTGTGGGTTCAAATCCAGTCAGGGGCAAGCTGTTCTTTCCTTGAAGGTTGATGGCTACACAAAGGGTTAGCTAAAATATGTGTCAAATTTAAGATCTTGAAAAATGTCATATAGTGCTAGTGTATGAAAATATGAAGGGAAACAACTGTTGTACAAAAAACATTAAAGTGAAAAATGTAGTTACTTCCCTTGCTCAATAAATGTAAAAGATTGTTAAAAAAATTTAAAACAAAATTATTACATAAGTAATTAACTCATTTGTACTCTAAAGTTCTCAATGGTTTAGATTGTATATAATTCAATGCAATTGATGCTAAAAATATTGTTGAGATATTCATGAAACTATATTTCTATTTCTATTATTTGACAGTTAGTGAATGTTGGTGAAGAAGTTCTTCTGTTCTACAATGACCGACTGTCGTTCCAAAATCTTGTGTCTTTGATGCAGTCAGAAGAGTTGAGGAATGATGATAATAGTGTCCTTAACTATCACATCAATCTCGTGCAGCTGCTGGCACTGTGTACCGAGGGCAAGAATGTATACACAGAGATAAAGTGTCATTCTCTACTACCGTTAGATGACATTGTTAGAGTGGTGACACATAAAGATTGTATTCCAGAGGTGCATTGATGTTTATTATGTTTAGAATTCTAAAATACAGTAATACCCTTAAAAAAAGGCTATCAGGTTAGGCCGTTAGTACAAATGAAAAGGAAAAGAAGAAGGAAGAATTGATGACTCAATTTTATTAGCTCGACTAAAGAATGAGGGACTGTTTTACTCAACCAGGTTTCAGCATTGCCTTCAGACATTTGTTAAGTTTTTGCATGTATGTTTACTTGTTATCTCAGAAATACTAAAGGGAATAGTTGAAACCCTTAACATACTTGTTCCACTGCGATTATCAAACATGATTGGCACAGGTACCATAACTCTAAGTTAACTTTTTACAAAGTTATGCCCCTGTTTTTGTCAAGCACTGAGAAAAGTTGAGCATGCTGTGTTATAGACATCTCTTGTTTAGTTTGCTTATCAAAGAATGAATTCCTCATTAAAGGTTATATTGATGATACCGTAATATATTTCATTGGAGAAAAGAAGTTTGTACATTTTATCTTTTAAGGATTGAAAAGCTTTTATGATTGTAAAGCTGGAACGTCGCGATATGACCTATACTGTGTCGATGTGACGTAAAACCCAAAACAAAAACAAAAAAAACAAAAAAATGATTGTGTTATGATTATTTTTCAGGTAAAGTCTGCCTACATCAACTTTCTCAACCATTGTTATATAGACACAGAGGTAGAAATGAAGGAGATTTATACCAGTAGTCATATGTGGACATTGTTTGAAAACTTTCTTCTTGATATGGCTTTTGTGAGTTTTTAATATCTATTTTACATGTCCTTTTAATGACATGATAGCTTAGATTAGTTTCATATTAGTTGCTCCTATAACAGTTAAAGTCTATTGATTTCCTGATACTTGCCTCTTTCAGCTATAAGTTTGAGTCCCAGATGAAACTTTAAACTTGTTTTCAATTGAAACTGTTATCAGGCAAGCTTGCAGGAGCCTGTTTAACCAAAATAATGATGTAAATGTAACACAAAATGTCCATGATAGTCAAGAGTAATGTGATGTCATTTCTGTCTTAGTGATGAGATAATGATACAAAATGTGGATTTTTCTTTAACCCTTAGCGTACAGATTTTACCCATGCAATCAGTGCACACCTGTGCACCTCTTCTGATCCTTTTCTGCACTGTTTGTTAATCTATAAGTACTTATTTTTAAATTATTCCTGAAAATGATTATTGGTTTTGTGGAAAAGTCCATTGAAGATATTTAATATGGAAAGGGTTAAGGTACAAGACAGTAATCCTGGAAAATCATGAAAATTTGGTGCTTCATGAATGATAATGATTAACTTAGTGAGAAACAATATTTTGTAATAATGTCAGATCTAAACTAAAAGTGGACAATATTCACCATATTCAATATAACTCGTGTTCAGTTCTCCTAGGAATTTGGTTCCATTGAATAAACACTTTGATTGCATATCAAAGTGAATGTATAATATAGCAGTAATTTCAGCCTTCACATCTATGTACATTAATTGTATTGATAGCTGATTTTTTGAAAATTTTGATCTTAAAATTACTATAATTATCAATGGATATGTTTAAAATTTACAAGGTAAGGCAAATACAAAGTTTTTGGAAATGGTTTTAAAGATATATTCACTCAAATTTGATAATAGAAAGTATTACATATCATCTCTTTGTAAATATAAAATAAACATGTTTTGACATCATACAAAGTAGATATGTTATGATTAAAACTCTACACACTATAGATGGTCACAATATGAACATATAGTATCAGTAAAGCAACTGGCAGGTTTTTTTCTAGAAAGGACAAACTGTACTTGACCTGTAATACGGAATGCAGCTTCCCATACATTATACATAGTATATTCATTCTATATAGTCAGGTTTGACATTTTCACTAAGACTTTTATAGATTGCAATTAATTTCTGTTATTAAAATATTTTACCAAATGATAAGCATATTTTTAAATAAGATTACAGTATAAAATTTTGTTAATTACAATGACTGAGATATTTTACATTACAGGTGTCAAATGCCACCAATGATCGTAAGCATGCTGATACAGCCCTTGAGAACTATGTTACAATCACAGTGATGAGCGTTATATCTACATTCTTCAACTCGCCTTTCTCTGACCAGAGCACTACTATACAGGTATAGATGCTTTTTATATATGAATTATTACCTCCCCTGGTCTCCATTTCCAGGCTTATATATTGCTGGCCTAAGATAAAAATCTCTCAGAATTCTGTCATTTTAAAGAAAAATTGATAAAAAATCTTTTACATATTGATGCTATAATAATCTTTCATATTTATAAAAGAATTTGATAATTTACCTAAGTCGGCTGTTTAAAATGATTTTTTTTTTGCAATTTTGTCAATTACATTATATAGAATATTGACCCCTAAAAGGGCTGCCACTTTTGGCAAGGGGGTAAAAACCTATATGCCAGGTACACAGTAGAAGGCCAGATTGTACATTTTTCCACTCTGACCATAATGTAATAGATGACTGCAGTAGTTTAACATACTGGTATTTAAAAAAAAAATGTTAAAATTTTGGTATTTAAAGCTTTTTTGTTACGGAACTACTGTTGAAAGAACAAAAGGTCTGTTACATAAATTTATCAGGGGAAAGGTCAGCACAGCTTAATAAAATGTGTACAATTATTAAAACTTTTCAGTTTTTAAGGCTACAGAATTTGCTAAATACTACTACTAGTGGCAAAAAATAAGACTAAAAATAACAGGCAAATATATATTTTGTTAAATGGTTCTTTTCAGTCGAGACAGCCGATGTTTGTTAAGTTATTACAAGGGGCATTCAGGTTATCTCACTGTTCATGGCTTACTGGACCACAAAATTTGAGCGTACAGGACTGCATTAAAACATTGTCAAATATAGGTAGGTTATGTTACCATGTTAATATTATTCTCATATATTGTATAGCTTATATAGAACAATACATTTTAGTTCTTAATGTAGTCATTTTATTTTTATCAATTTATAACATTCTTTTTATCGCTATTTTTATGTTACCACTTTCTTAACGTCCACAAAACTCATTAAAATAGATTATTACACTACTGTGGTCACATAGTTGTTTTGTTTGGTTACTATGACAACAAGATTATCATGAATATATACTAGTACATCTTTAAAATCTCTCAATGATGGTCTGGTGATGCCTTATCATAGATATTGTGTTTGGTAAAAAGTTTTGTTCATATTTTTTTTAATTGTTTAATGTATTTACGATATCTTTTACAATGTATGTATCTTTGTTCAATATTGAGAGATTTTAAAATGTATTCAAGGTTTTTATTGCAGCCAATAAATTTAAAATTTTTGTATTTACTGGCCCGAATTCATGTTTTGAATTTATTCTACATGTACTATATAGATTAACTTAATTTTCTTAAAATTTACACTGGCCCAAACTAATTTACACCGGCCATGGTCCACAGGGCCAGTGCTAAATTCGATGACTTATTAATGTCAATTATGTTCCCAGAACTCATGAAATGAAATATATAAGATATTCAGTTTTTACAAAAAGTTCAAAGTTTATAGTATTGATAAAAGATGCTATTAAAGTAATAAATTAGTTTTTTGGTCTGTAAATTAGCGTTAACCCTTACTTTGCTAAATATCTTAAATGGACTTGTCCATCTTTCAATCTGGACAATGCCATTCATCATTTTGAGGGAAAATTTCAAAATAAGTTCTAACTGAATAAGAAATGGTGTAGACCATATCAGATGGCATGGATGTGACAGCTGATCTTGGTCTGCACTAGTGGCATGGGTATATTCAGGTGCAGCAAGCAAGAGGCTAAGAATTAAAGCTAAAAAAGGGAATGCTAGTATGGGGAAAAGTTTATAAAGGGAAAAAAAAGCATTTTAGGTTTTGCTTCTGTAATAATTTAGATGACATAGCTTTCCTAATAGCATGATAGTAGTGGCAATGTTTTATAACTTGACAACAGTCATTATTTCTATACATGTATATTTACAATGCCTTCTGTTGTAATAAGAAAGGCATGACATGTGCTTATCTGAACTGGTGGAGTTCATATAATCTCTTTGAATTGTATTTTTACCAGGGTGGCTAACTGATATATTTGGTATAGCTCACACAAGGAAATCATTTCTTGTGACTTTTTGAAAGATTTTCAATTGATAATAATAATAATAAAAAAAAACCAAGTTTCTTCCTTTGAACATGTTTTTAAAAATATCCTTTACTTATTTTAGTCAACTCAACTTATGTATTCATAGTATAAATATTACACAATAATTATGTCCTCTAGGAAAAAGAACAATTGCTATTCAAATGGGAAGAACTGACTTTCCTTTCTTTTTCTGATGGAAATTTACAGACAAATTTATAATGTTCCTTGAATGATGCTATAAGTAAACATGATACAAAAATATCTTGTGGATTGGCCATCTTGTTCGTCACACTTTCTCCTTGGTTATTTTAGTCAGCATTGAAATGCGCATTGTAAACTACAATGTAATTATAATAATGTGATGAAATCATTTTTATTTTTATGGCCGTTTTACAGCGTTACAGCATAATTATTAGACATGTACTGGCAAATGAAAACCTTGCTGACAGCTTTTATCTTCTTCATGAGTTTCCCTATGAATAAAATTAATACTGTTCAATACGTAAAAAAAGTTTCGATTGAAATCCTTATTTACTTAGCAATATTGAAACTCTACGTTGGGTAACCTCCACCTTTGCAAGATACTCATTTTGCTTCAGTAAAACAAAAGAAGTCCTTTCTTCATGAGACAAAAAATGGAAAAGGAAAAAAAGAAGATTGTATGTAACAGTTATTTGATTAAAGATCGATCTGCATAAATGAATCATTGCTTTAAAGTTTGAATTCAGATAATTTGTTATAGATTTTCTTTTATGTCGTCGTTACTTGCCTGGATGGGGAGGGGTGTGGGGGACCGGAGGATTGATATATTTCTGAAATTGTCCGTCACGCTGTGTGTAAAAATTGACAAAGCTATTGAATGTAAGAGCATCACATTTCTTTGTGAGATAAAGTATTTGGCCGGCATGCTAATGGAAACGAAGCAAATTTTGTACTTTTTTATGTTTTACTTTTTCTTACAGCTGCTACTCAGTTTGATCCAAGTGAGTTTTAGAGTGCAATGTTTTTGTCCTATTTTTACCTTAAAAGTTGCTATGTTAATTGTCCAGAAACTACGCTATAACTTGACCTTGTCATGCCATAGAAAAAGAGTTTATATTTTGTTAAGCTACACTAATACAATGTAAAGGTTTGGTTCAATGTATACAGAAGACTGTTACTTGGTTGGAATGGCAAAATTAGATATATTTTTTGCATAGAATTACTAAATTAAAGTTAGTAACATTAGTTTTTGTAAATTTTGACCGGTAACTATTCGGTAACTGAAATTGTAAAGAGTTTATTACCAGTACAGACCCAGACAGAGGCTGAATATTGTGTATATAGTCTAACCAGACTGTATTCTTATAGAAGGCAAACAGTGAAATATCCCTATAAGTGTATATATATATATGATCAGCGTTGAACAGGTCCAGGAAAATTCAGATATGGTTTGGGTTGTATTCTGATATTATTCTTCTTGTGATTATAAAATTCACATTTAAAACTTGATTTATTTTTCGAGCAAGTTTACCTTTATGAGAAAATATGGTCTCTTTAAAGTGTTTTTTCCACTTGCCTGCATATTTACGAAGATAAATATTGGATTGGATGGTTTGTTTGACTAATTTGTATAAGTTTTTTTGCAAAACAATGTAGTTTTGTTGACATCAATGTTTTCAAAGTCATTTGTTTTTCAAAGCTTTTTCATATTAATTATGCTGAAAAGTGTTTTGCAAAAAAACTCCAGACCAATACTCAGTGTGCTGGTTTCTAGCACACACCCACAAACAAAGTTTTTTCTAGGGCAGGGGTACATAGGGTATATAGAAGTGAGTGTGTTTGTCTGTTGGTTGGTCTGTTTTATTGTTGATGATTTTTATCATTTCCTGATGATAATTAAAGAAAGAAAACTTGTAATCAAACTTGGTATAAATATTTTTCTTTAATTGGGTTTTACTTTGTACCAAGACAGTTTTGGTCATATACAACTCTCCAGCTTGACTGGTGAAAAAGGGCCTCAGTAGAACCACGAACATTCCGTAAGCTAGCTGGATAGCTTTCTCATATGTAAGAATTCAAAGACGCTTGTGCAGCTCGAACCTACAGCAGTGAAAGGCAAGTGGTTTGAAGCCAATCACCTTAACCTTGGTAAAAACCTGGCATGTGTGGGGACTTCACTTGAGATTGCTTTTGGGGGCCCCCTGTTACCAAAAATTAGGAAAATGGTTTCCATTACAAATGAGATATAGTAATCAAACTTGGTATATAAAAAGGTAATGTGAAGGACTTTCTTTGGATTGTGTTTGGGCCCCCTAGGGTCAAAGTCTCTTTTATGAAAAATAAGAAAAAAGGTTGATAACTAAATTTAGGAATGAGATTAGGCAATGGATTATAATTATGTGCAAAGATATTAAATCATGAAATGCAGGGTTAGTTCAAATTTACCTTCAGTTGAATAATATTTTTACATATAGTAAATACCCTTTGATTTGGCTTCAGACGTTAAGTTCATATAGTTAAAGGTGGCGATGGGGTATACATTTCACCGGATAGCAGACTAGTTTATCTAGTGCTTAAAATAGCATCATTATTAATAGCTATATAACAATGACTGTGCCCTTTATATGCCTCTGGGCATATGGTAATTGAACTTTTCGTCTGTCCGTCCATCTGTAAAAGGTTAAATTAGCAATTTGGCTTCATAATTTACACACTAAATCAATACAAAGTACATGATCTAAGAAAGTTATGTAACTATGGCTTACATTTTTTCCCATGTTATTGCCCTTTTCACCACTTAGAATATGATTAATCTAAGTTGGCAAATTGGATATATCTAAAGTTCTACCTGTACAAATGGCTTCATAATATATCCATACTTACTTATCAATACAAAATATAAGCTTTTGCCAAGTTATATGGCTGTGCAATCCATATTTCCCAGTTATTTCCCTCTTTAACACTTTGAAAATAGGGCCTTGTAATTGGTTAACCTATTCAGGCAAGCTAGATTTATATTGACTTTCTCCTAATTACTTCATAGATTTTCAAATATCTTCCATATTTGTTTAAGGTAGAATCCTTCAATGGTCCTTTTTGTGGAGTAAGGGGGCCACTTGGGTGAAGGTCACTGTTATCAAATTGAATTTATACATTTTCATTCATTTTAAGTTGACGTCTTTCATGTTTAATACTGACTTGCCTAGATAAGTCCTCTTCTTTTGGGTCTAGTTAGAGGTCATGTAGTCCAAGGTCAAGGTCACCAATACCAAAAATATATTTTTACACATTTGTCCTCACCACTGTGGGTTCGAATCCCGACAGGGACTTTTGATTCTTTCATGTGAGGAAGCTATCCAGCTAGCTTACGGAATACTCAGGTGCCCGATCGTGCCTGAAATAATGCACGGAAGGGCACCTGAGGTCTTCCTCCACCAGTAAAGCTGAAACGTTGCGATATGACCTATACTCTGTCGATGTGACGTAAAACCCAAAACAAACAAACAACAAAATTTACACATTTGTAACACTTTTTGTTTTGACAGATGTCTTTTATTTTTGGTAGGAATATAAATTGAGAAGTCTTCTACCTTAGGAAGGAGTAAGGGGTCAGTTGGGTAAAGTTCACTACAATACAATACAGCCTTTTTTATTGACAGATGTCTGTCATATTTGGTAGGAATATAACTTGCATTGTCTGTCTTCTTGACCTTTAGATTGAATGGTCATGGGTGCCAATTATAGATGTCTTAACATTTTCTTTAGCTATTTGCTGAATCTTACAGCCTTTATCTATTGATGATGTTTTTCATATTTGGAAGGAACATGCCTTGGATATGGTCCTGTGATGAGAGTCACAAGGTCAATGTCACATGTCCTTAAAATAGGATTTTTTATACTTTTTTGTTAAACAGCCTTTGTATTATTTTGTTTACCAATTTCTCATGTTTAGAAGGAACATATTCAGTTGGTCCTTTAAGTTTGGCCACTTGGTTCAAAGTCAAGGTTATTCATTCATATTTTATTTGATAAATTTTTATATTTGTAAGTTGAATATTTTATACTTCATCAAATAGCAGTGACTTGCCAACTTAAATTTTTCACAATTACAAAATGCCATGGAATGGGTAAATGTTTTGAAAACGTTTTACTGACAGTATCTAGGCTGGGGGCATTTGTGTTTTACAAAAACTTTCCTATTTTGTCTTGGAATAAATGTCAATCCCATAATCAACACATTCTCAACAAAGGGTATTTACCTTCCCTTATAGTTATTTTTTGGGGGAAATGTTATTTGTTGAGATTTACAAACAATCTATTTTAGCCAAAAAAGAAAACCTGACAAAACTATCCTTTCCCTGATCTATCGTATTCTAATTATCAGAATTTTACCATAACATATTTGTTAACAAAAGAGCACATGTCAATGCCTTTGGTTAAATGTATTGTTATTCAAATAAAAGGTCAAAGTAGGGATCTATCAATAGCAAAGGATTGGTATTTCTTTATGAATACTAATAGATGCACAAACTGTCTTTAAATTGCTCATCATCCCCAATCATGTGTTATGAAACAACAGCCTCTTGATGAGTTTAGATTTTGGTCTAAGGTAATAGAGTACATGTTTTATGATGGTTCTCTCAAACATTTAGCTTACTTACATTGCAAGCAAGTTAAGTTAGAGACCTTATATATTCAAGTTTGTTATTTGCCTTGCTAAATGATAATTTTTTACTGCTGTTTTTACATAGATACTACCAAACAGTATTTCTTAGGTTAAGTATTGTTTAGATTTTCTATATTTCTGTTTCCTAAATGGCACTGGCAGCAAACATACATTCCGAGCTTCAAGTATTTTGTCCACGCAAAAAGAGAAAAGAAAATTTGCATGTATTCAGATTGCATTGAGTGTCACCGCTGCCTTTTGTACGTCAAAGTCACTAAGTGCTATAAAAATGTCATTCTTAAGATCTTTTTCAAACTGTGTGAGTTACTTTCTTTCATAGTACCAATACACTTGATAATGGCATCTCTGTGAGTTCTTTCCCTTGATAATGGCAACTCTTTATGTAACTTCCCATGAAATTGGCAACTCTATAAGTTAATTCACTTGATAATGGGGACTTTTAAGTTACTTCCCTTGATAATGGCAACTCTTTAAGTAACTTCCCTTAATAATGATAACTCTTTAAGTTATTTCCTTTGATAATGGCAACTCTTTATGTGACTTCTTTTGATAATGGTAACTCTTTATGTTACTTCCCTTGATAATGTCAACTCTTTATGTATCTTCCCATGAAAATAGCAACTCTATAAGTAAATTCCCTTGATAATGGGGACTCTTTTAATTTACTTCCTTTGATAATGGTAACTCTTTATGTTACTTCCCTTGATAATTGTAATTCTTTAAGTTACTTCTCTTGATAACAGCAACTCTTTATGTTACTTCCCTTGGTAATGGTAACTCTTTATGTTACTTCCCTTGATAAAGGCAACTCTTTGTTACTTCCCTTGATAATGGCAACTTTTTATGTTACTTCCCTTGATACTGGAAAGTCTTTAAGTTATTTCCCTTGATAATGGGGACTCTTTTAAGTTATTTCCCTAAATTGATAATTGAAACTCTTTATGTTACTTTCCTTGATAATTGCAACGCCTTATGTTACTTCCCATGATAATGGAAAGTCTTTAAGTTATTTCCCTTGATAATTGGAACTCTTTATGTTACTTCCCTTGATAATGGTAACTCTTTATGTTACTTCCTTTCATAATGGTAACTCTTCATGTTACCTTCCATAATGGCAACTCCCTTGATAATGGTTAATCTCTATGTTACTTCCCTTGATGATGGCAACTCTTTGTCTTACTTCCCGTGATAATGGCAACTCCCTTGATAATGCAAACTATGTCAGTATGATATTTACAATATGAGTTACTGCCTTTTATAATCATTAATGGCAACAGGCCATTATTGTTCCAGTGTAAAGCAACATCATTTTGCGCATTCTGCTATGTTTATTTAAGACTGCTTCAGTGTAGTAAATTTTTTATGAAACTCTTGCAATTGCAGTTTCAAAAAGAAAAATCCATTGTATGAATTTAGCAGGGAAATTTTTCTTTTCTAAGGAAGTTTAAAGTTCTTTTGATCTCCATGCTTTAGCTAGAGATGTTTTGGAGCAGTTTTCAGAGGTTTTTTAGAGTAGCCATTAGAGCTTACGTAGAAACTTTGTACATTATAGTCATATCTACCTAAAAGCCCTATCAAAATTAAGCAATGAGTTAATGATAATGTTCATACTGTCCAACAGAATAGAATATGCTGCAACTATCATTTGGCACACTGCCAACATCTCTATAATGCATTTTTACCCGAGAATGCAGTGAATGTTAAAATTTTCTGGATGTAAAGCTTACCTTATTGTGACCATTGGTTGTTGTTTGTCTGTCCGTCTTTCTATCCTTGAGACATCATCTTAAGACTTGATCCTATCAAGTTTGAATGAAAACAGATAAAAAATGTATTAAAATTCTAGTGAGAATTGCACTTTCCACGTCCCAAATGTTGTTTGAAATTGCTAAGCACTTGACAATGAATTTGTCTTAAGTTTCACACTTTTTTGTTTGTTTTAGTGAATGCTTAACATTTGAATGCAATTTTTGAATTTATGTTTGATGATTTGTTTTATGATATTGCTATGTATATGAAGTCAATCTTTACAAAGTAAAATGTGCATGATAGTTTGAGTTATTATTAAAATAATTACTAGTATTCACTTTAAGCCTATAGACTTTTAAATTCTTAAGAAAAACAAAGTTTTTTTAGAAAGTTTGTTTAGTAGACTTGGAACTTCCCTACACATTCTTATGACATAGATCCCTAATCTGTCTTAATTCTAATTATCAGATTAGTGGAATACAATATATATATGTATCACCACAAATTTTTTTCACCGAAAGAACAAAATGTCCGAGTTTGCGGTTAAATCGATTGTTATTCAAATAAAAGGTCAGAGTAGGGATCTATCAATTGGATTCAAGTAATCCAAAGGTTGATGCTCTGTTGGGAGCAGAATTGAAGTTTAGCAAATAAGCCTGAAAGGTAGAATTAATATTTGCATCCTGTAATGCATAACATGATATGTAATTGGTAAGTTAATTATTTTATCTTCAAATAAGATATCAGTAGTATTATAACATACAATCTAGAGATGGGATACCCTATCTCAAAATGATCCTTTAATACTGAAGGTCTTTTTTCTTTATTTTTTTTTATCAAGGCTTTCAAACTTTATGATGTAATAAAGATAGCAATTTAATTGTTTTTAGAAAGCCAGTCAATTATTTTAGCCAGTTAAATGTATTTAGAAGGTCAGTTTATTGTTTTTAGTTACCCAGTTATTTGTTTTCAGATAGCCAATTAATTAATTGTTATCAGATAATTAAGTAATTGTTCTGAGATAGTTAAACAATCTCTAGTTGTTTATCTGTCCTTTGATTAGACTGTAAATTATAAGATGGTGTATGAATTTGTTAGCAGGAATTTGACTTGTCTATGCATGAACACTATGAATTCTTGCTTTACAAGCATGTTGTGTTTTATAGCTATACAATTTGAGGGTGAGATAGATTTTAAAATGCTTTTATGATAGTTTGGTTTGAACCTTTACCTTCAATGAATATACATGTATAAGTTACACATAATTTGTGCAACACATTAATCATGATAATTATACTGTACTGATTAGAAATAAAATTGTTCTGAAAATTGTGCACGACAAAATATATTCAAAAATCTGCACTAGAAAAAAATGCAAAAAACACTAGCTGCACTACAAAATATATGCAGGAAACAAGTAGTGCAAGAAATAATTGAAACATGTATGTTTTGTATCAAGCTGTGTAAAAAGTTGTCTAAAATTATGTATTTCTAAAGGTATATTCATTATACTATCATAATTATTGCTTACAAAACAAAATTTGGTAATGATCTGATATGTTATAAAATTTAATAGTAGTATCCGTCTAAGTCTGCCATCTTTCTTATTTGTTACAGATGACATGCATGGCTTTGTCCTTGCATGTTTAACAAAAATTTCCCATAATGTATACTTGATATACAAATAAAAATCACATGTAATGATTTTTGTAAAAGTCACTCTGTCACCACAGTAAGGCCTTATTGTTTAGGAATTTATATACATGCATAACCATCGTGGGGTATCATATAACTATTTGCAAAGTTGATATTAAAAAGAAGTAGAAATTAAAGGAGTGGAGACAATAAATTCATTGTTACCTTATAGGAAATTTAATAAAAGACCTCATCCCTATTTTTTTGAAAGTCACTTTTATTAAATGTGCAAATTAAATTCAAATAGTTGTTTATGACTGTTGTCAGTAAGGGTGCAGTCTCTTCTACTGCACTTTTTAAGTACATGTGACTGATGTGGGCTTATAAAGCCTACCAAACAGAGAAAAAGAACAAAACTATTAAAAGAATAACAATATGAGCCGCGTCACAACAAAACCAACATAGTGTGTTTGTGACCAGCATGGATCCAGACCAGCCTGTGCATCCGATCTGATCCACGCTGTTCGCTTACCAACCCTATTACAAGTAGAGAAACTGATAGCGAACAGCATTGATCCTGATCAGACTGCGCGGATGAGCAGGCTGGTCTGGATCCATGCTGGTCGCAAACGCACTACGTTGGTTTTATCATGGAGCTGCTCATATATACATGTACATCTTATGATAGAATCAGCTTTACAATTATCTTCATTGAAGGTAAAGATTCATATTTTGTTTTTTATGCTAGAAAGTTGTTGCAGAATGTTCAGTTTCCTGTATAAGTGATGTTTATCAATTTGTGTAACCCTAGTGCTTTTTAAGATTATGTTGATTTTAAAAGTCTTATTTTTAACCCTTTCAGTGTTTGCTTTGAGAAAGGCAGCTAAATTGCCACTCACTATCATATGGACAGACCAGCTGTTCATGTGGTGTGATTATTAATTTTAGCTATTTGTAATCATTATGATTTCCTAATGTTGTAAAATGGACAGATCTATATTAAAATGCAAGAAAGTTAATATATACAAGTGTATGGATGAAGGGGTTAAAAATAATAGCTAGAGTGAGCACAGCAAATAACATTCTTTCATCTATCTTTATTTGAAGTGCAATATACATCTATGACCTTCAAGGTCAAGAAAAGTGGACAGGTATTCTGTCCAATAATCTCTTCTTTAAGTTAAAATCCTTGGTGCAGCTCATGATTTTCTGGGACAATAAATGTCTTAATTTCAACTGCAAATTAATTATAAAATTTTTAATTTAATTTAAAAAAAAACAACAACAACAATTTTTGCAGCACAAAATAGTAAAACACAAATAAATAAATATAGGAAAAGATAGTTAAATTTTAAAGCTATTTACCCTGCAATAGTCTAACCTGCCTTGAACACTTTAATTTTGTTATTCATTGAGTGTTTTAGATATAGCTTTTTTTATTTGTTCATTGTCTGGGAAGTGTGCTGCTGTAAGAAATAATGGATATTTCTTGAATTTATCTTGTTCTGTGATATCTAGTATTCTGTTGTTTATATTAGTGTTAAGTTCATGTATTGCATACATTTATAGAAATGTTCTTTTCATACTTCTATTGCCTTTGACAGTTTTAAAATTAAATTTGAATATAAAATATTATATTTTAATTCTATAAAATCATTTATGGAAGAATTATCTGCAATTTAGTTGGTCCATTAATGTAATAATTTCAATAGCTTATTAAAAGTTAGTCATAGAAGTATTTGTAACATAAAAATGTGAAAAGCTCATTTCTGTAATTTGTGAACCTAATGCTTGTTTTCTTTTTTTGTGAGTTCTGTTTTACCATATTTTTAAATCATCTTCATATATTTTTGCTAAAGCTGAATTAGCTAGTAAGTACACTCTTTGATTTCACCACCTTTGTGACTACAATTTATATATAGTACATAAAAAAGGGAGATAACCAAGCTTTGAAAATAAGTAAAGGGCAACAACCATGAATTACTTTTTTCCTTATTTTATTTTGGAAGAGCACTCACTAAAGATATCAGAATTTTTCATGGTTTAAAATATAAGATATATTTTACAGTCTTACTTTGTTTATTTTAGTACTGAATGTAAAGTATCTTAGCACCAAAGTGGGGTTCAGAATGGGCACAAGGGCCACAACCCTTTATTTTATTAAAATCAACTTTAGTTACATTTTTGTTCTAAATGTGCAGTTGTTACAGTTAACATATCAAATATTTGTATAACTATTTAGGGTGATTGTTTTTTTCCATACATTTCCCTTGCATGTATTTGTTAATTAAGGGCCATAAATTTTACTTTACTATATTTTATGCAGGAGATTATGATTTGATACGATTTGCAGGTATTAATTGTGATGACTGACTGCACTGCTTTTTACACTATTTTCAAATGATTTATTTCACAGGGTTAGGGTTTTTTTCATATATATTTAATAAACAGATATTTGTGAGAAAAAATAAGGAAATACAATTGTGTTTTTATATGCCCCAGGCATGTAGTAATTGAAGTTTTGCTTTGTATGTCCTAACAAAGTTAACCTACCCCAGCAAGTTGGATAATTTATATGTTAAGTTATGTCTGTAAGAATGGCTACATTATTTACACACCTAATTAAAAATACAAAGTCCATAGACTTGGCAAACAATATTGCTGAGGCATCTATTTTTTTCCTAGATGCATCTATTTTTTTCTTCCCAGATATTTCCCCTTTTCCCCCATTTACCCCTATTTTAACATTAAAAGATACATAAGGTTAATCCAATTTTAAGAAGTTTGATACATTTGAGAAAAAGAACTATTGATATCTTTTAGTTTCATGTGATATACTCAATGATTTCTTTACAATCCTTGACTTGCTTACTAAATACTTATCCTGGTATAAGTGACGAAACTTTGCCTCTTCTTATTTCCTTTATGCACATTAAAGATTTTATGCACTTTAAGAAAGGTATGGTTTACTGATTCAGGTTGTATTAATACCAGTGGCTAAAATATTAGCATACTTACTGATCAAAATAAGACCTGAATCCTTGCAAGTTACATAACTTTGTGATATTCCTTTTATTTCCATTTACCTCCCCTTAAGGCACTTGTGTTTATGAATGTTTGATTTACCTTTCTTGGCACATTCAATATTTTTCAGCTTTATCAAATAGCAATGAAATGCCACTTTACAATTTTTTTCTGACAAGAGCAGAAGGTCATGACTGTTTCAAGTTAGACAACTGTGTTAAGACTATTTCTTGAGTATCCTCCCCTTCCTGAACTGAGTTAATAAGTAAACCTTTTTGGCAAATTGGTTACTGACATCATTGATTCCAGGGATCATGTTTATAATTTATTGAATGATGGTTTCATTTGTTTTTTTAAAGAAAAGGAAAAATAAAGAAAATTATTTTGAAATTGTAGGTTTTGAAACGTCAAAATGTTAAAAATTTCTGATTTTAAGGTGTACACATTGTAATGGTATTCTAGGTATGCACAAAGGATCAAGAACACTTGCACTTAGAAAAATCTACTGCATCCCAAATTACTTCCTTTCGCTTATTCCCAGATGACATCTGGCTTTACTGGAATATTATTTTAAGTCAAGTATTTGGAAAACAGAATTCTTTTCTTTCAACAAAAGTTCTAGATCATAAAGAAAGAGAAATTTTAACACCAATTTCATTTTTTTTTAATTCACCTTTTAAATCTTTGTTCTTAAGTAAAATTGTTTGCGTGTCAACACAGGTGTTTTAATTTAGAGCAAATTTAGATTTTAGTTTTTTTTATGCTGAAAGTTTAAATATCAAGAAGTTTCAAATAGGTGAATGGGGTCAATTTTATCATAATGCATTTAGCTGTTTGCGATTATTTTTAGATATGCATATTCAGCTGATTTTTTTTTGGTTATAAATTTTAGATATTCAGAAATTTAAAGCATATGTTAGCTAAATTAATAGCATAAATATACAGTATGGTAGCATAGGGCATTTAAAGTGACACTAAATTTTGTAATAGATTTAAAATTCAGTTCTTGCTTTTTATGATTAAGTTCAGTTTAGTAAACCATTGTATATCTTTAATGGGCTGTAAGTTTTACTTCTCTGCTTTCCATACATAAAATAAAGTAACAGTTTTATATAAGTTCTTTTTATTTAGCATTTGTGACATAATAGATATTTATAAAGTTAATCTTTCATGTTATAATTTCGAATTAAAGTAGTTTTTTTTTCTAGTGTTAAAACATGATTTAAATAATAATATAGAAGTAAAAATATAATTTGTAGGAAGTAATATAGATATAAATGAGAAAGATGAAGTCAGAATATAACTAGATATTTTATTGTTATATTTCAGCAAAGAATCGTGGGATTGCCATACCGTCTGACCTTGACACACAGGTTCACTCCATGTTTGAAAAATCCAACATGATGAAAAAGCACACGGCTAAATGGTTGAGTGGTCAGCGACAGAAACGCGAGTCAGTGGCGTGTGTATCACGTGATTACAAAAATATTATAGAGGGTCTTCAGGTGTGTTTCAAGCAGCATTCCTACTGCTTCATGCTAATTTTCATGAAAATTTTGAAATTTTATTAAATTGTATAATACTGTGAAGTGAACAACGAAAGTAATTTACTCTTTGTTGACTGCACTTGCACTCCACGTAAATTTCCAAAAGAGGTCAAAATATGCAAAAATATCCCTTAATACAAAATCAGTCATTTATCGCATATAACTTGTAAATTATTACTTGAATCTTGTATCTTTTTACTTTTTAGCTCGACTATTCGATAAGAATAAGTAGAGCTATTGTAGTTACCCGAGCGTCGGCGTTGGCGTAACCACTTATGTTAAAGTTTTTATAATACCTCAAATATGTTCAAAGTCCATTGACATATGGCTTTGAAACTTTGCACACTTGTTCACCATCATGACCCCAACCTGTAGACAGGAGGAGGTAACTCTATCAAGCATTTTGACTGAATTTTTCCTATTTTTCGACTTAGAATTTACGTTAAAAGTGTTTGTAATACCTCAAATATTTTCAAAGTCCATTGACATATGGCTTTGAAACTTTGCACACTTGTTCACCATCATGACCCCAACCTGTAGACAGGAGGCGGTAACTCTATCAAGCATTTTGACAGAATTTTTCCTATTTTTCGACTTAGAATTTACGTTAAAGTTTTTGTAATACCTCAAATATTTTCAAAGTCCATTGACATATGGCTTTGAAACTTTGTACACTTGTTCACCATCATGATCCCAACCTGTAGACAGGAGGCGGTAACTCTATCAAGCAATTTGACAGAATTATGCCCCTTTTCGACTTAGAATTTACGATAAAGTTTTTGTAATACCTCAAATATTTTCAAAGTTCATTGACATATGGCTTTGAAACTTTGTTGAAATTTTATACTCTTCTTTGACAGCATAATAGGGCTCTTTCCAATGCCTATAACTGTTATATGGATTTAAAGAAAAAATTTACCTTTTTTCTTTACTGAGAAAATTTTACTTTTTAATCAAGGCTTTTTTTACTATCAAGCACTAAGAATAGTCGAGAGTTGCTGTCCTACAGACATCTCTTGTCTTAAAATTCTAGTACTTTTTCCACAAGTTTGATTTATCTTGAAATATATTTGCTCATCTGGAGGCATGCAGTTTTTAATGTCAAAGTTACTTAAAAAAACAATCTCACTTTTGTTCTAAATTTTTATTGAAATGATTTTTGTATTGTGTTTATAAGCATAGAGTATTAGTAAAGTTTGTATGCATGGCTGTAAGTATTTTTTCAACTAAATATTTCAGGACATAGTAGTGTTACTGGAAGACCAATTAGCTCCCCTGGTTCAAGCAGAGTTGTCTGTCTTGGTAGATGTTTTGCATCAGCCAGATTTGCTGTTTGCTGCAGGAACTGAAGAGCGCAAGAAATGTGAAAGTGGTGGATTTATTTCTAGGTAAATGTTACATCCTACACAGTTAGATAGATATTTGTTATATCTTACTGTATTGCAATCCTACAATTTCTAAGTGGGCAGATTTAAACACTACTGCAGAATGATTTTTTTAAGCTTAACTAGAAAAGGAAGAGCTACTGTATGTGTATTTAAATTCGCTGAGGAGCGAATTTTTGCAGAAAGGTCCATTTTGGGGGTCTATAGAAATATTCAAGCTATTTTGAATTCGCGGAGTTGACTGCCGAATATTGCTACACATACAGTATTCCACTCACGCTGGTGTCGGCATCACACTTTGGTCAAGTTTTAGCATACAAGTAAATATCTCCAAAAGGGGAATGGATTAAAACTTTGCGCCCTTGTTCTCTGTCATGGCAGGGAAAATGGTAATTAGGCTATGTCAGAGTAATGCAATGTGATTATGTCTTTTAGCTTTGCCAGAGAGACATGTAGGATCATTCCATCAGTGTAATATACATTTAGGAGCTTCATTCCAGGCATAAACCATTAGTTGAACTGGTAATTTGAATTGGTTTATGTGGAAAAAACCATCTAAAGATCAAAGAAAAAGTTCTTGAGTTTTTGCCCCTACTTTTTCATCCTATGAAAAGTAAGCCAATTGCTAAGTTAGACTCTAATAAGAAGAAAAAACACATCTTAACACATACAGTCATATAAAAAAGTATCAAAGTAGATCTATTAATATAAATTTCACTCAGTGAGTGGAAGGATCATGTCTAAGAACCATAATTCTACCTTGTTTAATGTTTTGATTACCTCCCTTAAGTTTTATTTATTAAGTTAAGTTTAATGCTGTTTGTCCTAATGCATAAACTGTGATATCTCATTGAATAGAGCTTGTGAGTGGAGGAGCAAAGAAATATAACTCAACATTACTTATTTTCTGAATTATCTCCCTTTACAATGCTTGATTATGCTTGTTACACATTCTTTTATACAGTTTTTGTTTATCAACCAAATGTCTTTCATATTTGAGAGGAACATATTACCATGAATTTGTTTTACCTTTTAGTATAGTAAGAGGTCACTTAGGTCAAGGTCATTTGTGCTTTAAATAGAGTTTTTCACTTTTGCTAATTAGCAAAATTTTATATAACAAATATCAATATTTGTGTATCTTTTATCTTACAGCTTTATTTATTTACCAATGTGCATGGAAATACATTGAAGGATGTACAGGTTCTGTTGAAAGGACAAGTCCTTTACATAATGTCTGTAGAGAATGAATTTGTCTGCAATACTAGATAAATAACGTGATGATTGATAAAAACATTTACTATAAATTATTTTTCAAATATTCCAGGCTAATCCGGCACACAGAGAAGCTTTTAGAAGAAAAGCAGGAAAAACTATGCATCCAGGTCCTAGAGACGCTTAAGAAGATGATGAAGCTTGAAAATGACTATGGCGACAAGGTAAACACAATTATGAAAAACATTCTGAAATTAGTGAATGTGTTCGGCAGTTATAAGCTGAAATATATGAAATGTTTTTTTCCCATTATTTTTTTCTATCCACTATTTAGTGTGTTTATATAAACAGATTGGTGTGGCTTTATTATAATTATCTTTGGAACACATAATTTAAGAAAACAATTTAATTCATTTTGATATGAACTATTTTTTTTTAACTGAGGCCTTTGAACTAACAGGGGTTAGGAAGTTAATTTTTGCAGGTTTTTACCTTTTTTATTTTGTTGGGTGACAAAGAGGGGGGTGGATTTTGACAAGGAGGGTTTGCATTCTGAATCAGCTCTTCCCTATTATTTTCACAGTTTTCTGGGTTTTAATTTTGAAAATCTGTTTTACTAACAATTTTGGTTTAAAGTGAAAGTTATAACAATGCCATCTCTTTTACAAATAAAGTTAGGATGGTAAATGTTATAATCAAAACATCTTCATTTTATTTCAATCATGTTATTAACGTACTGGATGTCATAGGGTTGTGATGGGATTTGATTAAACAAGACAATTCTAATTCTAAAACTTATTCTTAGAATTTTAATAACGTCATACACTAAGTGGTCGGGGTAATTGCTCTACGTCATAACATATTTCATCCTAACAAAAACCGCAGCTCATCATCGTCCTTGAAAAGTAATTCTTGTCGTTGAGATTTGAAGTCCCACTTATGAGTATGATGTCATAAAAGTATAATAGGCACTAGAGAGGTAACAATTTGAGTCATTTTACACCGTTAGAGACGTCAAGAGCACTTGTTCAGATGAATTTTCCAATTAACTGTTTATAATTTTATGATTGTCAACTCTCAAGTGGGATTTAGTTTAATTCTTGTGGGCTTTGTGTAGGAAATATTTAGAATTCTATTGTTTTATATAAACCAATGAAATTATGTTTAGGTATAGGTTGAAACTTTAAAGAATAGTTTCTTTTTTTTTAAACTGTAGTTTTTTCGACAGTAAATGAATTAAATTAGTTTATTATTTTTTATTTATTAGTTTTTTTTTAGCATCAATGGTAAAAAGATGTGTATTAACTGTTATCTATAGCAATATGTTTTATTAAAATCCTTGTACATGAAATTTGTTATGACATAGAAAACAGAAAATTTATGTTCCAGCAGCTTGATTGAATTTTTTTTTTTTTTTTTTTTTTAATATTTGGAAAAAAATCATAAAAAATATACATTTGTGTTGTTAAAGAAATTAAAAAATTGTTATAATGAGTGTAAGCAGTAAGCTTAATATTTCAAAGTGCATGTACACTGAATTTCAGCCAGCTAAGAAAGAATTGCATATACATGCAGAGGCCAGAAAAAGGGTAGGCATTGTTACAAAAATAAACATGTTTTTAGTTACCCACGTTACATTATTAATACAACATATTTAATTGTTGCTGGTTACACTGTTAACTGTATTAATATACACATGTTTGAAACATTTATATGGGAGACAAAATGTTAAATAAAATGAGATTCAAACATGGGTATAATATAGGCTAAAACTTGATTCACATCATAGGTTTATCATATCTCCAGACTAAAATTGTCATCTATTATTCCCATTTTTTTTTTTTAAAGGGCCATTTTAAATATAGATTTTTAATTTTTGAAGTTTTGGCTGCTCTAGAAATTATGAATAAAGTTTCCTGTTTTAAGAAAGAACAAATTCTCAATTTTTTAAAATTCTTATCGTTGTAGATGCACTTCTGCTAGAAATAAGAATCAAATGTAGCCTATAGACATGACATAGTCAAACCTTTGTTTCAATATTATATTCAATTGTTACCCACTTTTTTCTAAAGAGATAAGTCATCGGGGAGGAAAGTAAATGATTTATGTTGTTTATGATGAAGTAGAAACAGAGCTACTTGATGACTTTATTATCCATATTGTCATCGTTCACGCTTATCTCTTGATCGTAAATGTTTTGAAGTGGGGACTCATTTACTTACAGTGCACTCAGGGACTTCTTTTTTAATGTCAGATAAAGATTTTATACGGAAGGAAAGGGGGTAGAGTACATATTATATTCCTGATTATACAGCTTCTGTTTTAACAATATTTTTATGTTTTTTTCATGATCAGATAAATTTGATTTTAAATTAGTCTTTTTTTTTGAAAATTCAGGTGTTGGATTGAATTTTCTCAGATTTTACCACCAAAGTCTTGTACAAATATTTCTCCAATCTTAGTAACTCAACAAATTACTAATGAAACAAAGATTTGACTGTGTCATTCTCCTACAGTTGTTGAAGGAGCTTTCAATCATTATAATCTAAAATAATTCAAAGTTGGGCTTTTAACAGGTTTTGACGTCGCTTTAAATGTCCCGTCAGTGTTCTAGATTCTACACCCAGTGTTATATACCTTAATGTCAGCCTCAAACATCTTCTTCTTAATTATCTCGATTGTTCAATATTTTCAAACCTGAAAGACAGTGTTTGGAGTGTTGTGAACAAAATTATTGTTACAATATTTAGATATTGACACTTTTTAAGAATAATTGTGTGTGAATCCCGCAATTTAATGCAAATTCATGTATTTTTTTCTGCTTTTGCAAAGTTGTGGAAATTCTCTGCTAATGACTATGCTTAATACATAATCCTGAAATGTTCACTATGATTGTATTTATATATCTTCAGATATACTGGTAAAATGTATCCCTATGTATGTAATGTAATTGACTCTTTACATGTATACATTATTCTCTAGAGGATGAAAACTTTACTCAAAGGTTGAGGCCACTCTTAAATTATTTGAGCCGGTTCACGACAAAACCAACATAATGGGTTTGTGACCAGCATGGATTCAGACCAGCCTGCACATCCGCGCAGTCTGATTGCAGGATCCATGCTGTTTGCTTACAAACCTTAGAGAAACCAGTAGAGAAACTGATAGCGAACAGCATGGATCCTGATCAGACTGCGCGGATGGGCAGGCTGGTCTGGATCCATGTTGGTCGCAAACCCATTATGTTGGTTTTGTCGTGGCGCGGCTCATTTAGAATGTTGTTTTGATTCCTGGAACTTACTTCATCTTCATATCCTACGTTATAACAAATTTGGCATGCAATGTATTCAAATGATCAACCTTAAACTTTTGTATATATGACACAAAAGGAACATTAACATTTAATATATATAAAGCTTAATTTTGATGTAAAAAAGCTTGGCCAGTAATTTTGAAAAGATATGTCAGTAAGAAAATGTAGAAAAGCACAAAAATTATTGAATTGTTGTCAGTGTCATTTATAATGGAAGGGGCTGACAGTCTATTAATCTGGAAATGATAGGAAATTAACAAATTTTGATCAGTTAATGTACATTTATGAAATAAAGTAGCTTCTCTTTTGCAATTGAGATAATGGGTCCTTCACATATTTTTCACCAATTAACACTGAATTTCATAGCTCATCATGAGTGCAAAAATATCATATGACACTCATTATTTAAGACTTTAGGACTTCATTTATCAATTAATCATCAGTTCCTGGATTACATTGATCCTTATAAGTTTTATACTTTTAAAGATTTATCAAATCATTTGAAAACAAAATTGGCAAATTGATATGTATAGAGTTGTTATGCTATTATGTTTGAAATCATTCAGCACCTAGGGACGGTAGGAATTCAGGTGTTTTAAACCCCTAGACATTTAGGATTATCTGCTAATGATAAGAAATTGTCTCCTTTATATATAAAAGGTTCTACTTTGAAATGTTTGGATTTGAAGTGATTGCCTTCCTTTAATATGTGAATTTGAAATGAACCCTCCATTTTGTATTGAGGTTTTATTATAAAATTCAGTGTGTTTGAGGTAATAGTATCCCTTGCACTTAAAATGTTTTACTATTAGATATAATAGAAGCTTAAAGATCTGTTAATCTGAGTGAGTTTCCATAGTATTTAGATGCTTTCCATAGGAAATCATTGCCTACCCTTTCATGCATAAAATTCTATAGAAAACATTGTGTCATAATAAATATCTCCCTTTCATTTTTATAAGATTTGATATGGAAAAAACAATGTTTTGAAGTGGTTGACTGACCCTTGCACTAATATACATGTATATATATACTATCAAACTCATTATTTTACATCTTTATTATCATTCTATTATCATTTATTATCACTTATTATCATGCTATGCTTATGAAGGTGGATATTAAAACTCTCACGAAAAAAGAACTTGATGATCATCATAGGGTAAGAGTCAAATGTCGCATCGCTTTGTATTGTCACACTGCATGAATCCTGTAATCTGCATTTTGTATCATATATTTTGTCAATAGTCAGTGAACATAATTGTCCCAGTATTTTAGAGATCAAAATTGTTCCACATGTAAAAGTAAATTCTGATTATGTTTAATTAATATTGATATTTTGGTAACAAACCAAGCATTTCACTAATGACATATTTTTTGTGCTTACGGTATATTTAACAGATTACATTTTTCAATACATATAAACTAACATTGACATGTCCCAATGAGATTTATGGAAAAAAAGGAATACGAAATGTTTGAAGCCCAATGAAATCATTATGATTTAGTTCTATGAAATATTTCTTAAGACAATTTGGGTGTTCAAAACTGCATGAAATCTATATTGTCCTAGACGTCAATACTAAACCCTTAATATCTTGCTGGATGGTGAAACCTTTAATGCTGGATGGTGAAACCTTTAGTGCTGGATGGTGAAACCTTTAGTTTATACAAATTTATTTTAGTTCGATTTTGTTGAAAGTTTGATGATATTAGCTTATTGAAACACTCTTGAGGCTGTTCCTGGAATCAACCAGCACTAAGCAATGAATGTAAAGTTTCTTGCTCAAGGAAACAATGGCTTCTCCCTGATAGGGTTTGAACCCACGCGGTCAGCAATCCTTAGATTACTAGTCCTACGCATTAACCAATCGGCCGGCCAAGCTGCGACTCAACCTTTGCTGAATGGTGAAACACTTGCTGAATGGTGAAACAATTAACCTTCGGTACCAGTCTAGAGCAAGACCAACTGGAACATCCATGCTGACTTACTTCTACATTTTGTCTTGATATCCCCACCATTGATAATGGTCAGTTCCAAATATTGAAACTGGATTGGTCGATTTAAGAAATTCAGCAGGTTTAGGGTTGGGAAATTTTCATGTACAGTTGATGATACAGAGGTAATATTACATAGTAATGGGTCCATACTGACAATGCTAATTGGTGAAATGTTATAGCCTTAAACTTTACTGGATAGTTAGTGGTATGTCCTGCCTGCACACTCATAACTTGACAGGATCCACCAGATAAGCTTCAGCGTCTGCCAATTGATCTTACAATGTATCACAAATAATGTATAAAACTTAATGCATTCTTTGTATGCGTAATAATTATCAAACATGAAAACAATGGTAAAGATTTAACTTACAGATCTGCATTGTTGATTCTGCTTTGCATTTTGCTTATAGATTAGTTTGGTGGCAATTTTTTATTTGTATCATGCACATTCATGCTACAGGTCAGTAGAATTGTTCTATGAATTATTCTGATATAATATCGAAAAATAAAAACAGCACGTATTTAAGTGCAATATATTATCCTTTTATTTATCAATGATAATGTTATAATTAACAATAGTTTGAAATGTAATTGAATTTTGAAATTGATCAAAGTAAGACTGAGGTTACATGTAAAAGTTCCTCCCAGAGTGATAATATGGTATTACTTTTTGCTAAATTTCTTTAAGTAAAGTAGATTATAATTTAATTGATAAACTTAACAGATCACTGGAATTCAGTTCTTGTGTGTGCATGATAAGGTGTATATTTTCACAAGTATTTTTCATGAAGCAATTTTATTCTAGTTTTTCCTTTAGATTGCTATGGCAAAATTAAAATGAAGTTCTTTTTGTTTTAATTCAGGTGTGTTTTATTGCCATTATAAAGTTTTCTTCAATATTTAATTATAGTGGGAACATTATTGATATAATGCTAATATAAATTAAGTGTTTTCATAATGTTCGTGTTATTGGGCAGAAGACTGTCATTTTAACCTGAGGCCACAGGCTAATATGACAGTCTAAAGCCCAACAATAAGGCCTTAATGAAAACACTTAATTATTGACAATTAATAATAGACTTTAATAATACACATAAGATTGCATATATCTATCTATCCATTAATTATATAAAATTTGTAACCAAAAAGCCAAAATATTACAAACTAGGAAAAGATTTTACAGCCCACACAATAATGACTTTACAATGAGAATTTGCTAATCCAACTCAATAAAGCTTTTACAGCAAGTATGCTTTACAGTGATTATTTGTTTTCCCAACTCAGTAAAAAGTTAATGATTTGTTTTCCCAACTCAGTAAAAAGTTAATGATTTGTTTTCCCAACTCAGTAAAAAGTTAGTAATTTGTTTTCCCAACTCAGTAAAAAGTTAATCATTTGTTTTCCCAACTCAGTAAAAAGTTAATGATTTGTTGTCACTACTCAGTATTGGTTTTTTGCAGCAATTATTTGCTGTCTCTACTCTGTAAAAGAATTTTATAGCCCTGCTTAAAGTAAAGATTTTTACAGCCTATAGTACTTTAAGATTTTTACAGGGATGGTTTTTGCTGTCTTTTCTCAGTAAGGATTTTTATAGCCCTACTAAATTTTGACTTTTACAGGTCATTAAGTCAGTAAAGAATTTGCAGCACTTAAAATTTGCTCTCCCTTTAAAGATTTTTACAGATATAATTTACAGTCCCTAGTCAGTAAAGATTTTTACAGTGATAATTTTCTGTCAATGTAATACTTGTTGTAATGGCATTCCCTGTAGATAGGCCTATATAAACATGGACTGTCCTGCATGATTGGTATATTATAGTCTTCACTAACCTTAGCATGTTTTTCTTATACTCCCTCTTATATGCAGATGGAATGGTATGATATTAAAATATGTTGTAGTTTTTTGAAACATGTTTTTCTTATATTTTTCTTTCCTCAAGTCAGAAATGAGCAAGCTATTTCTCTTAAAGTCTATGAAGTATTATAATAAATTGTGTGCCTTATAGTTTGAATATAATAGTTGTTGTTGCTTTCTTTTTTGCAATTAATTTCTTGTAGATGTGATATAAAATATTTTGTCTGATTGAATGCCGTTGGCCTTATCTGAGCTACATTATTAATGTAGTTCATGTTTTGTACTGAGAATTTATAGGTGAATATACAGTAGAACTTCGATAAGTTGAGGTTGAAGGTCACTTGCTTAAAAACTGCAAGAACAGGGGACTATGACTACAGTGTTTCAGTCTGAATTAACTGACAAAATTTTTAGTTGTTTAAGTTTATTAGATGGCGTATTAGAAATGACGTAACAAAGGGTGATAACTTCACTGGATTTTACAAAAGATATAATAACAAATCATAGGGTTTTGACTTATTAAATGTACTCAAAATTACCCTATAACAGACCATGTTATATCTTCTACACATCAAACACTTAAACACATAAAGAAATTTACTCATTATACAGGTTTTTATAATGAATATATAAGGGGAAAAAATCTGGATTTTCTTTTTATTAAGACACAGCAAGAAAATTGACAAATCAAATTTCAACACATAGAAGTTCTACTGTTTATTTTTTATTTGTTTTGTATTTCAGAGTATTTTTGATTTATTGTTGTTTGTATTTTTAATCATGTATTCTTTACCCTTAAATGCCTTTGAAAGAAATTGTATTATATAGGATTTATCATGTAATTTATTTTTTTAGCTCACCTGAGCTTGCTCAGGGTGAGCTTTTAGGATCGGTGAATGTCCGTCGTCCGTCCGTCCGTCGTCCGTCGTACGTCCACAATTGCTTGTGAACACTCTAGTGGTCTCATTTTTGCCTCAATCATCATCAAACTTGGTCAGGATGCTTATCTAGTTGAAAGCTCGGATGAGTTCGAACATGGCTCATCTCGGATGAAAAACTAGGTCACAAGAGCTAAAAATAGAAAAACCTTGTGAACACTCTAGAGGTCACATTTTTGACCCAATCATCATCAAACTTGGTCAGGATGTTTGTCTAGGTGATAGCTCGGATGAGTTCGAACATGGGTCATCTCGGATGAAAAAGTAGGTCACCGGAGCTAAAAATAGAAAAACCTTGTGAACACTCTAGTGGTCACATTTTTGAACCAATCTTCATCAAACTTGGTCAGATTGCTTGTCTAGTCAATGGCTTGGATGAGTTCGAACATGGGTCATCTCTGATGAAAAACTAGGTCACAGGAGCTAAAAATAGAAAACCCTTGTGAACACTCTAGTGGTCACATTTTTGACCCAATCATCATCAAACTTTGTCAGGATGCTTGTTTAGATAATAGCTCGGATGAGTTCGAATATGGGTCATCTCGGATGAAAAACTAGGTCACCGGAGCTATAAATAGAAAAACCTTGTTAACACTCTAGCGGTCACATTTTTGCATCAATCATCATCAAACTTGGTCAGGATGCTTATCTAGTTGATAGCTTGGATGAGTTCGAACATGGGTCATCTCGGATGTAAAAGTAGGTCACCGGAGCTAAAAATAGAAAAACCTTGTAAACACTCTAGCGGTCACATTTTTGCATCAATCATCATCAAACTTGGTCAAGATGCTTGTCTAGGTGATAGCTCGGATGAGTTTGAACATGGGTCATCTCGGATGAAAAAGTAGGTCACCGGAGCTAGAAATAGAAAAACCTTGTTAACACTCTAGTGGTCACATTTTTGCATCAGTCATCATCAAACTTTGTCAAGATGTTTGTCTAGGTGACAGCTCGGATGATTTTGAACATGGGTCATCTCCGATGAAAAAGAATTTTATAGCCCTGCTTAAAGTAAAGATTTTTACAGCCTATAGTACTTTAAGATTTTTACAGGGATGGTTTTTGCTGTCTTTTCTCAGTAAGGATTTTTATAGCCCTACTAAATTTTGACTTTTACAGGTCATTAAGTCAGTAAAGAATTTGCAGCACTTAAAATTTGCTCTCCCTTTAAAGATTTTTACAGATATAATTTACAGTCCCTAGTCAGTAAAGATTTTTACAGTGATAATTTTCTGTCAATGTAATACTTGTTGTAATGGCATTCCCTGTAGATAGGCCTATATAAACATGGACTGTCCTGCATGATTGGTATATTATAGTCTTCACTAACCTTAGCATGTTTTTCTTATACTCCCTCTTATATGCAGATGGAATGGTATGATATTTAAAATATGTTGTAGTTTTTTGAAACATGTTTTTCTTATATTTTTTCTTTCCTCAAGTCAGAAATGAGCAAGCTATTTCTCTTAAAGTCTATGAAGTATTATAATAAATTGTGTGCCTTATAGTTTGAATATAATAGTTGTTGTTGCTTTCTGTTTTGCAATTAATTTCTTGTAGATGTGATATAAAATATTTTGTCTGATTGAATGCCGTTGGCCTTATCTGAGCTACATTATTAATGTAGTTCATGTTTTGTACTGAGAATTTATAGGTGAATATACAGTAGAACTTCGATAAGTTGAGGTTGAAGGTCACTTGCTTAAAAACTGCAAGAACAGGGGACTATGACTACAGTGTTTCAGTCTGAATTAACTGACAAAATTTTTAGTTGTTTAAGTTTATTAGATGGCGTATTAGAAAATGACGTAACAAAGGGTGATAACTTCACTGGATTTTACAAAAGATATAATAACAAATCATAGGGTTTTGACTTATTAAATGTACTCAAAATTACCCTATAACAGACCATGTTATATCTTCTACACATCAAACACTTAAACACATAAAGAAATTTACTCATTATACAGGTTTTTATAATGAATATATAAGGGGAAAAATCTGGATTTTCTTTTTATTAAGACACAGCAAGAAAATTGACAAATCAAATTTCAACACATAGAAGTTCTACTGTTTATTTTTTATTTGTTTTGTATTTCAGAGTATTTTTGATTTATTGTTGTTTGTATTTTTAATCATGTATTCTTTACCCTTAAATGCCTTTGAAAGAAATTGTATTATATAGGATTTATCATGTAATTTATTTTTTTAGCTCACCTGAGCTTGCTCAGGGTGAGCTTTAGGATCGTTGAATGTCCGTCGTCCGTCCGTCCGTCCGTCCGTCGTATATCCACAATTGCTTGTGAACACTCTAGCGGTCGCTTTTTTACCTCAATCATCGTCAAACTTGGTCAGGATGCTTATCTAGTTGAAAGCTCGGATGAGTTCGAACATGGCTCATCTTGGATGAAAAACTAGGTCACAAGAGCTAAAAATAGAAAAACCTTGTGAACACTCTAGAGGTCACATTTTTGACCCAATCATCATCAAACTTGGTCAGGATGTTTGTCTAGGTGATAGCTCGGATGAGTTCGAACATGGGTCATCTCGGATGAAAAAGTAGGTCACCGGAGCTAAAAATAGAAAAAACCTTGTGAACACTCTAGTGGTCACATTTTTGAACCAATCTTCATCAAACTTGGTCAGATTGCTTGTCTAGTCAATGGCTTGGATGAGTTCGAACATGGGTCATCTCTGATGAAAAACTAGGTCACAGGAGCTAAAAATAGAAAAACCCTTGTGAACACTCTAGTGGTCACATTTTTGACCCAATCATCATCAAACTTTGTCAGGATGCTTGTTTAGATAATAGCTCGGATGAGTTCGAATATGGGTCATCTCGGATGAAAAACTAGGTCACCGGAGCTATAAATAGAAAAACCTTGTTAACACTCTAGCGGTCACATTTTTGCATCAATCATCATCAAACTTGGTCAGGATGCTTATCTAGTTGATAGCTTGGATGAGTTCGAACATGGGTCATCTCGGATGTAAAAGTAGGTCACCGGAGCTAAAAATAGAAAAACCTTGTAAACACTCTAGCGGTCACATTTTTGCATCAATCATCATCAAACTTGGTCAAGATGCTTGTCTAGGTGATAGCTCGGATGAGTTTGAACATGGGTCATCTCGGATGAAAAAGTAGGTCACCGGAGCTAGAAATAGAAAAACCTTGTTAACACTCTAGTGGTCACATTTTTGCATCAGTCATCATCAAACTTTGTCAAGATGTTTGTCTAGGTGACAGCTCGGATGATTTTGAAACATGGGTCATCTCCGATGAAAAAGTAGGTCACCGGAGCTAAAAATAGAAAAAACCTTGTTAACACTCTAGCGGTCACATTTTTGTATCAATCATCATCAAACTTCATCAAGATGCTTGTCTAGGTGATAGCTCGGATGAGTTCGAACATGGGTCATCTCGGATGAAAAAGTAGGTAACCAGAGCTAAAAATAGTAAAAACCTTGTTAACACTCTAGTGGTCACAATTTTGACTCAATTGTCATTAAACTTGGTCAGGAAACTTGTCTAGGTCATTGCTGGGAATAAATCGAACATGGGACATCTCGGATGAAAAACTAGGTCACAGGAGCTAAAAATAGAAAAATCTTGTTAACACTCTAGTGGCTACTGTTGTAATCCAAATATTCCGTTCATTGGTCTGAAAGTTTGTTTTGATGATTTCTAAGTCAAGATCGAACATGGGTCATCTTGGATGAAAAACTAGGTCACACCGCCCAAATATGGAAAAACCTTGTTAACATTCTAGTGGTCACATTTTCGACTCAATTATCATCAAACTTGGTCAGGATGCTTGTCTAGGTAATTGCTTGGATGAGTTCAAAATCGCATGTGAAACTAGGTCACCGGAGCTAAAAATAGAAAAATCTTGTTAACACTCTAGTTGCTACTGTTTTGATCCAAGTATCCTGGAAATTGGTCTGAAAGTTTGTTTTGATGATTTCTAGGTCAAGTTTGAATATGTGTCACCTGGGTAAAAAACTAGGTCGCACTGCTGAAATATGGATAATCCTTGTTAATACTGTAGTGGCCACATTTTTGACTCACCTGTCATGATGCTTGTCTAGGTAATTGTTTGGATGAGTTTGATAAGTCAGGTGAGCGATCTAGGGCCATCATGGCCCTCTTGTTTTAAAAACCAGTGCTACATATTATTGCAAGCAGATTTAAGTTACCTGACAGTGAGCAATAAGTCACAGGTCAACAAACATAATTGAGCCGCGTCACAACAAAACCAACATAGTAGGTTTGAGACCAGCATGGATCCAGACCAGCCTGCGCATCCACACAGTCTGATCAGGATCCATGCTGTTCGCTATCAGTTTCTTTACTTGTTATAGGGTCTGTAAGCAAATAGCATGGATCCTGATCAGACTGCGCGGATGCGCAGGCTGGTCTGGATCCATGCTTGTGGCAAACCCATTATGTTGGTTTTGTCATGACGCGGCTCATATGGTTCAATCATTATACAGTCAGCCATCACCTCTGTATAAAGACCATATTGTAAACAAATGCCACTCTTTGGCACACCTTCATTGATAAAAAATATGACAAACTCCAAATAAAGACCACTTGTCTTTAAAGGACATGTAAGGTTTCTCATTTGGATGGCCTTTATCACAGGTTTAACTGTATTTTTCAAATTCTTGAATTGCATAAAAATAAATTTACTTTTTAAGATGCAATTGGCTCATAACATTTGGTCTAATGCCATTTCTTCCTGGCTATTTGTAAATGAAAAGTTAGTTGAAACATTATCAGATTCATGTAATAACTTACATTAATTAATATGCAAATTGCATAGCATTTGAGTTGAAAGTTGTAGATTTCCTATTATTCAAGGAACTGCATGCTTGTCTATTAATGGCTGAAAAATGTTAAAATCAGATATGCTTATATTTGAATACCAGATTTTACAGTATTGTGACCGCACTTATTCATTTTGTCCATCTAGCTAATGTTGTTGTATAATGTAAACTAAAGGTCTATCCTTGTCTCCCTAATCTTTCATGTAAGGTTTGTTTAATGATCCTTCAAAAAGTTGGAAGTAGAAAATATTCTAATCCTTTTCCTCCTTTAGCCATGATATGATAGTATGGGTGTTTAATTTCACATTTTTATACCCCAGGGTTTATAATAATTGAAATGTCAGTCTGTCTGTCTGTTTGTCTATCCATACAAAGTTAAACTAAATTGGCAAGTTTAATATATCTAATGTTCTACCTGTTTGACAATGGCTTGATAATTTTTATATTTACTTATCAAAACAAGAATCTTTGTTGACAGCAAATGAGCCGCGTCACAACAAAACCAACATAGTGCGTTTGCGACCAGCATGGATCCAGACCAGCATGTGCATCTGCGCAGTCTGATCAGGATCCATGCTGTTCGCTATCAGTTTCTCTACTTGTAATAGAGTTGGTAAGTGAACAGCATGGATCCTGATCAGACTGTGCGGATGTGCAGGCAGGTCTGGATCCGTGTTGGTCGCAAAAGCATTATGTTGGTTTTGTCATGATGGGGCTGAGACAAATGTGTTTTAATACCAAACACCTTTTTGTTTAAATGTTGTACAATGTATTAGTTTTGTAAATTGAGTCATATATATTGTTTATTGGTTTGTTCATCATTTATTTTATTGATCTTTTAAATTTTCTTCCTTCATTCAATTTTATTTCAGTAAATGTTTAAAGATATTGAGTACTTTTGTAAAATACTGATGATGTGAATTATATTGACAACAGAGAAAGATGTAATTTTTTCCTATATGTGGATTGATGCATGTATTTCAAATACTACCATATATTTTGAGATTTAACATGTACTGTATATTAATGTATTTGTAAAGAATTGTTATTTTTCAAAAGAATGCTTATGAAGTGGGTTCACCAACCTCTCAGAAGTGCATGTGTTATTGTTTGTTGACACTTCTTAGTTGAACTTGGAAAAGTTCTGTGTTGACTATGTCAATATACTGACCATGATTATTATTTCAGGGAGAGGCACTGCGACAGAGTTTGTTGACTCGTTACTATGGGAAACATAATTTGAATCGTCAGGATGTCTCGATGGCATCGATATCTCTGCGAGGTTCTAACAGAGATGATAGGACATCAGACACTATACCACAGAGGTCCGAGATGAAGATTCATGAAGTTCAGGTGAGAGTTAGTTGCCCTCCACCCCTTCCACCGCCGAAGTAAAATATAATAGATGGAAATACAACATAAACTTTATTCTGGCATATTGTCAGTATATTGTTGTTTCATTCAGAGTCAGTAAAAGTTTTGTAAGTAGAACTTACGGGTTGTTTATACCAAATCACTTTATTGTTTATACCAAACATCCAAGGCAAGTTTAAAGTTTCAGTGTGTATTTCAATAAAGTGATAATGTGCAGAGCAACAAAAGTAGATTTGACCTGTGTATTATTTGACCAAGTTCATTGTAGATTGGGTACTGAGAATATATTTGTACATAACAGATTCTGTAGTCTTCTTATTCACTGGAAGAGGCCAGCTGGCTTCTTGTATTTTGTGACTGAGGCCATTGGAAAAATGCAATGAGGATTCAGATTTACAGAGAAAATTGCAAAGTTATATGACCCTTTGAGAGACTTATCTTGATGACCAAACAACCTTGGCAATATATTAGCTTACCATTGAAATGCACAATAGTAACAAAGGGAAAAGAAATGTTGTATGGTTTATAGGATGATCAAAATTTTGTGATGGAAATTTACAAAGATCAATGGGAGGTCAAAAGCCTAAAGTGCATTACACAGGAAAAAATACTTATTAGAAAAATAAATCCAACCATTCCTTCAAAATAACTGCCATTAACAATAAATTTTCTTTCTTGCTAATTAAAGTTGATTGATCCTCTTGTAGTTCAATAGCGTTCAGTGTCCAGGTTTTGGGCCAAAGTCCGCTAGTGTTTTTGTTAGGGTATGGATCAACCGGTCATTGATCCGAGGACAATTCCAGTCTATAAGAAAGATTATATGCTACATATTTACTTGAATAAAGTTATATAGGATGCAAATTCTGAAAGTTTTTCATAATAATTGTAGTTAATAGGACGATTGCCAAACTTTGATTGTAGTTAATAAGACAATTGCCAACTTTGATAAAAAAAATTCTCTTTCAGTGTCATTTGAACAAAGCTGGGGCATCTGATTTGATTGTAGATCTTGTAATCAAAAACACAAATTACAAGATTTTTAGAGAGACTCTAGAGTTGGGTATAGCCTTGCTTGAAGGTGGCAATACTGTTATACAGGTTAGTTTAGCCCTTTTAATTGTTCTAGATTACTATCTGTCAGAGTCCTATACTCACCAAAGACTTTGTTATATGAATGGAGGCTTTATTATAGAATTTTATCAATTATAAGGCTACCATCAGATCTAACCATTTGGACATGTAGGGTATGAAATTTTTGTTTAAACACTTTTCACTTGAATATTCAAGCCCCGTCTTTATTGAAAAATTTTATTTGTATTTAATTTTTAACTTGACTTACACAAAGTTTACGAAGTGCTATTCTTCTCACCTTAGCGTCAGCATCCACACTTAACTTCAAATATATGTTTCTTATTACCATGCAACCACATCATGTGACAAGGTTCATAACTTCAGAAACAATATTTTCATTTACGATTTATAGGATATGTCAAGACCTTTAACCTTTCTTAGTCATTACCCATTCATTTATATTGTCAAAAACAAATTTCAGTGCTTTTATTGTCAAAATGAAAGTTTATTTTGTATATGTTTAGTACCTTGTGGCTGAAGGGTTGCCTTTTTATGGGTTGAAGCATTAGAATTGCAGCTACTGTTTGACCCTGCATCAGAATCTAATCCATATCGAGATTACAAGTCTCCTTCTCTAACCTTTTGCTATCCTGGATGGCTGAAGACAAGTTATTCTAATCAGGAACCTTAAATGTGTCCAAAATTAACAAAAGGGGTAAACTTTAGGTACTTCCTCAACTGAGTCAGTAATTTCCTCAACTGAGCCAGTAATTTCCTCAATTGAGCCAGTAATTTCATCAACTGAGTCAGTAATTTCCTCAACTGAGTCAGTAATTTCCTCAACTGAGCCAATGATTTCCTCAACTGAGTCAGTAATTTCCTCATCTGAGCCAGTTATTTCCTCAATTGAGCCAGTAATTACCTCAATTGAGTCAGTAATTACCTCAACTGAGTCAATAATTTCCTCAACTGAGCCAATGATTTCCTCAACTGAGCCAGTAATTTCATCAACTGAGTCAGTAATTACCTCAACTGAGTCAGTAATTTCCTCAACTGAGTCAGTAATTTCCTCAACTGAGCCAATGATTTCCTCAACTGAGTCAGTAATTTCCTCATCTGAGCCAGTTATTTCCTCAATTGAGCCAATAATTACCTCAATTGAGTCAGTAATTACCTCAACTGAGTCAATAATTTCCTCAACTGAGCCAATGATTTCCTCAACTGAGCCAGTAATTTCATCAACTGAGCCAGTTATTTCCTCAATTGAGCCAGTAATTACCTCAATTGAGTCAGTAATTACCTCAACTGAGTCAATAATTTCCTCAACTGAGCCAATGATTTCCTCAACTGAGCCAGTAATTTCATCAACTGAGTCAGTAATTACCTCAACTGAGTCAGTAATTTCCTCAACTGAGTCAGTAATTTCCTCAACTGAGCCAATGATTTCCTCAACTGAGTCTGTAATTTCCTCATCTGAGCCAGTTATTTCCTCAATTAAGCCAATAATTACCTCAATTGAGTAAGTAATTACCTCAACTGAGTCAATAATTTCCTCAACTGAGCCAATGATTTCCTCAACTGAGCCAGTACAGGGTTCGTACAGTCTTAAAAAGTGCTTAAATTTGAGTCCCTTTCTTAAAAAGTGCTTAAAAATGAAAAAAAGTGCTTAAAAGTCCTTGAATTTGATTACTCTCTTTAAAAGTGCTTAAAAAGTGCTTAAATATGCTGAAAATGTGCTTGAAAATTTGAAACACAGAATAACATAGTTTCGATAAAAATTAACAAAGTAAAAAGAAAATGATCCAATTTAGTATCAAAATCAATAAAATGTTTACTCAAGGTAACAGTAAGTGGGCAAATTGCAGTTGTTTTGAACTAATCTGTATTTGATGACCCTTTCTTGTTCTTCTATAAATTCCTTAAAATTGTGGTCAGAAAATGTGTATTCAACAAAAAATGGCAAATAAACTACCCATCTTCGATTGAAAATTGTGTCGGTATATGTGCAACAAATGTGCTTGAAAAATGGGAAAACATGCTTAAATAGTGCTTAAAAAGTCCTTGAATTTTGGCATTGGAGATCTGTATGAACCCTGCAGTAATTTCATCAACTGAGCCAGTTATTTCCTCAATTGAGCCAGTTATTACCTCAACTGAGTCAGTAATTTCCTCAACTGAGCCAATGATTTCCTCAACTGAGCCAGTAATTTCCTCAACTGAGCCAGTAATTTCCTCAATTGAGCCAGTAATTACCTCAATTGAGTCAGTAATTACCTCAACTGAGTCAATAATTTCCTCAACTGAGCTAATGATTTCCTCAACTGAGCCAGTAATTTCATCAACTGAGCCAGTTATTTCCTCAACTGAGCCAATGATTTCCTCAACTGAGCCAGTAATTTCCTCAACTGAGCCAGTAATTTCCTCCATTGAGCCAGTAATTACCTCAACTGAGTCAGTAATTATCTCAACTGAGTCAGTAATTTCCTCAACTGAGTCAGTTATTTCCTCAACTGAGCCAATGATTTCCTCAACTGAGCCAGTAATTTCCTCAACTGAGCCAGTAATTTCCTCAATTGAGCCAGTAATTACCTCAACTGAGTCAGTAATTACCTCTACTGAGTCACTAAATTTCCTCAACTGAGCCAGTAATGTCCTCAACTGAGCCAGTAATTTCCTCAACTGAGCCAGTAATTTCCTCAACTGATCCAGTAATTTACTCAACTGAGCCAGTAATTTAATCAACTGAGCCAGTAACTTACTCAATTAAGCCAGTAAGTCACTATTATTATTATTATGATTATTACTACTGGATTTAAGTCATTTTGTTTGACTTAAAATTATTGCACCTCAAAAGAAATTTTTTTTTCAGCAATCACTATGTGCAAGGTTAAAAAGTGATAAGGACTCTGAGGTGTTTTTCCGTGTGTTTTACGGCTACATGTTTGAAGCTCAAACTGAGATCAAGAATACAATCATGGTAAGCACAGCTGAGGTACTGACTGAGAAGAAGGTAGAAGACAGTAAACACCCTACAGGAATACTTGGAAGGCATAGAGGTTTGTCTTTACCACTGATTATAAAAACTGAAGTTTGTTTTCTCTTGTAAAAACTCAAATGAGTGAAATATACATGTCAGCCTTAAATTTTGATTTTGAATACTAAAGTTTTGGGGTCTTTCCTTATCTAAGTGTACTTACAGACAAGTTATTATAACAATAAATACTTGCAGTAACATATCATTAAACCATCAGTTACCTTAAAATAAAGGTTTTAATTGCTACTTTTCCAAGTCATTAAGGTATTGCACGTTTTTTTGTTTTTGTTTTTTTGCTCATTGTCACTAAAATACAAAAACACAACTTAGAGTATTATGAAAGGAGCGTAATTATGGCATGGCATTTATTAATCAGTCACCATATTGTGGTAAATGTATATACATTTTGTATTCATTAAAAGCATAGAACCTGATTGCATATGGTTTATTTGTTTTGTTATCCCCCGTCCTTCCGTCCGACATTTTTGTCGGGAGCATATCTCTAAAAAGTATTTGAGTAATCAACTTGAAACTTCATAGGTGGATAGACCTCATTGAGGAGGAGTGCAGTGCACAAGAATGATAACTCTACCCTGCATAATTTTTGAGTTATTGCCCTTTGTTATTTTTCAAAATTGATTTTTGTCCAGAGCATAACTCCAAAAGCCTATGAGATATCAACATGAAACTTCATAGGTGCATAGATCTCACTCAGGAGGTGTGCAGTGCACAAGAATGATAACTCTACCTTTCTTAATTTTTGAGTTATTGCCCTTTGTTATTTTTCATACTTAATTTTTCACCTGAGCGGAGCATAACTCAAAAAGTGTTTGACATATCGACATGAAATGTCATAGGTGGATAGATCTTATTGAGAAGGAATGTTGTGCACAAGAATGATAACTCTTCCCTATACAATTTTTATACGCCCGTTTGAAAAACTGGACGTATTATGGGACGCCCCTGGCGGGCGGGCGGCGTCCAATTTTGTCCGGAGCATATCTCCTACATGTATGGAGGGATTTTAATGAAACTTCATAGAAATGTTCGCCACTATGAGGAGCAGTGTCGCGCACATGAACCAGGTCTCTAGGTCAAAGGTCAAGGTCACACTTAGAGCTCATTGAAAAATGCTTGTCCGGAGCAAAACTTCCCACATGTATAGAGGGATTTCAATATTACTTGGCACAAATGTTCACCATTGTGAGGCGGAGTGTCGCGCGCAAGATTCAGGTCCTTGCGGCCAAGGTCAAGGTCACACATAGAGGTCAAAGTTCAGATAAAAATATGAAGATGTGTATAATAGACCATTTAGTCATCATTTATTGAGGGATTGTAACACAAATGGTCATTATCAAGACTATGGCTGTGATACATATAATTTAGGTCAATATATACAAGGTCAAGGTCACTAAAGATGATGAAATATCCAGATTTTGTCCGGAGCATATCTCCTACACGCATGGAGGGATTTTAATGAAATTTCATAGAAATGTTCACCATTTTGAGAAGCCATGTCACGCACATGAACTAGGTCTCTAGGTCAAAGGTCAAGGTCACACTTAGAGCTCATTGAAAAACCCTTGTCCGGAGCAAAACTTCCACATGCATAGAGGGATTTCAATATAACTTGGCACAAATGTTCACCATTGTGAGGCTGAGTGTCGCACGCAAAATTCAGATCCCTGCGACCAAAGTCAAGGTTACACATAGAGGTCAAAGTTTAGATAAAAATATGAAGATGTGTATAGGGACGATTTAATCATCATTTATTGAGGGATTGTAACACAAATGGTCATTATCATGACTACGGCTGTGACACATGTACTTTAGGTCAATATATGCAAGGTCAAGGTCACTAAAGATGGTGAAATATCCAGATTTTGTCTGGAGCATATCTCCTACATGTATGGAAGAATTTTTATAATACTTTATGGAAATGTTCACCACCATGATATGTATTGCTCCATGCATGATCCAGGTCTCCAGGTCAAGGTCACACTTAAAGCTCATTGAAAAACGCTTGTCCGGAGCAAAACTTCTACATTCATAGGGGGATTTCAATATAACTTAGCACAAATGTTCACCATTGTGAGGCTGAGTGTCGCACGCAAAATTCAGATCCCTGCGACCAAAGTCAAGCTAGGTTACACATAGAGGTCAAAGTTCAGATAAAAATTTGAAGATGTGTATAGGGACCATTTAGTCATCATTTATTGATGGATTGTAGCACAAATGGTAACTATCATGACTACAGGTGTGACACATTTAATTTAGGTTAATATTTGCAAGGTCAAGGTCACTGGAGATGATTAAATATCCAGATGTTGTCCGGAGCATATTTTCTACATGCATGGAGGAATTTTAATGTTACTTTATAGAATTGTTCACCACCATGAGACGTAGTGCCCTGCACATGAACCAAGTCTCTAGGTCAAAGGTGAAGGTCACAGTTAGAGCTCATAGAAAAACGCTTGTCTGGAGCAAAACTTCTACATGCATAGAGGGATTTCAATATAATTTGGCAAAAATGTTCATCATTGTGAGGCTGAGTGTCGTGCATAAAATTCAGGTCCCTGCGACCAAGGTCAAGGTCACACATCCTGTGCATATCTTCCCTACTGATTTGTTTTAAGGTTCATTTAACAACACAGTGCTAAGAATAAAAAATTGCTTGCTAGATAACACTTATCCATAATGCCCCCATCTCCATCTAAAGCTTTCGTAAACGGGCGTATTTTGTGACTATGGCACCCTTGTTGAGTTATTGCCCTTTGTTCTTTTTCATGCTATTTTGTCCAGAGCTTATCTCAAAAAGTATTTGAGGTATCAACTTGAAACTTCATAGGTGGATGGATCTCATTGAGGAGGAGTGCAGTGCACAAGAATGATAACTCTACCCTGCATAATTTTTGAGTTATTGCCCTTTGTTATTTTTCAAAATTAATTTTTGTCCAGAGCATAACTCAAAAGGCCTTTGAGATATCAAAATGAAACTTCATAGGTGCATAGATCTCACTCAGGAGGTGTGAAGTGCACAAGAATGATAACTCTACCTTTTATAATTTTAGAGTTATTGCCCTTTGTTATTTTTCATACCTAATTTTTCACCCGAGTGGAGCATAACTCACAAGTGTTTGAGATGTCAACATGAAATGTCATAGGTGGATAGATTTTATTAAGGAGGAATGCTGTGCACAAGAATGATAACTCTTCCCTATACAATTTTTGAGTTATTGCCCTTTGTTCTTTTTCATACTATTTTGTCCGGAGCTTATCTCAAAAAAGTATTTGAGGTATCAACTTGAAATTCATAGGTGGATGGATCTCATTAAGGAGGAGTGCAGTGCACAAGAATGATAACTCTACCCTGCATAGTTTTTTAGTTATTGCCCTTTGTTATTTTTCAAAATTAATTTATGTCCAGAGCATAACTCAAAAGGCCTTTGAGATATCAACATGAAACTTCATAGTTGCATAGATCTAACTCAGAAAGTGTGCAGTGCACAAGAATGATAACTCTACCTTTTATAATTTTTGAGTTATTGCCCTTTGTTATTGTTCATACTTAATTTTTCAATTCAATTTTTTTCTCAAAAAGTATTGAGGTATCAACTTGAAACTTCATAGGTGGATAGATTTTACTGAGGAGGGATGCAGCACACAAGAATGATAACCTACCCTGCATTATTTTTCAGTTATTGCCCTTTGTTATTTTCAGCCATCAGTATTCACATAGGTTTCAAATCTGTAATCACTATAGCCATCAGTTTTCATTACCAAAAGACCTCTTAAAATGGAATTATTCTGCTGTACTACATATACATTCTTCCAATGAGCAAACACATTCGGCTGGGGATGGCCATGTTGACATGGCTCTTGTTTTGTTTAAAAATTAAATACACTATTATGTTAATATATAACAGAAGAACCAGAGGGGATGGTGTTGCGTAGTAACAGCCAGGATGAAGATGGAGCTCCACATACAGTGGAGGATGCTCTAGCTGACAAGGCTAATCGTGAGAAGGATGAGAAGAAGTTGCCCAGCCAGATAGCTATTATGGAACCAATCCTTAGATTCTTACAACTTCTCTGTGAAAATCATAACAGGGATTTACAGGTATCGGTGTCATGTTCTCAATTGTTTTGTCCTTGATTGTTATTTTGAGTTTAAGATAATACATGGAAGGCCATCTGATGTCTTACTTCATAAGTAAAGTTACAAAGTTGCCATATGACCTATACTGTGTTGGTGCAACATAACCTTCAGTCCCTCAAGAGAAAAACGGAAACAAAACTTCTCTCCCTACCATTACCAATACTGTACAAAGATTTTCAAAAAGCCAATTTTTTCTCTCTTCATATTACAATGACTTATCTGTTATTATGGCCAACAACAATTTATTCAAAAACACTAAAAATTAGACTATTGTAAGAGGGAGAAGAGATGTAGCTAGAATGTTTGCTTTTTTCTGGATGAAGTATTTTTCTCCTTTTTTTTATATGAAATAATAAATATGTCTTACATTCTATAGAATTACCTTCGTGAGCAGCCAGCAAACAAGAACAAGTACAATCTGGTTACACAGACTTTACAGTTTCTTGACTGTATATGTGGAAGTACAACAGGCAAACTAGGCCTGTTGGGGTTGTACATTAATGAATCAAACCGAGGCTTAATCAACCAGACTCTCACAACACTCACTGAGTACTGTCAGGGACCTTGTCACGAAAATCAAGTATGTTCAAATATTTTTTATTTATTTTGTAAATTTTGATAGCAATCAATTCAATCAAATCTGCTTAATAGTAATTATATCCTATCAAATTAAAAAAACAAAAAAAAACATAAAAAAACTAGTATGTATAAGTTTGACTATTTCTCTTTATTCATTTACACACTATACATGTATATGGGATGATTGTTGTTCCTTGACTGATTTATATTTCTATGTAGTCATTGAAATAGTTAACTCATTTATAGCTCGTCTTTTCGAAGAAGTGGGAGAGCTGTTGTACTCACCCCATGGTTGGTGTCCCTATCACACTTTGATGCAGTGTGTTGAAACTGCACACACTTATTCTCTGTGATTATCTATAAAGATGGGTGCAGGTCACCTAACTCGGAGTTACTTTCTTACAGAGTTATGCCCCTTTTTGAATTGTCGAGCACTGAGAATAGTCAAGCGCGCTTTCTATCAGAGAGTTCTTGTTAAAGAGTTAAGTTTTATATTACATGTACCATAGTATTCACCATTTCAACGTGTAATTAAAATGTATATTTATTGGAAATCCTAGTTCTTATTACAATTTTGCAATTGTAAGGGCAGGTTTTTTATTGCAACAATATTGCCTCATTTATCATTGTTCAACTCAATATTTAGTCCACATGCCTGTACATTTCTCGTAACCATAAAATATGATGATATGATTTCAAAATACTAATGACATTACGTATATACGATATATTATTTTCCCAGAATGCAATAGCCATGCATGAGAGTAATGGAATAGATATCATCATAGCCTTAGTCCTTAGCGAGATTAGTATGGATCTTGTTCTCGAACTTAAGGTAAGCAATATACATTTTTGCCGCACCATGACAAAACCAACAAAGTGCATTTGCGACCAGCATGGATCCTGATCAGACTGCACGCTTATGTTGTTGGCACAAATCTGAATGAAAAAAAATTAATCATCTTTTTGTACTGAATTAATGTTGCATACATTATATGTTAGATATATGGTGGGGACTGTCTTAACTACCAGAGATCGAAAATCCCACTTGTCTGCTAGTAATTAAGAGTAGAATTGAAGAGAACTCAATGCAGTATGAGTAGGAAAATGTTGCCTGTACATTGGATTAAAAAGCTACTTGTCATGCAGGATGAGAGACTCAGAAAATATTTTTCGATGTTTGACGACTCATTATTTGTAGTGAGATTCTGTAATATCCCTCTCGAAACATATTGCGTCTGTAGCGACTCCCTGTGAGATGTGTTTAACGACCCTAATATTTGATTATTTTAAAGTTGAAAAAAAAAATATTGTAAAAAACGGTTTCATGTACTTTATTTTAGTTTAATTTTATTTTGTTAAGTCAATCACAATTTTGTTTATATGCAAGTAGTAATGATTATGAACTTTGTTTCTTATTATTCAATCATACCAACTTATTATACAATCATACTGTTTACCTGAAAGGAAACATATTTATTGACAAAATGAAGGGATTGTGGCTAATGACCCCCTGTATCTAGTGACTCCTGAGTCACCATTTTTGCTCTCTCCAAAAGAAAATATTTATTCCTTTTAAGTATATTTTACCATCCTGTTTACATTATTTGGACACATTTAACCATCCTATTTCCATTTGACCATGGAGTGCTGATCAACAACAGGATTGCCTTGTTTACAATATTAAATCTGTAAATTATATTTGCAATACATGTTTATGTATCAAAATTATTTCACATACCTTTCATTATACAATCTTTGGTTATTTTTGTTTTTTTGTTTTTCTTCAGAATAATGCCTCCAAGCTATTGTTAGCAATCATGGAGAGTCGACATGACAGCGAGAATGCAGAGAGAATTTTAGTCAGCATGAGTCCCCAACAACTTGTATGTTTATTTCTTCAACTTCATGTTATATATACAAGTGTTTATGATCCCCTCATTTATAAAATAATACACATATCGTTATATAAAATCTTTACATTGAAACAAAGCTCATATGCCCCTTACTTTAAAAAACAAATTTCATATCATGGTACAGATCTCTTTTAAAAGATTCATATAACATTATATAGCCCCTTGTTTTAAATAAGCTGTATATAGCATTATACAATACTACATATGACCCTTACTGTTTAAAATGTTCTTATAGCATTAGACAGACCTCTACTTTTAAAAAGTTCATAAATATATGTTTAACCTTTTCTATGAAACATATTTCATTTAACATTATAGTAACCATACTTTTTAAAAATAGTTCATATAACATTTTATATTACTGCACGTTTGTAACGTCCTTTGCATTAAATAATTATAATGTTTATATAATCTATATATAAGGCTGCAGTAGATTTATTATATAATTTCTTTATTTCTCTAAATAAAGGAAGTTTGCAGTGTAATATGTTTGTTATAAAGATTCTTGAGAAGTAAGTTATATGACCGTTTATAAATGGTTATTTGCAATATAACCAAAGTCGATATACAAATAACCATTTATATAGGGCCATATACGCTATCAAAAATCTCTATAACTAAAAACATAACCCTTAGTTTGAAAAAGTTCATATAAAATTATATAAACATTAGTTTGAAAAACTCATATAACATTTATTGTATACACCCACACTTAAAAAGGTTATATAACATTACTTGAAACCTTACTTTAATAAAATAGGATTTCTAAGGATTTTTTGATAATGCTTTAAAAATGAAGAAATGACGAAAGATATAATTTGAGAAGGGATTATATCACATTTTATTTCATTCATTTACAGAAATACTTTAGTATTTAGTTTCTGTTAATTCAAATCTGTTATGTACTTTTCTTTTCATTTCCTCTCCTTTAGTGGCTTCCTCTGTGTTTCAAAGTTCAAAAATTTCAATAACAAAATACAAACATTTAGCAAATGAAGGTATATAACCCTGTTCAGGCTAAACTCAGGGCAAAGGCAAATCAATTTTGGATCAAGCATGTTAAAGCAGCCTTCAGAATTTATTTTTTGTTGGAAAAACAATTCTGTGTTGTTTCAAACTTAGTATTTCAGTAATTTTATCTTTGAAAAGAGCTTAGTATCACTGTTCGGCCTTTTTAGCTCACCTGTCACAAAGTGACAGGGTGAGCTTTTGTGATTCGCTTTTCGTCTGGCGTCCGTCCGTCGTCTATCCATCCGTCCGTAAACTTTTACTTGAAATGACATCTCCTCATAAAGCACTAAGCCGATTTCATCCAAACTTCACAGGAATGTTCCTTTGGTGGTCACCTTTAAAAATTGTTCAAAGAATTAAATTCCATGCAGAACTCTGGTAACCATTGCAACCGAAAGAAAAAACTTAAAATATCTTCTTTTAAAAAACCCAAAGAGCTAGAGCTTAGATATTTGGCATGAAACATCTTCTAATGAGTGTCTACCAAGTTTGTTCAAATAAAAGCCCTGGGGTCAAAATTGGCCCTGCCCCAGGGGGTCATTGATTTTCCCTATATGCATAATAGTAAAAACAAAAAAATCTTCTTTTAAAGAACTCAAAGAGCTGGAGCTAAGATATTTAGCATGAAACATGTTCTTATGGGTGTCTACAAAGTTTGTTCAAATAAAAGCCCTTGGGTCAAAATTGGCCCCGCCCCGGGAGTCATTGATTTTCCTTATATGTTTATAGCAAAAACTTAAAAAATCTTCTTTGAAAAAACCCAAATAGCTAGAGTTTAGATATTAAGCATGAAACATCTTTTAGTGAGTGTCTACAAAGTTTGTTCAAATAAAAGCCCTGGGGTCAAAATTGGCCCCGCCCCGGGGGTCATTGATTTTCCTTAAATGTGTATGGCAAAAACTTAAAAATCTTCTTTGAAAAAACCCAAATAGCGAGAGTTTAGATATTAAGCAAGAAACATCTTCTAGTAAGTGTCTACAAAGTTTGTTCAAATAAAAGCCCTGGGGTCAAAACTGGCCCCGCCCCAAAGGTGTCATTGTTTTTAATTATATGTGTATAGTAAAAACTTAAAAAATCTTCTTTTAAAAAACCCAATGAGCTAGAGGTAAGATGTTTAACATGAAACATCTTCTTGTGGGTGTCTACCAAGTTTGTTCAAATAAAAGCCCTTGGGTAAATTGGCTCTGCCGGGGGGGGGGGGGGGGGAAAGGTTTTTTGTTTGTTTGTTTTGGGTTTTACGTCACATCGACACAGTATAGGTCATATCCCGACGTTCCAGCTTTACTGGTGGAGGAAGACCTCCAGTGCCCTTCCGTGCATTATTTCAGGCACGAACGGGCACCTGATTAGAACCACCGACGTTCCGTAAGCGAGCTGGATAGCTTCCTCACATGAAAGAATCCAAAGTCTCTGTAGGATTCGAACCCACAGCGGTGAGGGGCAAGTGGTTTGAAGTCAACGACCTTAACCACTCGGCCACGGACGCCCCGGGGGGGGGATGGGGTGCAGAGAATATTGTTTTTTATTATATGTGTGTAGTAAAAACTTAACATCAAGAAACATCTTCTAATGGGTGTCTTCCAAGTTTGTTCAAATAAAAGCCCTGGGGTTTAAACTGGCCCTCTTGTTATAAATAATGTCCCGAGAGCTATTGTTATGGTGCCAGTGATGTTTGTTTCTAAAAATAGAAGATTGGGTAATGAATCGCCTCGCTTTACTTATTTACATATAGAGAGCGAAACTGTTAGATTAGAGGTATCAGGGGGTTTCCTTCTTGTTTATGTATTTTATAGACGGCAAATTTCATTGTACACATTTATTCTTTTGATTTGACAATTACATATAATAGTTTATTTAAAAATAACATAATTAACCTTTAGAAAAGCTGAAGGCTACTTTAAAAGGGAAAAAAATTGCTCATTTATTTTTCTTAGACAATTGAGAGAATTCATTCTCAGCATAACAAACTGTAAGATTACTTGCATAATAAGAGAAGTTTTTACATGTAACAGACATTTGGCTATTTGAAAATTGTGATGTTTATTGTTATTTGCTTTGAAGCTTTATTTAAACATTACAATAACAGTTTAACAGTACTTTTGCTTTCAATGTTATATACATATGTGATAAGTTTAAAACTTACAGTAATAGATACAGCACAAGACTCTTTTTAATTTCTCTCTTTATTTTAACTCAGAGTAAATACAGAAATAAACTGAGCCCTGAATTACATAATTAGAGTTATTATCATTTTTATCTCACTGGGGTGAAATATTCAGATATTTTTATTTTGAGTGTAACATGGGGTAAAATTTGATAAAATCATTTATGAGTGATAAAAGAGGTGTATTCTATAGTGATAAAAGATGAACATTGATGTAAATATTAGATTTTGAAATCTTTGATGTAAAACTCTGGTATGTTACAATGATATGATATACAGTGGGTAATATGAGTTATATTTCACTATTCTATAACACGGCTAAGAAGATAAAAGTCTCTAACTTTAACTAACCCGTCCCTTGTAATACATACATGTAGATCCCTGACTTGTCTAATTCTAATTATCAGATTAGTGGATACAAAAAGAATTTAAATGGTTAAATCTATTGTTATTAAAATGAAAGGTCAGAGTAAGGATCTTATCAATTGTGGTTTCTTCATACCTGTACAATACAACATCTTCATTTGTTAAAGTAAAATGTACTTTATCCTTCATGACTAAAACTTTTATACTAACTTATTGCTTTGCTAATAGGTGGAACAAATGACAGGAACTTTCAAACAGGCTTTGGCAGAGGGCGATATAGTTTTCGATCAGGTCCGAATGCGCAAAGCATGATTTTGTTGTTACAGCATTGCTATACATTTGCATAATTGATTCAGTTTAGATAAAAAAAAATTGTCTGTTAGAGAAAAAAAATATTTAATTGTTTTTTGTTGTTGTTTTGTCTTTTAGTTTTGTGTTTGTTTGAAATAAGGTCTTATTTATGCGGGGCTTCAAAGAAAAAACAAAACAATTTTAATATTGAAATCATGTACAAGTGTACAGTCAAGATGCACTATTAGTTAGACTCTTTCTTCTCATTGATTTATAAAAGTATTTCTTAATAAAGAGCTCTCAATTGTTGACATTTTTCCTGAACCTAATGAGTTATATTTTTGTTTCTATTATTGAACATTCTTGTTAGCATACTCGTCTTATAAAATAGTCTGTTATTTTTGTTTTTTTTGTTTTTTTGTTTCTTACAATATTCTAATTATGGTAAGACTTGTAGAAGTGTAATAAACTGTTCTATTTTTTTAGTTTACATAACTTAGGATTGTGTCTTGTACATGTGTCTTATACATGCATTTTTTATGGCAGTTTACATAATGGCAGCCATTGAAGCCCTGCTTAAATGTTATAACTAATTTGAGCAGTGTCACGACAAAACCAACATAATGTGTTTGCAACCAATATGGATCCAGACCAGCCTGCGCATCCGCGCAGTCTGATCAGGATCCATGCTGTTCGCTTACAGACCCTATAACAAGTAAAGAAACTGATAGAGAAACAGCATGGATCCTGATCAGACTGCGCGGATGCTGGTCTGGATCCATGCTGGTCGCAAACCCATTATGTTGGTTTTGTCGTGACGCGGCTCATTTTCTTTTTGCTAGATCAATGCCCAGCATTAATACACATGAGTATGTTTAAGATTGTAGCATGAAAATGCACTTTCAAAAAAAAAAATGAATTGTATAATTTACTAGGAATACTAAGACATAGTTAAGCTATAGACTTAAAAAGAAATGTATTTAGGTTGCATGTTAAATACATTAACGGAACGGTAATTATAAATTGTGTTTTGTGACCATTGTTTGGACATCTTGATGTTCATCACCTGATGATAGGTTTTTATAGAGAAATCAAATTTCTGTCTATATAGTATACCGGTATATATATATATATTGTTTTAAACTTTTATTTTACGATAGGAGAAGTAATGAGTTAATTTTTTTTACATTATAAGATAAAAAAAGTAGTAGTAAAGTAGTATTTCTTTTGTTAGAACTTAGGCTTGTAAAAGAACTTTAACAATTACTATCAGGCATCTAGATTTTTGTTGCTCTTGATTTTTTTTATAGTTCATCATTGTAACCATGGCAATTTATTCTGATGATTGTTGTTCAGTTTATTTCCAGAGATTCATTTGTTCAGGCAATTGTCTTGTCATGGTTTTTATCCCAAGCCCAGGATTTAAAAAAAATTAAATACATGGCTTTACTAATATGAAAAAGGCAAAGCCTCAAAGCGAGCTCGATGTACTTTTAACGTGAAATAGTATGAAATAATCGCTCATTTTTATTTCAAATGCAGTGACGAGTGCGTGTGACGTCACACATACTGTGTTAAATATGGCTCCGCCTCTGTCGTTAAATAAATAACGAGTTTTGAAAACGTTGATAAAACTTTGTTTATTTAATTTCACTCTATAATTTTTCAAGCGAAATAAAGATTATTAAAAGTGAAATAAATGTAAAACTTAAAACGTTTGCGACATTAAAATAGCGTATTTGATTTGATTGTTTTGCACGTGCTGTTTGGCGCTACATTGTGACGTCACGTAAACAATACTTTAAACGTCTGTACAGCGTTAACGACTGAATAAAAGATATTGGTGTTCGGATTCATTTTCTTAGTTAGATCATTTTCTTTCATTCTAGATAGTTTTCACAACAAAATTCGACAAAAAATTGTTTTTATTTATCAGATTTTTTCACACAAAATGGCGCCTTCAATTTTCATACAGCTTCCGTTATTCTGGTTCTCTGTCCAATTATGGTTCCCATAGACGTGCCCGGGTGACCAGTCTACACATCCGTTTTCAGTCAAAATTCCTCAGTTTTTATCGTTATCTATAAATTCGAAAAGTTGCGATGTGTCCAATTCGGTACTCGGAGGAAAGTTTTCAAAACCATCACTTAGCAGGTACTTGCGTTACCGTAAAGCTCGCTTTTCGAGCAGGCCCTTGGGGCCAGCTCGTCGAGCTCGCTATTAAGATAGTATATCACAGACAATACAGCAATTTTATAAAGGTCAAACTTTTAAGTGTAAAGGTCAAACTTGTACATGTTAGTGTAAAGGTGAAAACAAGCAGGCTTGGCAGTTTGCTCAAGCTTAACCTATTGCATTTTGTCATCACATAACATAATAAAAGCATTGCTAAGAATCTTACAGGTATACTTGTTGTAGAATGGTAGCTACATTTGATGCATTGATATATAGAATATTTATAGCAAATACACAAATACTGCATGTATAAAAAAAAGTTTTCTATAATGTTTTATTATGTAAGTCTTTGTGTATTAAAAAACTCAGAAATCTTTATAAAAACATAAAAATGAGAGCCCTTTGACATAGAATATTTTATCAACATACATGTATATCTTTGTTTGAAAGCCTGTATGACAAAAAAAGGGTTGTATGAATATTAATGTCACATGTGGTGGTAAATGTGATTATAAGGCAGCATCCAGTTTTATACAGAGCATGCCTTCTACAGGCATGGAGGGATTTAAGCATTACATTTGAGAAGTAATATATTAAAATTATAATTTGAAAAGAAGTAATCACACATATAATCCTGTTCTCAAAGTCAAGGTCACACTTAAAAGTCAAAGGAAAATGCTTGTTTGGAGCAAAGCTCTCTTTGAGAAATTCTAATATAACTTGTCACAACATGTAAACCATTGTTAGCCAGTGTCATACACAAAAATTGGCCAAGGTCATTGACATATTTAGAGGTCAAAGTTAAGGTAAAAAATATGGAAATGTGTCTCTTGACAATTTTGTAGCCTGGCAATGACGAATTATTTCTATAATTCATGTCAGTATATGCAATGTCAAGGTTACAGAGATGATTACATGTAAAGATTTTGTAAAGTTTAAGCATATTTTCTACATGCATGGAGGAATATTAGTAATACTTGAAACAAATGTTCACCATTATCAGAAGTAGTCTTTAATACATGAAACAATTCCCTTGGTCAAATTTCAAGGTCACAGGAAAACACGTAGAATATTGTTATATAACTTGCCACAAATGTTCAACATTGAGCGGCATCGTGTGATGCAGTGTAGTGAATAAAATCCAGGTCCTGTGGCAAAGGTCACAGACATAGGTCAAAGGTCAGATCAAAGATTAAAATGTGAATATTAACCATTAATTGACTGTGAATTAAGAGATTTTAATGTAAATGTTCACTGTCTTGATACTTAGCATTTGGGATGGGCATATTTTATGACAATGGCACTCTTGTTTCCTATTTTTCATATTGCATGTTAATATTAAGTTTTTATCAGTCATCTTTAAGATGCTGTTGTATTACTGAGTATTGTTTTTGAATTTGTTATTCTTACAAATTACAAAGGTTTTAATTTATTAGGCTTTGAAAATAATGAGCATTCCTTCATGTTTACTTTGGAATTGATATATATTTTGTTTTTTGCAAGCACAAGAATCAACACTGAAACTATGGACTTTTAAAAAATCTAGTCCAACCTTAAAATATCATAATATAGATTGTTCATCCTTTTATTTAAAATATTATGCAGTACACACCTTTCATTGCAAAACCATCAGTAATGCAGGAAGTAAAATTTTTGGACAAGTTATCATTTCTGAATAAAGCAATAAAAATATTATAATATACCATGGGCTTCATAAATTATTACAAAGTTTATCATATACAGTGTAACTTCCGAATTCCGGAACTTCTGAAATCCGGAAACTTCTAAAAACCGAACATTTTTTTCGGTCCCGATTTTTTCCCTTCTATTTTCTATAAATATAATACTTCTGAATTCCGGAACTTCTAAATTCTGAATTCCGAACGATATTTTCGTAAAATTAGAGTCAAATCAATGCAATTTTACCTCCAAAAACCGGAAATATCCAAAGGTGTGAAATACATTGTAATATGAGAATTTTACCCTGCAGGAAGATTTAATCTCCCTATCGATTGTTTACTAATAAGCGGTGATCGTGTAATTTGACATGCGTTAAAATCACAAACTGTGAAATGGTATGTTTGAAGTGTTGCGGTTAATCAAAGTAATTTACGGCGGTCAGTTAATATGGAGTGTTTATTAGCGGATTAAATGACAATTAATTGGACAATGTATGCATCAAATGTCTTAAGGGTTTTATTGCATTTTATGTAATATTATTAATTAACTAGCATCGGACGATATGTAAGTTTATGCAATTAACAACATTTCTACAAACTGATAGAAATTCAAAAGCATTTGCAGGTAAAATAAAAATGTATTCTTTTCATGCACATCTTTATCTTGATTAAAAGACTATTATATATGATAATACAGTAATGGACACATCTTCCTTGACATTTAGTGATATTAAGTGGCTTAGTCTTGTCCACATTATCATAAACCTCTGAATTCCGGAAACCTCTGAAATCCGAATTTTTTGACAAGTCCCATGGGTGTTCGGTTTTCGGAAGTTACACTGTACTGGAGACAAGCAATTTACACAACTTTCATAGTTTTTGATATATTATAGTGTGTGTACTTATTAGGCAATTTTTTATACCACACATTGTGTGCATTAGTATATTACAAACCACAGTTTGCAAACATTATTGAAATGAAATTCCTCACTTCGCATACATTATTAATAAATATAAGTTATACACAAGTTTCATACACTATAAAATAATAAATCTCAGATTTCATGCACTATGAAATGATATACCACAGATTTCATGCATTAAAGAATTATATACCACAGATTTCATGCATTACAAAATGATATACTACAGATTTCAATACATCATAGAATTATATACCACAGATTTCATACATTAAAGAATTACATACATTACAAAATGATATACCACAGATTTCAATACATTATAAAATGATATACCACAGATTTCATACATTAAAGAATTACATACATTACAAAATGATATACCACAGATTTCAATACATTATAAAATGATATACCACAGATTTCATACATTAAAGAATTACATACATTACAAAATGATATACCACAGATTTTAAATGATATACCACAGATTTCAATACATTATAAAATGATATACCACAGATTTCAATACTTTATAGAATTATATACCACAGATTTCAATACATTACAGAATTATATACCACAGATTTCATACATTATAAAATGATATACCACACAAGTTGAATAAATGAATGTATGGTATATCACAGGTTGATGTTGGTAAAAGAGCGTTCCAGTCCGAGGATGCTGTTGAAGAAGAGGATGAAGATAGAGAAGCTTCTCCCAAAGCTGTCGGTCATAACATCTTTATCCTGGCTAAACAGGTAAGCTGTAAACATTATTTCTAGAACTCACAAAGGTTCCATTCATCAACACATGTGGGTTCTTTGACTGAATTTATGTATTAAATGTTTAATAAAACCTTAGGAAGTACTTGTTAAAAATGATTAAATGTATCTTTGACCTGTAATTTAATGTTGTTGGTTGTGTGCTGTTAATGTGATATCTTAAACAAATAATAATTGACTTAATGAAAAGTGGAATATATATTTTGATCTCGTAATCTGCTCTTGTATTAAAGCTCCATGAATCAAAATTTGATGGGCAGAAGGGGATAATGATACTCTTCAACTTGTTACAGCATAAGATTGGTTTAATAAATGCTCTTGTTATTTCAGTTATCTCAACATAACAAAGATTTAGCAAACCTGTTGAAGCCATGTGGAGATCTGTATGGTGATCAGGCACTGGAATTCTATGCTAAACATACAGCACAGATTGAGGTAGGTTTCAGTTTATACAGAATTCATTTTAGTATGATGATGTAGGAAGCTATAAAGCTTATAGACACACTCTAGAGTCCGTTCCTGGAACCAACCAGTATTGAACAATTAAGTTTAGTTTCTTGCTGAAGGAAATAACGGTTTGCCCCTGACAGAGTTTGAACCGACCAGCTTGAGATCAGTAGATTATTGTTTGATGACCACTCGGTCATGCCACTGCTATAAGGTAGGTTTTTGAAAACTGAACAATTCAACACCCAAAAAGAAACAAAAATTGGACAATATTATCTAATCTTCCTCTAAGATTAGGACTTTTATAACCATTCTTAATAAGTAAAGTTTATTATCATTTTATATTTCATTGTTTAGATTGTACGACATGATAGAACAATGGAGAAGATAGTGTTCCCAATCCCTGAGATCTGCGGTTTTCTGACGGACGAGACCAAACATCACGTGTTTAACACTGCAGAGAGAGATGAACAAGGTAGCAAGGTCTCCGACTTCTTTGAGAGAGTAGAAGACATGTATAATGAAATGATCTGGCAGAGGGATCTAAGAGGTAAAAGGAAATGTTTTTAACTTATATGTTCATTTTGCCCACCTAATATAGTAATGGTATAATGTACTGAAGATTCTTAGAAAAAAGACTTAGTAAACTACTGACACATTTTCATAATGAGTTGTTCATACACAATAATTCTGTACAAACAATAACATAGAGGATATTTGTTTAGTGCAGTGTAAGATCGGAACATAATTCACCGAGTGAGCACCAAAAGGTATATTTCACGAGTGAATTATGAACTTTTGGGGTTCACGAGGATAAATATATTTTGATCTTACATTAAACTAAACAAATTTTCTTTTTATTATATGCAAATAAACGTTTAAAAAGACATTAAATCTAATACTGTATGAAAAGCGCGCCAAATAATAATACAACGTGACGTCATTTACGACGTCACATCATTAAGTTGGTACCCAGTACTGTGCACGCTGGTATTTCACTGAAACAACGTAAGGGGCTTAAATTCAAAACGGTGAAATTATCAAAGTGGTAATTTCACTGTTTCGGTGAAATTACCAGTTTTATATCACTGATATATTTCTATAAACCACCGAAAAGCATGTAATAAATTTGTTTAAAGAACAAATAACAGAATACTTTGCGCTAAGGAGCACTGAATTATCATAGAGCATAAGGGACTTGTTTTTAGAAAACCAGTAATGTCCAGAAAGGCTATTGTTTTCCAAGTCTAGTCTACATTGTACATAGAAAGGTTTTACTTATTTATATATATTCTTATATATTTGACTTTTTAGCCAATCCATACCTTTCGTGGTTCAGCAGTCATATGTCATTCTGGGGAAATATTGCCTTCAACTTCGCTGTACTGATCAACCTGCTTGTAGCTTTATTCTACCCATTTGAAGATAGCAAAAGAGGTAATGTATAAAAATATTAACACTTACCACTTTAGTTTTTATGCCCCCGCCATGTAATGGCCGGGGCATAAAGTGTTACCATGTTCCGTCCTTCTGTCATTCCGTCATCATCAGTTTCTGTTCATTATCTTAAGAATAGTTGCAAACATTCAACTCAAATTTGACATATGGATATATCATGAGAAAATACAGGTCAAGTTCGAATTTGGTCATGGTTCGATGATTTTTGGCAGAGTTATGCCCCTTTAACATTGAAAATAATATGAAATTTTCAGTTTCAGTTCATTATCTCCCCAACGATACAACACATTCAACTCAAACTTGACATATGAATATGTCATGAGAAAATACAGGTCAACTTCGAATTTGGTCATGGTTCGATGAATTTTGGCAGAGTTATGCCCCTTTTACTTTGAAAACAATATGAAATTTTCAGTTTCCGTTCATTATCTCCCCAACAGTACAACACATTCAACTCAAACTTGACATATGTATACGTCAAAGGAATGCGCAGGTCAAGTTCAAATTTGGTCATGGTCCAATAATTTTATGTCCCTTTCACTTTGAAAATAATATAGATACATCTTAGGAATAAGCAGTTTAAGTTTGAATTTGGTGGTGGTTCAATGATTTTAGACAAACTTATCTTTCCTCAATGTTGGAAAAATTTTGAACTTTCAGTTTCAGCACTCATACTTTTGTGGAAATGTATGTAGCCATTATTTTGGCTACAAATATGCAATATGCTATTTTTGAAAGGTTAAGCCTGAATAATTTCAGTGCATTGAACATTGTATGAAAATGGTTTGTGTTAACATTGAATAGTTTTAAGGGCTTTGAACTTAAAATGAAAAAAATTATTTGTGCAAACAAATTTGGAACTAAATATTATAACATCTGAAATTTTGGCTGCATGCGGGGGCATCCGTGGCATGATGACACATTTCTAGTCTTAAATGGACTTGTGTCCATCTTTTATTGTAAAACAAACCATTCATCATTTTTAGGGAAAAACTTCATTGTACTAAATGTACTGACTGCATAGTGCAGATGGTGGATGTACCGGCTGATCTCTAAGTCTGCACTGGTCACATGGTTAGAATATGTTGCTATCAGCAAGCTAAGAGTTCAAGTATTTAAAACCATATTTTAAAATTGTTAAGATGAAATGCTTAATTTATTACTTTCCTGTTGTCATCATTAATTATGATATAAGGAAATTTTCAGCTAGTTAATCGGAAAACAATGTTCCCTCAATAATACCGGAACTAATACACTGACAGTATCAGTTTGTTTTGAATGTTACAGTTGTCATGTTTTCTGAAAATGTTTTGTGTGATTGCCAATCCAACTTTATCACCCTATCCCCCCAACAATGTGATAACTTTACTGGATAAATATTTATGCTTTAAGACTTACACATTTTGATAATTGACATTATTGTATAAAGGACAGTATAAATACTCTAAAATATATCAAATATTCTAGATAGGAAACTGATGTCCCCCCACTCTAGATATGGAATAGATGTACTCTACCCCAGATAAGGAAACTGATGTACTCAAATTAAGGAAGTAAACTCCAATCTAGATACTTAACTGATGTACTTTTATCTAGATAGGAAACTGTTGTCTTCCATTCTAGATATGGAGTAGATGTATGTTATCCCAGATAGGAAAACTGTTGTACTCAAATCTAGATAAGAAACTGATGTCCCCTATTCTAAATAGGGAGTAGATGTACGCTGTCCAAGATAGGAAAACTGATATGCTACTTTCTTGATAGGAAATAGATATACTATAATCTTGGTATGAAACTTATCTACATAGGAAACTGATGTACTTTTTCCCAGATAGGTGTAGTTATACAGTCAAACGTGTATTAAGCGACCGGGCAAGGGAAACACCAAAAACGGTCGCTTAATGAAACGGTCTCTTAAGACAGTCAGCATGATATAAAAGTCAAAATTTATAAATGACATCTTTTTTATTCGATGGGATTGTTTTTCAACTTCATTTTTATATAAATGTTGAATAACTACGCTCCGATAATCTAAACGGATGCAAATGTAAAAATAACGTTCTGATATTTATTGACAAAACAGCTTTGATCCATTACGTACATGTTTGACATTTTTTCCAGAATTTTTTAACTTCTCCGTTGTTTTTCCTTGTCTCCAACACGAAAACCCTATTAGTGAAGATGTTTCTGTTGTGCATTTTTTCATTTGAAATAAACAAACTACATCTATTTGTTACGATTAATTTTATGGCTGATCAATTTCAAGGTCAATTCAATGCAGTCTAAATGTCAACAAGCGAAGCGTATACACCATCTCAGTATGGGCGGAGCGTTGCATTGTTTATCCGATATTATTGGATAATACACGTCACGCGTATACTTAACTTCATTTGCATACGCTAAAACGGTATGGGAAATAGAGTTTTTCACACGTTTATTGTTGTGTTTTGATTGCTGACACTTGTGACATAACGAGGTGGCGTTCTCTAAAAACACAATTACTTGACAGGTATAAAAGTGGTCGTTTAATGAAAAGATTGATGTCAATTAGGTGACTAATTAGCGGTCGCTGGTCGCGTTGAGCAAAAGTCGCTTAATACATTAAAGATATAGAGAGAAAATGATCGAGGGGAATTTAAAGTGGTCGTTTCAGACAAAAGTCGCTTAATACACGTGGTCGCATGGGCAAGTTAGACTGTATTCTTTTCAAGTTACAAAATTGCTGTATTCAAGTTTAGAAAAGAATTTGATGTACATACTCTTTTCTGGATAGTAAAAATGCACTCTATTCTAGGTAGGGAATTTTGATGTATTCATTTCTGGATATGAAGTTTATGTACTGTTCTAAATATGAAGTAAAATGCACTCTTCTGTATCTTCTAGACTTGGTAGGGATATTGCTTCTGACAGTAGATGACTCTTATCATTTTAGGTCAGTACATCAAAGGTCAAGGTCACAATGGCACCAAAAAATTCTTGTCCACTCAATAACTTGGAATATCCCCAAGTTTTTTAATTTAGTAGGGACATTCCACATATCCAGTAGTTTACCCCTATTAATTTTGAGATCATTAGGTCAAGGTCAGAGCGACACTTAATGTGAAATGTTTGTCTTCTCAATAGGAAGAGTTTCCTAAATTATAGGTTTGTAAAACTCGTTACTAAAAATATAGCACATTTGACCTTGATGAAATATGAAAAAGTATGAAAATATGCCACTATTATAGGCAATTTATTGGGGAAATAAATACATGTATCCCATAAACCTAGTTTGCCACATACTATAATTTAAGAATTGTAGGAGATTTGTTTTTAGTCCCCTACCGGTTTACCGGAGGGGACTTTAGGTTTACCCTCCGTCCGTCTGTCTGTCCGTCCGTCTGTCTGTCCGTCTGTCTGTCAGTCCGTCCGTCCACAAAACTGGATCCCGCGATAACTTGAAAAGTACTGAAAATATTTTTATGAAACTTGATATATGGATAGATGGCAGTATGGAGATTATGCACGTCTTTTTCTTTTCTTCCTATGTTGAAAATTCTGGTTGCTATGGCAACAAATAGGCTGAAAATATGGCAAATTTTACACATAAACTGGATCCAGTGATAACGCAAAAAGTACTGGAAATATTTTTATGAAACTTGATATATGGATAGATGGCAGTATGGAGATTATGCACGTCTTTTTCTTTTCTTCCTATGTTGAAAATTCTGGTTGCTATGGCAACAAATAGACTGAAAATATGGCAATTTTTACACATAAACTGGATCCCGTGTTAACGCAAAAAGTAATAGAAATATTTTTATGAAACTTGTAATATGTGTAGATGGCAGTCTGGAGATTATACACGTCTTTTTCTTTTCTTCCTATGTTGAAAATTCTGGTTGCTATGGCAACACATAGACTGAAAATATGGCAAATTTTACACATAAACTGAATCCAGTGATAACTCAAAAAGTACTGGAAATATTTTTTTGAAACTTGACATATGGGTAGATGTCAGTCTTGAGATTATGCATGTCTTATCTGTTCTTCCTATTTTGAAAAAATATTGGTTGCTTTGGCAACAAATAGGCTTAAAACATGGCAAATATAACAATATTTGTGATTAGTCAAAAAGAGCTGAAACTTTTTATGAAATTGCATCTTTAATTCCAGAGTTATCTCCTCTTTAAGAATTTTGCTTTTTAAATGTTATATTTTGGTAACAGGGATGTTTCAAATATTAACTTTAGAGTGTCCTTCAGTCCGTCTGTCTGTCTGTTCATAAAAACTTTTTCCTGTGATCACTTTTAAAGAACATTTCCAACAAATTTACTTAAAATAGAGAAAAATTTACACATTAGTGAATGGCCAATGGCTCTACAGAATGCTGATGGGGTTCTATCCGGTAGGGGACTTATGGATTGCTTGCAATACTATGATAATTGCTTGTTTATTTAGCAATGGAATGAAATTATAATACATTTGTTAAATATAATATTTTTATATGTTACAGAGTTAGATTCACGCCTGTCTGGCCTTGTGTGGACGGCCATGTTGGCATCCCTAGCTCTTGTGATCACCATAGCAACACCGTCTAGCATCATCACATTGATAGCGTCATTTATCCTACGTATGATCTTCTCTGTAGGTGTTGAACCTACGCTCTGGTTGCTAGGAGTTCTAAATGTACGTAAATTATAGTTGCCACTGTATATGGTGTAATGTCTTAAATATTGTTTGCATAATTTGTTTGGTTTTTTTTAGCTCACCTGTCACAAAGTGACAGGGTGAGCTTTTGTGATCGCTTTTCGTCCGGCGTCCGTCCGTAAACTTTTGCTTTAAATGACATCTCCTCATAAACCACTGAGCCAATTTCATCCAAACTTCACAGGAATGTTCCTTTGGTGGTCACCTTTAAAAATTGTTCAAAGAATTTAATTCCATGCAGAACTCTGGTTGCCATGGCAACCGAAAGAAAAATCTTTAAATATCTTCTTTTAAACAACCCTAAGAGCTAGAGCTTAGATATTTGGCATGAAACATCTTCTAGTGAGTGTCTACCAAGTTTGTTCAAATAAAAGCCCTGGGGTCAAAATTGGCCCCGCCCCAGGGGGTCATTGATTTTCCCTATATGCATATAGTAAAATCTTAAAAAATCTTCTTTTAAAGAACCCAAAGAGCTAGAGCTAAGATATTTGGCATGAAACATCTTCTAGTGAGTGTCTACCAAGTTTGTTCAAATAAAAGCCCTTGGGTCAAAATTGGCCCCGCCCCGGGGGGGGTCATTGATTTTCCCTATATGCATATAGTAAAAACTTATAAAAGCTTCTTTTTAAGAACCGTAAGAGCTAGAGCTTAGATATTTGGCATGAAACATCTTCTAGTGAATGTCTACCAAGTTTGTTCAAATTAAAGCCCTGTGGTCAAAATTGGCTCCACCCTGGGGGGTCATTGATTTTCCCTATATGCATATAGTAAAAACTTAAAAAATCTTCTTTTAAAGAACCCAAAGAGCTAGAGCTAAGATATTAAGCATGAAACATCTTCTAGTGAGTGTCTACCAAGTTTGTTCAAATTAAAGCCCTGTGGTCAAAATTGGCCCCACCCTGGGGGGTCATTGATTTTCCCTATATGCATATAGTAAAAACTTAAAAAATCTTCTTTTAAAGAACCATAAGAGCTAGAGCTTAGATATTTGGCATGAAACATCTTCTAGTGAATGTCTACCAAGTATGTTCAAATAAAAGCCCTGGGGTCAAAATTGACCCCGCCCCAGGGGGTCATAGATTTTCCCTATATGCATATAGTAAAAACTTAAAAAATCTTCTTTTAAAGAACCCAAGGAGCTAGAGCTAAGATATTTAGCATGAAACATCTTCTAGTGAGTGTCTACCAAGTTTGTTCAAATAAAAGCGCTGGGGTCAAAATTGGCCCCGCCCCAGGGGGTCATTGATTTTCCCTATATGCATATAGTAAAAACTTAAAAAATCTTCTTTTAAAGAACTCAAAGAGCTAGAGCTAAGATATTTAGCATGAAACATGTTCTAATGGGTGTCTACCAAGTTTGTTCAAATAAAAGCGCTGGGGTCAAAATTGGCCCCGCCCCAGGGGGTCATTGATTTTCCCTATATGCATATAGTAAAAACTTAAAAAATCTTCTTTTAAAGAACTCAAAGAGCTAGAGCTAAGATATTTAGCATGAAACATGTTCTAATGGGTGTCTACCAAGTATGTTCAAATAAAAGCCCTGGGGTCAAAACTGGCCCCGCCCGGGGGGGGGGGGGGGGGGGGGTCATTGATTTTCCTTGTATAGCAAAACTTAAAAATCTTCTGAAAAAACCCAAATAGCTAGAGTTTAGATATTAAGCATGAAACATCTTTAAGTAAATATCTACAAAGTTTGTTCAAATAAAAGCCCGGGGGTCAAAACTGGCCCTGCCCCAGGGGTGTCATTGTTTTTAACTATATGTGTATAGTAAAAACTTTAAAAATCTTCTTTTAAAAAACCCAATGAGCTAGAACTTAGATGTTTAGTATGAAACATCTTCTTATGGGTGTCTACCAAGTCTGTTCAAATAAACAAATAAAAGCCCTTGGGTAAAAATTGACCCATGGGGGGTTGGGGGGCTTTATACAGGTGAGCGACCTCAGGGCCATCATGGCCCTCTTGTTGTGTATTTGTTATCACTTTCATCAGTAATATAGATCTATATGTACAGTAGAATTTCTATGTGTCAAACTTCAATTGGCTGAGTTTTTCTATGTGTGGATTTAAATAAAATTCCCCATATTTAAATCTTTCTATGAGTCAAAATCTTCACTTTCTTTATTGATATTCACCATGATCTATAGGCTTTCTGCAAAAACCATAACAGTTTGATGCCAATCAGGTAAAAATGCTTTTAAAAATTTATTGAGCTTTCCTTTTGTTATGCCTTTTGTTAGTCATTTTTAGCTCACCTGTCACAAAGTGACAGGGTGAGCTTTTGTGATCGCTTTTCGTCCGGCGTCCGTCCGTCCGTCGTCCGTCCGTCGTCCGTCCGTCCGTCCGTCCGTAAACTTTTACTTTAAATGACATCTCCTCATAAACCACTGAGCCAATTTCATCCAAACTTCACAGGAATGTTCCTTTGGTGGTCACCTTTAAAAATTGTTCAAAGAATTTAATTCCATGCAAAAACTCTGGTTGCCATGGCAACCGAAAGAAAAAACTTTAAATATCTTCTTTTAAAAAACCATAAGAGCTAGAGCTTAGATATTTGGCATGAAACATCTTCTAGTGAGTGTCTACCAAGTTTGTTCAAATAAAAGCCCTGGGGTCAAAATTGGCCCCGCCCCGGGGGGTCATTGATTTTCCCTATATGCATATAGTAAAAACTTAAAAAATCTTCTTTTAAAGAACCCAAAGAGCTAGAGCTAAGATATTTAGCATGAAACCTGTTCTAATGGGTGTCTACCAAGTTTGTTCAAATAAAAGCCCTGGGGTCAAAATTGGCCCCGCCCCGGGGGTCATTGATTTTCCCTATATGCATATAGTAAAAACTTAAAAAATCTTCTTTTAAAGAACTCAAAGAGCTAGAGCTTAGATATTTGGCATGAAAACATCTTCTAGTGAGTGTCTACCAAGTTTGTTCAAATAAAAGCCCTGGGGTCAAAATTGGCCCCGCCCCGGGGGGTCATTGATTTTCCCTATATGCATATAGTAAAAACTTAAAAAATCTTCTTTTAAAGAACCCAAAGAGCTAGAGCTAAGATATTTAGCATGAAAACATGTTCTAATGGGTGTCTACCAAGTTTGTTCAAATAAAAGCCCTAGGGTGAAAATTGGCCCCGCCCCGGGGGTCATTGATTTTCCCTATATGCATATAGTAAAAACTTAAAAATCTTCTTTTAAAGAACTCAAAGAGCTAGAGCTTAGATATTTGGCATGAAACATCTTCTAGTGTGTGTCTACCAAGTTTGTTCAAATAAAAGCCCTGGGTCAAAATTGGCCCCGCCCTGGGGGTCATTGATTTTCCCTATATGCATATAGTAAAAACTTAAAAATCTTCTTTTAAAGAACCCAAAGAGCTAGAGCTAAGATATTTAGCATGAAACATGTTCTAATGGGTGTCTACCAAGTTTGTTCAAATAAAAAACCTGGGGGTGAAAATTGGCCCCGCCCCGGGGGTCATTGATTTTCCCTATATGCATATAGTAAAAACTTAAAAAATCTTCTTTTAAAAAACTCAAAGAGCTATGGCCAAGATATTGAGCATCAAACATGTTCTAATAGGTGTCTACTAAGTTTGTTCAAATACAAGCCCAGGGGTCAAAATTTGGCCCCGCCCCGGGGTCATTGATTTTCTTTATATGTGTTTAGCAAAAACTTTAAATCTTCTTTGAAAAAACCCAAATAGCTAGAGTTGAAATAAATAAAAGCCCTGGGGTCAAAACTTGCCCGGCCCCAGGGGTGTCATTGTTTTTAACTATATGTGTATAGTAAAAATTTTAAAAAAATCTTCTTTTAAAAAGCCCAATGAGCTAGAGCTTAAATGTTTAGCATGAAACATCTTCTTATGGGTGTCTACCAAGTTTGTGCAAATAAAAGCCCTTGGGTTAAATTGGCTCTGCAACGTTGGGGGGGGGGGGGGGGTTGGGGGGGCCTATATACAGGTGAGCGACCTCAGGGCCATCATGGCCCTCTTGTTAAACTTTTATGGCTGAAATTTCTTATAGAATAAAGACCGATACAAAAGTCAATGTCTATAAGTTTTTTAAGTCCCTTTGACTTCAACTTATTGAGGTTTATACTGGCAGGCAGTTATTAACCTTATGAGTCACTCTTCATTGTATACTGTGATTGTTCAAGTAACTATCATATAAACTCCTCCATATCATATAAAGTCCTCAATATAAACCATATTATAAGCAATAAAAGGCAAATAGCAGAATTTATTCATACCATAAAATATGTTCAGGATTCAAACTCATGCATGATGCAATCTTATTAATAATTTTACAGGTTATAAATAAAGGTATATTCTTGATAAGTATGATGGGAAACAGAGGAACGTTTAACAAACCATGGCGACTTGTGATCACAGATTTCGGTTTTGTTTATCATGTTACACATCTAATATTGTGTGTGCTGGGATTGTGTGTTCATGAGTTCTTCTACAGTTTACTGGTAAGTGAGGGCAAGCATGACACTTTTTTTTTATCATGAAATACTTCAATACCTTAACTATTAAAGAAAAGAGGTGTTTTGTTTGTTTGTCTGATGTTTACGGCCCATCTAAAGCAGCACGCCTCAAGATTCATGTTAATTTTCATGGACATTTTGGAAATGTTTTTTTTTAAAGTAAAATATCTTGAGGTGAATGAATAAAGTAATTTACATTTTGCAATAAGCACTTACAATCCAAGAAAATTACCAAAAAGAGGTCAACAGCCTTTACTACATTAGTAACACAGTAAGATGATAATAAAATACATGTACTGCAAAATCAGTCTGAAATGCTGTTGGTTTTATCATAGGGCGGCTCAAATGTGTTTTATATTTTCAGTTACTTGATGTGATATACAGAGAAGATACATTGATAAATGTGATAAAATCTGTGACAAGAAATGGACGCTCCATTGTCCTGACCACAGTTTTAGCCGTCATTCTTGTTTACATGTTTTCTATACTCGGATATATATTCTTCCAAAATGATTTTTTGATGGAAGTGGAACTTTTACCATCCAGTCCTATTCCAAAAAGTAAGTGAGCTTGATTTAATTTTCTGCAACTGTCATAATGATTGTTACAAAAAAAAAGGAGCTTCATTGAGTAAGTGGTCAATATCTTAACTCTTAGATAACCTCTGATATTTACAAACCATCACTGTTTGTCTTCCGACCCAATCCCCCACACTGTCTTCCGAACCATCCCCCTTGATGTCTCCCAAAACATCTCCCTCACTTATAATCAAATATTATTATGTAATACACATATTCTAAAAAAACTTCTCTCAGTTACAAAGGAAAATAACCATCCCCCATGTGATAATTGTTGTTTCCTTGGATCTGAACAAAATAAGTTTGTTTAGATGACAAGCATTTCTTATAGTTTCAGGAAAGTGAAAAGATCCGAAATTATGTTTTGATGATTCATTTATTTCCACTGTCATAATGTCACTTACGTTGCTGTTGTTGTTGTCATCAGAAAACGCTGGTCATAATTTTTATTTTTTTTATTTCTCAATGGATTGCCTTCATACTTTGACACAACAATCCTTTGGAGAAAATCTTCAAGTTGACTAGACTGAACTTGGCCTTCACTTATAAATGACCCTGACTTTTGAGCTTTTGGTGGATTTTGCTATACTTGACTCTAACTTTGTTATTAATTAAATGGATTGTCTTTGTACTTGGACACAACAATTGTTAAAACAAGAACTTTATGGAGACTAAATTGATTATATCTATGACCTTCACTATGACCTTGATCTTATTTGTCATATAATTGATTTTTGCTTGCTTTTTTGCTATATGTATTTGGTTAACTTTGTTATTTAGGAATAGAATGTCTTCATACTTGAGCACATCTACCTCAAGGACAATTAAGATTTAACTCAATATGACTTTGACTTGTAAAAGTCCTTGACCTTGAATTTAGTCATGTTAATGAATTTTGCAACCATTGGCCATTTCTTTGTTTTTTATTTATGGATTTGATTTATACTAAGACAAAATAACACTTATGACAAAATCAAGATGTTGAATTATGACCTTGATGTTGACCGTCAAGGTCAATAATTGAAATTTACTGAAATTGTCTTTTGTTTGTTATTTATTTACAGATAGAATTTATGCTTGGACAAAAAACATATGACTAAACTGACATGTTGAATTATTCTGATATGAACTTTACCTTCAAGGTCAAATTATCTTAAATTCAATGAAATTGCTGTAACTACAGATATTCTTTATATTTGGACTAAAGAACACATAAGACATGATGATTAATTCAAATGTGACCTTGACCTTAGAATGACCTTGACTGCCAAGGTCAAATATGAAATTTGAATTATATTATGTTCAAGACAATTACGTTTTCTAGGAGTATTCTGTGCTGCAATATTTTTCTTCAATGTGTTTGACTTAAAAAGTAAGAAAAAGGCCAGCATGGTTCCCGCCTGGCCGTGGCTCTTGTCTCCTACATGATACCTTTTATTCTGGTAGTAAGCTTGCATTAAAGCCTTACAAGAACTTCCTTAGCTTAGTTTTCTATGACTACCTTGTTAATAAACTGGACTGAAGTTGATGCACATGTTTATATCCATTGATTTGTCTGTTTTGAGTGTCCCAAATATATTTTGGTCATTTATTAATAATTATCAATTAAGTTTTGAGACTGCAACTTGGCTGAGATAGTAAAGGTCATATTTAGAAGTGAAAGTTCAATTTTGTAAGGGCATGCTGCTTCCTTCATGTTTTCTAACAGCATACACCAAAAAAGGAAAATGATTCCAAAGTATGTGAAGAAAATAGACTTTTTTTGTAACCCTCATATGAAAGTGATTTCATTTATTTATTTACAAATTTTACTAATACTTGAATAAAGAACATATATGATAAAACTGACATTTTGAATTATTCTGATACGACTACCTTTCAATTGATATTTTCCATCAAGGTCAAATCATGGAAATTTTCTTTTTATTGTTATATTTATAACTTTGTTGTTTATTTATGGATTTTATTTATTATTGCATAAAAGAACACTTATAACCAAACTGACATGATTATTAATTCAAATGTGACTTGCACCTTTAAATGCCCTTAATGGCAAGGGCCTAATATATACATTTTTTTTAGAGAAAATTATGTTTAATAGGAGTATTGTTTACTACAATGTCCTCCCTCAGATGTGTCGACTTTAGAAATAGGAAAAAATAGAGTGTGCTAACACCCCCGGCAGTGGCTCTTGTTATTTGACGATACCTTATTCACATTCTGGTTCCTTTTTTGCCTGTATAGTCATGCTTAGTGGCACCAGTTATTGTCTGATTTACCAGTAATCCTGGAAAATCTCCATATCACCTTTATAGTGCTGAGGCCTCAGCCAAAAATAATGATATAAACTCTGTTCTGTTCTGTTAAATTTGAAAATCAAATATAACAAGACTGTTATTTTTCATTTCTTGACAGATATTACAGAAGACACTTGCTCCAATGATACTTGTACAGATACTGCTGTTAGCCATTTTGTAGAGGATGCAGGTAAATATACATATTGTTTATTGATATTTATAAAAAAATAACATTTCTTCTGTGAAGAAAAAATTCAATCCATAATTGTTCATATTTGGCTAACTCTGTTTCTTTCTAAACGTATTTAGTTGATGTAGAAACCACTTAATAGATACCTTCACCTGCTTTATTATGCCCCCGCCATGTAATGGCCGGGGCATATAGTGTTACCCTGTTCCGTCCTTCCGTCCTTCCGTCATTCCGTCATTCTGTCCTTCCGTCATTCCGTCATTCTGTCATTCCGTCATCATCAGTTTCCGTTCATTATCTTAGTAAGGGTTGCACACATTCAACTCAAATTTGACATATGGATATGTCATGAGAAAATACAGGTCAAGTTCGAATTTGGTCATGGTTCGATGATTTTTGGCAGAGTTATGCCCCTTTCACTTTGAAAATAATATGAAATTTTCAGTTTCTGTTTATTATCTCCCCAATGGTACAACACATTCAACTCAAATTTGACATATGGATATATTTTTGGAATGCCCAGGCCAAGTTGGAATTTGGTCATGCTTCAATGATTTTTGGCAGAGTAATGCCCCTTTCACTTTGAAAATAATATGAAATTTACAGTTTCTGTTCATTATCTACCCAACTACTCAAATTTGACATATGGATATGTCAAAGGAATGGGCAGGTCAAGTTTGAATTTGGTCATGCTTGTTCGATGACTTTTTGGCAGAGTTATGTCCCTTTCACTTTGAAAATAATATAGATACATCTTAGGAATAAGCAGTTTAAGTTTGAATTTGGTCTTGGTTCAATGATTTTGGACAAACTTATCTTTCTTGAATGTTGTAAAAATTTTGAACTTTCAGTTTCAGCACTGAAATGTATGTAGCCAATGCCCATTATTTTGGCTACAAATATGAAATATGCTCTTTTCAAAAGGTTTAGACTGAATAATTTCAGTGCCTTGAACATTGTATGAAAATGGTTTGTGTTAACATTGAAAAGTTTTAAGGGCTTTGAACTTAAAATGAAAAAAATTATTTGTGCAAACAAATTTGGAACTAAATATTATAACATCTGAAATTTTGGCTGCATGCGGGGGCATCCGTGGCATGATGACACATTTCTAGTGTAAAATAGATTAGCCACACTAGCAGTATAGAGCCACATCACTTTGAACATCAAGGATGTTTAAACTAGTGGTTGCAAATTTCTGTATTTTGATACTGAAAAATTATCTTCATATTGACTGTCTGAAATTTAGGACAGGACAAGTCCATTACAAAAATTCAGCAGGTTAATCAGAAACAGAAATTTCATAATAAAACTCAACTCAAAATGAAATTTACCGGATGATAAAATACATAAAAAAGGAAACCCCTTGATACCGCTATTCTACGTACCAGTCCGCTCTCTATATCTAAATTAGTAAAAGGGACGACTTGTTTCCTGATCTTTTTTTATGCCCCCGCCATGTAATGGCCGGGGCATATAGTGTTACCCTGTTCCGTCCTTCCGTCATTCCGTCCTTCCGTCATTCCGTCATTCTGTCATTCCGTCATCATCAGTTTCCGTTCATTATCTTAGTAACGGTTGCACATATTCAACTCAAATTTGACATATGGATATGTCATGAGAAAATACAGGTCAAGTTCGAATTTGGTCATGGTTTGATGATTTTTGGCAGAGTTATGCCCCTTTTACTTTGAAAATAATATGAAATTTTCAGTTTCCGTTCATTATCTCCCCAACAGTGCAACACATTCAACTCAAATTTGACATATGGATATGTCATGAGAAAATACAGGTCAAGTTCGAATTTGGTCATGGTTCAACGATTTTTGGCAGAGTTATGCCCCTTTTACTTTGAAAATAATATGAAATTTTCAGTTTCCGTTCATTATCTCCCCAACGGTACAACACATTCAACTCAAATTTGACATATGGGTATGTCATGAGAAAATACAGGTCAAGTTTGAATTTGGTTATGGTTCGATGATTTTTGGCAGAGTTATGCTCCTTTTACTTTGAAAATAATATGAAATTTTCAGTTTCTGTTTATTATCTCCCCAACCGTACAACACATTCAACTCAAATTTGACATATGGATATTTTTTTGGAATGCCCAGGTCAAGTTCGAATTTGGTCATGGTTCAATAATTTTTGGCAGAGTAATGCCCTTTTCACTTTGAAAATAATATGAAATTTACAGTTTCTGTTCATTATCTACCCAACAGTGTTAAATATTCAACTCAAATTTGACATAGGGATATGTCAAAGGAATGGGCAGGTCAAGTTGGAATTTGGTCATGGTTCGATGATTTTTTAGCAGAGTTATGTTTCTTTCACTTTTAAAATAATACAGATACATCTTAGCAATAGGCAGTTTAAGTTTGAATTTGGTCGTGGTTCAATGATTTTGGACAAACTTATCTTTCTTGAATATTGGAAAAATTTTGAACTTTCAGTTTCAGCACTCATACTTTTGTGGAAATGTATGTAGCCATTATTTTGGCTACAAATATGAAATATGCTATTTTCAAAAGGTTAAGACTGAATAATTTCAGTGCCTTGAACATTGTATGAAAATGGTTTGTGTTAACATTGAAAAGTTTTAAGGGCTTTGAACTTAAAATGAAAACAATAATTTGTGCAAACAAATTTGGAACTAAATATTATAACATCTGAAATTTTGGCTGCATGCGGGGGCATCCGTGGCATGATGACACATTTCTAGTTTTTTTTAGGAAAGAATTTCACTGAGGCGTTATAAATACATGTAGCTCTCGGACACTGTTTTGATAAAAGTTTAACAGTGATATGATGCACATTTTCAAGATAAAATTACTGAAATTCTTAGTTTGAAACAACAAAGCATTGTTTTGCCAACAAACAAAATGAAAGCTGAAGGCCCCTTTAAACAGTAAGGATAATATCATTATAGAACTGAAGCAAGTTTGTTTGTTATTACAGAGGGTGCAGAGCCTGAACGACAGAGAGCATGTGATTCATTGGTCATGTGTATATTGACTACATTAAATCAGGGACTCCGTAATGGAGGTGGGATTGGTGATGTGTTAAGAAAACCAAGTTCAGATGTAAGTTTCAATTGCATAACATGCCACAATTACTTTGTTAAAACCTTCCTGATAGATTTTGATGGACAAAATCTGAAATTAAGTATTATAAAACATATGTGATAGTAATTCGTAGAACAATTAAGTGACACTTTTTCTGCTAAGATTTGTATATAAGTTAATGACAAAACCAACATAAAGCGTTTGCGACCAGCATGGATCCATACCAGCCTGTGCATCAGTGCAGTCTGATCAGGATCCATGCTGTTTGCTATCAGTTTCTCTATTTGTAGTAGGGTTGGTAAGCGAACAGCATGGATCCTGAGCAGGCTGGTCTGGATCCATGCTGGTCGCAAACCCATTATGTTGGCGGCTCATATTATCTTGTAGTCATACTTATTCCTGTTACAGGAGCCAGATTTGTTCATAGCATATAAAACCTTCATTCGTAATTTTTCTGTACACAAGAACTGCTATTTTGTTGCCATTGAAACATTCATTTGTATTTTTTCTGTTCGCAGGAACCACTATTTGAAGCCCATAAATCCTTTGTAATTTTTATGCCCCCCAAAGGGCGGCATATTAAAATCGCACTGTCCATCTATCTGTCTGTCTATCTGTCCGTACAAACATATAGATACTTAGGTGGCTATGGGAACAATATGTAACAGTAAATTTCCTTTGAAGTTCTTATGTGGCTACTTTTTCTCTCATGTGGCAAAAAGAACAATAGAGAGAACAAAAGAGTAGCCACTTAAATACCAACTTTTGAGGATGTATGTCTGTCTGCCTGTCTATACGTCCCCTCTTCATTCGTGTCCGGACTGTAACTTTGTCATGCATTGAAGGATTTTTAGCTCACCTGTCACAAAGTGACATGGTGAGCTTTTGTGATCGCTTTTCGTCTGGCGTCCGGCCGTAAACTTTTACTTTAAATGATATCTCCTCATAAACCGCTTGGCCAAATTCATCCAAACTTCACAAGAATGTTCCTTTGGTGGTCACCTTTAAAAATTGTTCAAAGAATTTAATTCCATGCAGAACTCTGGTTGCCATGGCAACCAAAAGAAAAAACTTTAAATATCTTCTTTTAAAAAACCCAAAGAGCTAGAGCTTAGATATTTGGCATGAAACATCTTCTAGTGAGTGTCTACCAAGTTTGTTCAAATAAAAGCCCTGGGGTCAAAATTGGGCCCGCCCCAGGGGGTCATTTATTTTCCCTATATGCATATAGTAAAAACTTAAAAAATCTTCTTTTAAAGAACCCAAAGAGCTAGAGCTAAGATATTTAGCATGAAACATGTTCTAATGGGTGTCTACAAAGTTTGTTCAAATAAAAGCCCTGGGGTCAAAATTGGCCCCGCCCCGGGGGTCATTGATTTTCCTTATATGTGTATAGCAAAAACTTAAAAAATCTTCTTTGAAAAAACCCAAAGAGCTAGAGCTTAGATATTTAGCATGAAACATGTTCTAATGGGTGTCTATAAAGTTTGTTCAAATAAAAGCCCTGGGGTCAAAATTGGCCCCGCCCCGGGGGTCATTGATTTTCCTAATATGTGTATAGCAAAAACTTAAAAAATCTTCTTTGAAAAAACCCATATAGCTAGAGTTTAGATATTAAGCATGAAACATCTTCTAGTGAGTGTCTACAAAGTTTGTTCAAATAAAAGCCCTGGGGTCAAAATTGGCCCTGCCCCAGGGGGTCATTGATTTTCCTTATATGCATATAGTAAAATCTTAAAAAATCTTCTTTTAAAGAACCCAAAGAGCTAGAGCTAAGATATTTAGCATGAAACATGTTCTAATGGGTGTCTACAAAGTTTGTTCAAATAAAAGCCCTGGGGTCAAAATTGGCACCGCCCCGGGGGTCATTGATTTTCCTTATATGTGTATAGCAAAAACTTAAAAAATCTTCTTTGAAAAAACCCAAATAGCTAGAGTTAAGATATTAAGCATGAAACATCTTTTAGTGAGTGTCTACAAAGTTTGTTCAAATAAAAGACCTGGGGTCAAAATTGGCCCTGCCCCGGGGGTCATTGATTTTCTTTATATGTGTATAGCAAAAACTTAAAATCTTCTTTGAAAAAACCCAAATAGCTAGAGTTTAGATATTAAGCATGAAACATCTTCTAGTAAGTGCCTACAAAGTTTGTTCAAATAAAGCCCTGGGGTCAAAACTTGCCCGGCCCCAGGGGTGTCATTGTTTTTAACTATATGTGTATCGTAAAAACTTTAAAAAAATCTTCTTTTAAAAAGCCCAATGAGCTAGAGCTTAGATGTTTAGCATGAAACATCTTCTTATGGGTGTCTACCAAGTTTGTGCAAATAAAAGCCCTTAGGTTAAAATTGGCCCTGCAATGTTGGGGGGGGGGGGTTGGGGGGGGGGGGGGGGCTATATACAGGTGAGCGACCTCAGGGCCATCATGGCCCTCTTGTTAAATAACCTTGCATAAATGTCTACCACATCAAGATGATGTGTCGCATCCAAGACCTTTGTCTCAAGGTGTTAAGTTTGCTATAAATAGCACTTTATTTCACAAGAACAATATCAAGCAGTTAGTTACTTTCATTCTCTTTTCTTTTCATGATACCTGCATGCTTAAGAAACCTTTTTTGGGGGCAAAAGTCACTTGTGTGACAGCTCTTGTTCTGTTCACAGGAGCCGCTATTTGTTGCCTATGAAACCTTTATTCATAGTTTTTCTGTTGACAGGAGCCGCTATTCGTTGTCTATGAAAACTTTATTTGTATTTTTTTTCTGTTCACAGGAGCCGCTATATGTTGCCATTGAAACCTTTATTTGTATTTTCTCTGTTCACAGGAGCCGCTATTTGTAGCCAGATTTGTGTATGACTTGTTGTTCTTCTTCATAGTTATCATTATCATCTTGAATCTTATCTTTGGTGTTATCATCGACACATTTGCTGATCTGAGAAGTGAGAAACAAACTAAAGATGAAATTCTTCGGAACACATGCTTCATATGTGGTGAGTACAATGTCATAAAATCATTTGAAGTACATGTATGTAACTTGACTGTACAAATGTTTATGAATCATCAACATGTGTAAGATTTTAATGATTGTCTCTCTGACATACTGTTCAAGGTCACTGTATTTGTATCACATGCCTCATACCATTTCTGGTTTTGTATCCCTTTAGTGTCATGTACTTATCTTTTATCTGAGGAAAAGAACCATCTGCATGCATCAAAAAATATTTTCAGAGTCACTCGTCCTACAGGATGAGTAGCTTCTAAATCCAATGTAACATTTTTCTACTTGTCCTGCATCCAGTTCTCTTATATTCTACTTGTCTACCAGCAGACAAGTGGAATATATGATCTCTGATCTAGCATACAATAGGTATAGTTTGTTCAATCACAGCATCTAGTATATCTAGAGTGGTGTCTAGATTTTGAGTAAGAAGAAAACCAGTCTACTAATTTTTGGGTATTAAAACAAATGCAGAACCACAATTTGCTCAAAGGGGATACTGGACACTTCTGAATGGGGTTTTATTGTATGATATATAGGTTTGTAAATAGATTCTGCTATGTACATGAAATGTTTTCTGTTTCAATTTTCAGGATTACCAAGAAGTGCCTTTGACAATAAATCTGTTTCTTTTGAGGAGCATATTAAGATAGAACACAATATGTGGCACTATCTGAACTTTATTGTTCTTGTTAAAGTGAAGAAATCCACAGAGTTCACTGGCCCCGAGAGTTATGTCTCAGAAATGGTGAAGGTAAAGTTGTCATCTTTTTCACTTGAAAAATTAATTTTCACTTATTTTATTATTGTGTTTAATGACTGAATGATGAAAAAGGTCAATGACCTAAAATGATTTAATTATTTACTTCTGTGTCTTTGAGAACAGGAAAAAACATAGAATTGTAAGTTTTGTCATGTGTTAATCAGCGTCTTAAATCATGTACAGAAGGGCATCGGAGATCTTATTCCTTCAGTATATTTCATTAAAGTCAACAGTGACTTGGCAACTTATAATACGCAAAAAAAGCATTCATTAAAAGACTGTTAAAATAAATATTGACCATTGATTTTAAACATCAAATGACCATACATGTGTTATCATATTTGATAGTTTTATTAACTGATAAAGATATGAAGGTGTGTTAATCAGCTCCACTTTTTTAAAGAAAAATTTGAGCTATTGTCTTCACTCACCTGGCTGTGGTGACAGCAGTGTTGGTAATCCTTTTTGGTCAAGTTTTTCGTTTATAGTTCATTGCTGACTACATTATTTCCTGGCAGCCAGTTAACTATCCAACAACGAAAAAAGTGGAACATGCTGCTCGTCTGACAGCTCTTAAAAGTAATTATTACATGGAAGAGGACTAAAAGTTTATACCATATCTATTCATATTTCATTACATAGGAAATTTAAAGATACTATAGATGACATGTATTTTAGGAGAAGAATTTGGACTGGTTCCCGAGAATGCGTGCAATGTCTCTGGCAGCGGAGGAAAATGAGGGGGAACAGAACGATTTACGTACGTTACAGACGCAGCTTAACTGTACCAATGAATTAGTCCAGTTGTTGTCACACCAGCTTAATGACCTGAAAGAACAAATGACGGAGCAAAGAAAACAGAAGCAGAGGAAAGGTTTCCTTCATTCAGCAGCTACCATGCCAACCATGATGCAAAATGTGTGATATATGACATAATAACATTTATAATATTTCGAGGGATCACCGTCATACATGTACATTGTATCATTTTTTTTTTCATTTCAGAAGCAACAGCTCTTTAATACATCCTTAGTTTATTCTTTTTAATATGGAATTTCATGACTGTAGACATTGAGAGTTATAGCATATTTAGTTACATCAGAAAAAAAAAAATCATGATAAAAAAAGGGGAAAGAAGTGGCCCCTTAACATTTTGTAAGGGAGACATTTCACCCTTAAAGCAGCTTCCATATTATCTCACCATGATCATCTTCATTTTAAAAGATTAAGAAGGAAACAAAACTAGATTTGTGTGCCAAAAAAAATGCTTCATTATTATAATGTATTGATCAGTATCTTTTACAGTATAATATACTATAATAGTTTCATTTAAGATACATTAAACTTGCAAGGTTTTTTTTGGTGGGGGGGGGGGGTGGTATTATTATGTTTGATAATATAAGTGATCAGTGGTGTAATTTTGAGTTATTGATAGATTTTTATATTAAAAAATTCAAAAACGCTAAAAAATGTGTAGATGAATTTTTTTAGGAAGGTGAATTTGAGTTCATTAACAAGTGTGGAGGTCAATATTGCCGAGGTATGTATGTATGTGAAATGTAAAAAAAAATGTTTCAGAATGCTAAAAACTGAAAATAAAAATAACATGTTCCTTTAATCTTTATTACTTTGAATATGGCAGTGCTCTTAGTAAACTAAAGAAAGAAGACTGTCATTAAAATATTGTGTCCAATACAAGCAAAATACAAACAATAATATGTACAAATCATTGAAATGTATATGCCACCAGTTTTAAATGAGGCCAGCCTTCACTTCCGTCCATGCAGACCAGATTCTGTACTGTTTTGTCAATTTCAGTATGTTAATTTTACAAGTACTTCGTTGATTTACAGTAATAATGAGTTTTTGACATTTCACAAAACTAAATTTCATGAGGATGTTGAAAAAGTGCACGCCATTTGTATAGGATTTTTTTTTCTTTTCAAATGTTGGTTCATATTTGATATAGAATGTACGAGAAAATAGTCCTCTTGAGAAAATAGTCCTCTCATATAGCAAGTTAGTACCTGCACTAAAGTGCCATAATGTAGTGGTGAATGACTGCTCAAGGAATAGTGATAACAAAAATTATCATTTTACTCTAAGGTTTGTGATTCATGAATGAATTTTTTTTTTTTTTTGAAATATATAAAAAAAAAATTGTTATGAAAAGATCACCGACTTAATTATTTTATTACACATGTATATGAATTAATAGGAGGTTACCCATTATGACACTAAGGTGGTAATATATAAGTTACATCCTTATCTGTGCTGGAACTTATTACTTATTACCCCCTGATGAGGCTGTGCCACTAGTATAGAGCCAGGCCAGCCTGCTCGTACCTCAGGCCAGCCTGCAAGTACTTCAGGCCAGCCTGAACATGGTGGAGCAGATAAGCCCTTGCCTATTTGTCACAAGGTCCCTCGGTAGTCTGACAAAACATTGGAATGTGGTGGCATCCATTTCCTTAGGACACATTTCAAGGGAATATTCCAAGTTGTATTATTATTTTGATTAATGTGTAAAACATATTATTTATACCCAGGCATAGAAATATATATTGAGTTTATTGCTTTTTTTACATTAATGAAATTTTATATTGATAATAATTAATGTATTGCAATGTATTAATGAATGGTATTTACTATTATTACAATTGAGTGATGTTTAGTGGTCTGATTTTTTAATTAGGATTTTTATAATCATTCCTCTGGAACAGAAATGTACCCATTGTGTACCATAACTGTCATTTCATATATATATATATATATATATTATAATTATATCTAGAATAACTGTTTTTTACAATTAACTTAAGAATTAAATCTTGCATTAGGGACCTCTTTACCACTGCAGGTTGAAATCCTTGGGAGGGGAGGGGGTTCCTTCTAGTGATGAAGCTATCCAGATATTATATGGAAGGTCTGGGACTCTACTAACTTGTGGATTAGTGCATGAAATAATTGCATAAAGGGGCGCCAGATATTTTCCATAACTAATAACCCTGGAATATCATTTTGTGACATTTACACTGTCTTTGTGACCCCTCCCCCCTCAAAAAACATTTTAAAATACTACTGTTCCTCTAAATGATTAGTTGTGTGAGAGGTAAACTGTAAACTTACAGACACAGTGGTATGAATCACTACGCAGAATGGCATATCAGAAATATAGTATTTATACATGTATATAATTATTACCTTTTATAATGAATCTTTTTTCCATATACCTTGAATCTATATAAATGTTGCAATATATGTGTAGTGCTAAATTGTCTCGTGTTCTTCTCTCATATAACTCTGATCTGATCTGTTGCTTTGTCTTTTCATCTTTTATATTATATGTTTTCTGTTGTTTATTTGAAATTGTTATGATGTACATGTAATAATGATAAATATATATATATTTACGTAAACATAAATATAGCAGGTGCTAAAGGATGATTATTTGAAATAAAGATGTATGTTAAAAATTATTTAAATCTTTGTTTGTTGTTGTTGACTCCATGATTTAGTAATGTTGACAGGGATATGTATATTTTGTAATATGAGTTAAAATTTCACTCTTTGCAGATTATAAGGATCTTACACTAGCTGCCGGTACCGACCGGAATATCTAGCTCGAGGGAAAATGTTTACAGTCGTAATGAGGCTCTTAGTCATTATTAACGAATTTGAGTCATTATTAACGAATTTGTTTACTATAAAAGCCAAAATATGTTGCATATATGGTCTCTTTCCGGTGGCAAGGATTAACAAACAAACACACAATGTATTATCAATTAGCAGTCTTCTTCAAAAGTGGTATCAATTATCACCCGAGCTCAATATTTACCCTGCCCTGTTTGTCGCATGCTTACCGAAGGGAGAGCATATAGTCGCCACCTTGTCTGTCTGTCCGTCTGTTGCCTTGTCCGGAGCATAACTTTAAAACCCTTGGAGATAATTTGTTTAAACTTCACACAGTGGTAGAGGGCATTGAGGTGGAGTGGAGTGTCAAAGAACCATAACTCTACTTTGCACCGTTTTTGAATTATCTACCCTTTTAGAAAAATATTGTCCGGGACATAACTCTAAAAGTATAAGAGATATCAACATGAAACTTTGTAGGTAGTTAGATCTCAATGAGTAGCTGTGCAGTGCACAAAAACCATAACTCTGCCTTGCCTAATTTTTGGGTTATTGCCCTTTGTTCCTTTTTACACTTTGAACTTTGTCCTGAACATAACTCTAAGATTATAAGAGATATCAACATGAAACTTTGTAGGTAGATAGATCTCAATGAGTAGATTTGCAGTGCGTAAAAACTGTAACTTTGCTTTGCCTAATTTTGGAGTTATTGCCCTTTGTTTTTTTTTACACTTTGAACATTGTCCGGAACATAACTCTAAGGTTATAAGAGATATCAGCATGAAATTTTGTAGGTAGATCTCATTGGGTAGAAGTGCAGTGCAAAAGAACCATAACTCTGATAAGCCCCATTTTGGAATTATCTCCCCTTTTAGAAAAATTTTGTCCGGGGAAATAACTAAAACTATAGGAGATATCAACATGAAACTTTGTATGTAGATAGATCTCATTGGGTAGAAGTGCAGTGCAAAAGAACCATAACTCTGATAAGCCCCATATTTGAATTATCTCCCCTTTTAGAAAAATCTTGTCCGGGACATAACTCTAAAACTATAGGAGATATCAACATGAAACTTTGTAGGTTGATAGATCTCAATGAGTAGATTTGCAGTGCGTAAGAACTGTAACTCTGCTTTGCCTTATTTTGGAGTTATTGCCCTTTTGTTTATTTTTACACTTTGGATTTTGTCCGGAACATAACTCTAAGATTATAAGAGATATCAGCATGAAACTTTGTAGATAGATAGATCTCATTGGGTAGAATTGCAGTGCAAAAGAACCATGACTCTGTTTTGCCCCATTTTGGAATTATGTCCCCTTTTAGAAAAAATTTGTCCGGGGAAATAACTCTAAAACTTTAGGAGATATCAACATGAAACTTTGTAGGTACATAGATCTTAATGGGTAGATGTGCATTGGACAAGAACTGTTACTGTGCCTTGGCTTATTTTGGAGTTATTGCCCTTTGTTCATTCTTACATTTTAAACATTGTCTGGGACATAACTCAGAAAGCATAAGAGGTATCAACAAGAATCTTTGTCTTATTTATTAAAAGTCCAGTGCAAAGAATAGTACTTAATTCTGCCTTGCCTAATTCTGGAACTATCTCACTTTCAACTTTGTCCAGGGACATAACACTGAAACTACAAGAGGTGTACTTACAGTACTTTCCTGTGTCCGGAGCATCAACCGATTAAAACCGGGCTCTTGTTTAAACATGCTAAGGGCTTATATATATATTTGGCATATAGCATTACAAAGTTTTATGAATCTTTTATCTAGGGAATCGTGCACCTAGGGTAAAAATTCCTCGACTCTGACGGCGGCCATTTAGTATTTTAAGGATAATGTTTCGAATGGGTCTCTTGTCTAATTGAAAGATTTCTTGGTCATTCAAACCAGTTTTCATTCGGTGCTCTTGTTTAAAATATTTTTTTAAATAGTGTAGGATAGACAATACAGCCCAACACGTCGGCTTGTTTATCAGACATATCATTACAGGTCATTTCCACCCACTCCAGTAATTTATATACAAATAGCATCTCTTTGATCATGGTGTGTTAGCTATTCAGTCAGCACTTTTTTTAAATAAATTGTTCGATTGACTACAGGGACGTTTACATTCAACTGAAATATGATTATCATCAGAACTTTGGTTATGTTGCAGAAGTGTGCCATTTGTAAATGAGTTTTATTTTTTTGCTTTGAATACTTTAATGCTTTTTAATGGAACTTCATTCAAACCCAGGACCGTAAGGCTAAAAGTTACGTCAGGTGCGTGAAGTCTCGGACATTTTGGCTATGGATCCATAGACACGTTCACACGATTGGACAGCAGATGCTGTCAAATGCATGGTCATTATCAAGATAATAAATCGTTTAAAAAAATCACAGTTCTGCAGCTTTTAGCTTCCTAGCTCTATTTACACGAAACCAAAATTTTTAAGATAATCAAATTTCAATACAAATTTAACCATTTTATGGGCCATACATTTCTGATAATTTTGATATTAGATCTATATTGATTATGTATGAACATACAGAATAGATCTACAAAATACGGTGTCATGTTAGAGCCATCGCGACACACACAGATCTATCACACGAAATGGTGACTGAAAATATTTCTTCGTTTAGAGTTGTGTTGTCGCGGTGGCCCTAACGGAACACCGTAACAAAGATCTCAAGAGATAGATCTACATTGTAGATCTAGTTCTAAATCTTATTGATTTTTTATTTAGCATAACCAAAGATTAGTTTTGAAATTGAAAGTAGATCTAAATATGGAACACAAGTCTATCTGGTCATGTTTTACTAACACACAACTTAAAAAAACACATCGATCGCTTTTGGCGCGTAAAACAAGTATCGAAATTTGATTGGTTGTACCAATTTTTTTTCTCACGCTTTGCGGGAGTGTCGTTTCTTAATAAGGAAGTCGAATGAGTGACGTTACAGTGACGTAGTTTAGGTATTTCCCCAGTGTAAATAAAGAACTTCCGGGAGTGCCAACAAAAATAACCATTTTTTTCCTAATTATTTGTGCCAAGTAATAATGGATTAACGATTTAAGATTATGGCTCATCGATAATTAGAAAGTGGACAGTTTTATGTGTTACCCAAGACGAAACAAATTAGATTATTCTTATTTCACAATGTACATAGATCTAGGTCACATGAAAAGATGAACAAAACGTGCTTGATTATTCATCTGTTTATTGTTTATCTTTGTTAAATATATACTACTCTATACTGGACAGAGAAAAGATATCTTGACAACAGTAAGTGGCAAATATGTTGTAAATCATTTCTAGTTGTGTAGATTTCTGATAATTAGCAATATAATTAAATATTACTATAATGAGGTAAAGCTATATAACGCTAGTCATGCATTGCATGTTGATATCCTAAAACCGAAAGTTTGTGTAATTTCACTTCAGCAGGAATGTGTCAGATTTGAGAGGTTTTTTTTTTCGAAACTTGTTGATTTTTCTTTTGCGACTCTGGTGTTAATGAATATACACATCGTTCAGGTACATGTATGTGGGCAGTTTTAACCTATGTTCGTTATACATGTACATACACTAGTCCGCTATGAGTCAGAAACAACGGATCCATTCGAAGTTTGCAAGATCATTTTCATCATCGTTTTGTTCATGTTGATTTCATTTAGTTTTGTTCTGAACCGGAGGAGGGTGTTAACTAGTACTTGTGCTCGAGCCAGGATAATTATGTAGAACCATTATCAGCTTAAAATGTACCCAGTGAGTGAAGGCATAGTACCGGTATACCAGTGATTTCTGTAATTGAAATGTATCTCTATACTGTAACAAACAGTGTCCAGGTTAAGAGAATATTAGGTTATCTTAATTTGAATAGTCCTTGAGTTGATCATTAAGTTCTATATAGATATATAGATTTTACTAGATTCTAGTTTGACTTGTTGTTGATGGCCAATATGTTAAGAACAAATGACAGGTTTAAAGTTTCTATAGGTGATGAGGTTCACACTTTGAGATTTCCGACTTGAAATCTAGTAAACCCGAGCTCGGCCATACTGCAAATATGGTATTCAGTAAAAAAAGAATTCTAATCTATTCTTGTTTCTAGACAAAAAGGCTTATACGAAGATTGACTCATACAAGTTAACTATTGATAAATTTTAGAGTTTTCTATGTTTGGTTCATGTAGCTATATATTATTTTCGACAGTGCTATTTTCAATTTTCGTAGTTAAGAATAAAATATGCAACTTCTTAATATAGCAGATTGACGTTTCAGAGGATGGTTGACGTTATCAAATGACGATCACACAAATCGAAAATTTTATATTTGTCAAGTAAATGCGTTAATATAAAGGTTGAAAATAGTATATTGTTTGTAAATTATGACATTTGTCATAAAACTTGACTACATGTATTCAGTATCACTTTGTAACCCATGGATGCATACTCGTTATGTCAAAGCGGCATGCCCCCAGATGAGTCAAAATATTTAAAGAAAATCAAACTTGAGAAAAATGTCCTAAGATTAAAAAAAAGTAAAACGATTTGATATTCAGTTTATAATTGACATGTTATGTGCGATTAATGACTGATTTTGCAACATTTATCACCATATTTTTACTGCGTGACTAAGGGGTATTTTTGCATATTTTGATCTCTTTTTGCTTATGTACTTGGGTTCTAAGTGGCGTTGGCAATGTGTAAATTATTCTCTTATTATTCACTTCATAATATTTTACTTAAAAAATACATTTTCAAAATTTTCATGAAAATTAACATGAACCCGGAGGTATGCTGCTTCAAAGTGCGCTAAATAATCACGTGCAATTTGGTCAACTTTT